AATTTCAGCTTTCTATCTCCAATAGAAAAAAAGTTATGACCTTTCAAAGTTTTCTAAAATCTAAATCATAAGGTACCTTCTTAGTTAAACGATGAAATTTCAAAAATTTTTTTGTTGAGATTTTGTGTCCTAATGGTCCTTTGAGATTCCTCAAACTCCATACACTAAATTATTCTGAGATTTGGAGCCGGATTCAATGAAAAAAGGCACTCAGAAAAATTGAAAAATTGATAAATTACCCCAAATTGCTTAACACGATTTTATTTCTGGAACTATAAGTCCAAATAAGCTGAAATTTTCAAAGATTGTAATCCGCCGGTAAGATAAAAATCGGTGAAAATTTCAGCTTTCTATCTCCAATAGAAAAAAAGTTATGACCTTTCAAAGTTTTCCAAAATCTAAATCATAAAGGTACCTACCTTCTTACTAAAACGATGAAATTTCAATTTTTTTTTTGTCGAAATTTTGTATCCTCTAATGGTCAATCAACATCCCTCAAATTCCATACACTGAATTATTCTCAGATTTGAAGCCGAAATCTATGAAAAAAGGCACTCAGAAAAATTGAAAAATTGATAAACCATCCCAAATTGCTTAACACAATTTTATATCAGGAACTATAAGTGCAAATGGGCTGAAATTTTCAGGGATTGTAGTCCCTTGATTGGGATAAAATTCAGTGAAAGTTTCAGCTTTCTATCTATAATAGAAAAAAAGTTATGACCTTTCAAAGTTTTCCCAAATCTAAATCATAAGGTAGTACCTACTACTAAAAAAATTATTGAGATTTTCTGACCTAATGGTCCTTTGGGATCCCTCGAACTCCATACACTAAATTATCCCGATATTTGGAGCCGGTTTCTAAGAAAAAAGGCACTCAGAAAAATTGAAAAATTGATAAATCACCCCAAATTCCTTAACACGATTTTATTTCTGGAACTATTAGTCCAAATGAGCTGAAATTTTCAGGGATTGTAGTCCGCCACTGGGATAAGAATCGCTGAAAATGTTTGCTTTCCATCTGTAATAGAAAAAAAGTTATGACCTTTCAAAGTTTTCCAAAATCTAAATCATAAGATAAGTTATCTCAGTACTAAAACAATGAGATTTTGTGTCCTAATGGTCCTTTGCTGAGCTTGACCTGCATATTCAAGGATTGTCCTGCAGTATATGTTGTAGTTTTGTAAACGCTTCTTGGGGGTGATGTGCTGTTGGCTTTTTTGCTTAGTGTTGTTACATGTGCCTTGGGTATCCAAGGTCATTCTGTTGCTGAACACTGATCAGCACTAACCCATGGATGGTGTATTCATTTTCTTGGGTATTTTCGACTACCACATATTTTTCCACATTAAGGGGTAGTTGCCAGTCCTCACACCACTTATCAATTTGGTTTAAATCATTCTGGAGCGAGTCAGAATTGTTGGCGGGACCCTAAGTTGGTGCAAGTACTGAGCTTTGGGCTACGCCATTTTGTACTGGATAGAGTTCAGAGTATGAGTCGCCAACTCTGACTTTGTACTCTAATTACTGGTCTTTTAGGCACGAAATACCCACAAATAAATCTTTTGCTGGTTATTGAGAAGGATTCACGAAAATATCGACTTCGTTATGGTGGAAGACCTAAAAATACAAAAAAAAACCCTCATCATTCTCTAAAATTCTGGATAAATTTCGTGAAGCTCGATTTTCTGACATCAAAATAGATCTCCGACACACACTGCAAACACTTTTTTCGTCCAGAAATTCAAAATTAGCTGTTGCACTTCAAGGGCTACGAATTTCCAATAAAATGCACGCATATATGACTTCCTAATCATTTCTAGAAATTAGAATCCTTAATTAACACACTCCAAGCAGAAAAATTCAAATTTAATTATTATTAGGGTCATCGGATAAGCAAGACTAAGGAAAAATAGACTAAACATTGTATGTATGTATGTATATTGAATTGTACATTCAATATACGTCTGAAACCATGAACTGGTCGCGTGATAACGCGTTCCGAGTTTAATTTTAAACTCTACAGCCAGTTTATTTTAATCGAGCATGAGATACACTGATGATAATAATGTGGCCGCCACCTTATTTTCTCAGGGACGTGGCAATTATTATTATTTTGGTTTCGTTTTAACCTGTGTACACGTCAATATTAGTAGTATCATATGTTGATAATCTCAACTCGAATCAAGGAAACATAAAATCACTGAAATGAGTGAAATGGTAGGCGACAAAATTCATTAAAATTTTACCTAGTGGGACCAATGTACTAATAAAGATAAAATTTACCTATAAGACCTCATTTCAATGATAAGGTTAATTTCTTGGAATGGTTATAATATCTGGGTTTAATCAATTTTTATTTGAAATTTTATCATAACTAGGTTAACTACCACCTGTTTGATATTGGTGCATTACGCAAAATCATCAAACAATGTAGCAAGATAATCGCTATAGAATCTACAATTAAATATATTCCAGCATCACCAAAATGCAAAAATTATCACATTCTCGAAAAGTAGTACCTACCTTTCTCCTTGTATTGCACTAGACAGTAACCATAATGGGTTTTATTAGAAAGATATCCGATACTATCATCAAAGTCTACCATGTACCTGTGGCACATGAATAAATTATAGTAGAACAATAGGTCGTCACTTTGCAACCATAAATATGCCTAATTAAATTTTCAAACTGGTTAGATTCGCGTACCTACTGCCCACGACATAGTACTTCGAGACCGGCTTAAACAAGAAATGCACTCTAGTTCTCTACCTACGCAAATTCGTTGCCTACTTTCATTCATAAAATGTTGATTGAGTAGGTATTGCGTTTCATAAATTGGCATAGACGATACATTGGTACTCGGTTATTTAATAATTATGGTTCTGATGGTTGTTTTATTTTATTATCATTAGGTTTTATAATGTCCTATAGGTCTAGACATAGGTACCTGTACTTCACATCATCAACGTCTATGTCTAGACAGTTAAAATCTCATAATTTCAATAAACTTATCAAATATGGCACCTATAATAATTGATTATTGTGTGATGATACAGCACGCACTGAAACAATATGATTTTGAAAATACGCACTCGAATTTTTATCATGAAGTTGATACGAAAATCAAATTTCTATATTAATCAGAGAGAATGGAAATTTCAGCATTTGTGCAATTTGTATAAAACCCAGACGTTCTATAACACAAGTTATATAACTGTTTGAAGGGATGTATAGTTTTGGTTAATACAAATTGCACAAAGTGTAGCTTTTTGATGAATCCAAATTTTTGATGAGCTCAGAAATATTGTTTTAAACTTTTTATACTTACTTAACAAACACTCTGTATGTTTTATTTGTATTTATTACATTCGTTGTGACTGTTGTTAGACAAAATTAATCTTTTTTCACAAATATTCTATGCGTTGCATAAATGGACAATTCAATCTACATCATAATAATGTATTTGAAAATATTTCATCTTTATAATTTACAACAAAAGGCCAATATCAATAGTAATTCCCCAAATCAGTTATCATTACAATCATCTTCAAGCGATGGAATTTTTATTTAATTTTTTAAGCCTGCCCTAAAAAAGATACACATCAAATTCAAATAATAAAAATAGGTACTTAATTTTGTATTACTTCTAAGAAAGTCTCTTCTAAGATAAAATATTACATTCACCAAGAATAATAAATTACAAATGAAACATCCATACTGTCGACTACTTAAGTAAATACCACTCTGTACATCAATTTTACTAAAGTGTGTCAACGAGTCAGCATTTATTTGATATAAATATCGCGCCGAAATCCATTACCGGCAGACTAAGGCTAGTGCAAAGTACCCCAAATGGGAAAAGCCCCTCTGGCTAAGTGTCCTCTTAGTGCAAACTACCTTTAATGAGAAACGCCCTTCTGGGAGTATTGAACGCAGCAGACTAGATCCGGAGTGCAAACTACCTTTATTGGGAAACGCCCTTCTGGACCTGTCTCAAACCTAACTTCTTCTGGGAGCATTAAACGCAGCAAACTACCTTTATTGGGAAACGCCCTTCTCGACCTGTCTCAAACCCAGCTTCTTCAGGGAGCATTGAACGCAGCAAACTAGGTCCAGTGCAAACAACCTTTATTGGGAAACGCCCTTCTGGACCTGTCTCAAACCCAGAGTGGCCTATGAGTAGTACGTCCCTCCGTAAAAGAAACGTCATGATACCATTTCTAGGGTAATATTATTATTATTCAATACATTATCTTATTATACCTATACCAAGCGAGTTTCTCCTCTACCTGAACCCCACCTACGCCCCCAGGTCACGCTCCTGTTGTGACATCCCAGGACGAAACGTATAGGAGTTGTGACAATACAGGTAGAGAATTCTAAGTAGGTACATAAATTATTATGACTAAAAACCAATTTTGACTTCAAAAGGTTGGTCTAAAATAATTCCATTTTCAAACTACCATTTACATTAGGCAAAAAAACAATAATTATTAGCAACAGATTATCTTTACAGTAAGTTACGTGGAGTATTTTGTCATTTATCAAGCTTTAACTGTTAGATGTTACATGATGCCTACAACTTTGTTCTATTATTAGGAATTTAACTAATTGCTATTCACATACGCAAATCACTGAATGAATGGGAGGAATCTAAAAATACAATTATTACACGCAATTTTCATTATGATAGGGTAATTAAGAGAGGCGCCTAGCGGAAATATGATTTATTGACAAAATGATAATGATTGTTAGATGATAATGTATGTGTGGCAAAGGAATGAGGAACTTCAATAAAAATTATACAGAAAGCTGCTAAAGGAAAAATTGAAATCTCTTTATTATGATAGAGCAAAGGATTGCAAAACTCAATCATAGCTTTTATGCACTTGCCATGGTTTCACATTTAGCTCTATTAGAAACATCTTTAGAGCAATTAGACAAATATTTCTCCCTAATTCATAACTAAATTTTAACAAAACCAAATTTTATTCCAGATTATGTGTTCAATGGTCGACTTCGAAATGTTCCTACCGCACAGCCCACCGGTGTTCAGTCACAGTCCACCCAACAACTTCCTAAGCGAATTCGCCTCGCTTCATCTTGGTTCTCAGCTACAAAGAACAGTGAGCTGCAGACAAATGCAGCAAAGCTTCCATAATAATATAGGCTTTACATCGAAACATCGACCGTCGACGTCACCGAAACGTCCTTGCTTGGTGATCAGGCCTATCGATGAATCTTGCAATTCGTCAGATGAAGATCCCACCAGTCCTACCAAGTCCAAGAAAAAAGTGGTTTTTGCTGATGATAGGGGAATGTCTTTAACGCACGTTAGAGTCATGAATGAACCTTCCAACGTACCGCCCTTGTGGAGTATGAAATTTCTTGCTGAAGTTACTCAAGGTGTGACAGCTGAAGCTGAAGTACGCAAAGAACCTTGGGAAATAACCTTCCTACAACCTGCCTCTGATTATGTGACTTTTCGCAAAAAACTAGACGACCAAAAGGTTTCACTGGAAAACGTGATCGTCAAAGAAGCAGAAGATCAAATTATTGGAACAGTTAAAGTTCAAAACGTTTCGTTCCATAAAGAAGTGTTTGTTAGAAGCACTTACGACAACTGGAAAACTTACGAAGATGCTTTTTGCACTTACGTGCCAAGCAACATCGCAACATCGGCCTCAACTTACATTGTATTCGACACGTTTTCCTTCAAAATCAATCTAACACCCAAAGCGAGAAAATTGGAATTTTGCGTTTGCTTCAGATGCGACGGCAACGAATACTGGGACAGTAACTACGGCAAAAATTATGTTATTGTTAAAAAAGCACTGACCCCTATCCATAGGTCCCTGTCAGAGAACTCGTTGTTCAACAAGAAAGATAAGGAGACGATAGTTAACAATAATTATAAAAATAGAACAAAATGTGCAGATTTATCGCACGCCAAACTGGACACTTGGTCGCAATTTTCAAGCTGGAATCATTTGGACACATCGTCGCCATATTGGTAGGAATTTTTTTTAAAGTGGGAGTCATTTTGACGCAAGGATGAATGGTCTAAGAAGTCTTAGAAAAGTAAGTTATTTGTATAGTTAATCAATAGCTTTTTAATAAGTTCAACATAAGTTTAAAACGGCCTATAAATTGAGTTAAAAGTAGAAGAGTGTATAGACTTTGCTATAATGCTGAATTTGTGATTTGATCTTTTTTAAAGCTTCAGGAAAATCGAAACCCTGAAACATATTGTCACCCTGTACATAGTTTTCAGTAGCTAAAATACTTTAAATACAAGGCCATATACATAATATATTATCTCTACAAGTTTATGCATTGATTGATTGACATATTGTATAAAATACCTCCTATTAGGGTATTTAGTTTTCCTATCTGATTGTGTCACACAAAATTCCCAATTATCATTCTTGTCTTGTAACATTGTCACTTATGGCCATTTTTCCCTATTTTGTATGCCAGGTATTTATGTAAATTTCAAAATCTATTAATAGGCCGGTTTTATTTTAATCTTTCAAACACCTACCTACCTTGGGGGAAAGTTTCAATAGTCTAGAGTATAGGTATGTAAAAATAGTTTTAAATATTTATAGTTTGCAGTTGCCTAATTTGAATTCAATGAATAAATTAGCTTATATCATTGTCTGCTGGCAGTTACAAGACAATCATCCACTGTATTTATTGGATAATTTTTTTCAAGGGAGTTCTTTAACGTGCGATACTACTATTCCAAAATTAATTCATAATTAAACTGCCTTTATGCAGAAATTACCAATTAAGCCCTAAGTCACAAAACTAAATCTCAACCTACGGTCTTACTCTTACTATAGACTCACGTTCCAATAATTATCCGGAATATTGACTTATTGACTTTCAATTCTTGTGATGTGATTTTTAACAGTATCTAATTATATATATTTTTTTAATTTCAGCTATTGCATATTCTCCAAGAATTGACAGGAAAACCTCAACAACGCAACTTCTAGAATTTAACCTGGACACTTTCAGAATGTAGAGCTTGTCCAGCATAATGACTGTGAATCTGCTGATTTTTGTATGAAAACTGTTAATTTCAAAAAGGGTCCTCACGCTTACTCAATTTTTCAAGCTTGTTTTTTTGGTTGGAAATAAGACATGACTCTTCCTGAAGCTAAATCTTGCGAAATCTTGGTTGATCATTTGCGAAAAATGATAATAAATTTAAGTAAAATGGCTCTATACAGGGTGTTCCGAAATTAATGCACCATGGCATATTCTACGTCGAAAATAAGCCTTATAGTTTCATATAGGTATAAACATATGTCCAGAAACGCATCCTTTCCGGGATACAGTGTGTTGAAATTTTAAGAAAAAAGCAATTTTTTTATCATTATTTTCAAACCACTCTGGATATTGTATTGAAATTTTGTACACTGCTTTCAAGCAGCAAAAGACATTTTTTGATGTGAAAAATATTAAAAAAAAAAAAAACACACATTACAAGTGACGTCACACAAATAATTTGAAACTTTAGGTGTTTAATGTTTAACATTTTTATCATTTCCGTCAAAAGGGTTTATCTTTCAGAAAAAAGTGAAGAGATCAAATTTGTTCCAAATTGAATGGAGTTTTGAAAAATGATTTTTATTTTAAGAAAAATCAAGGGCTCACCATTGCTTTCCTAACAAATACTCCATATACAAATCTGGTACGGACGTCACTAGTTTTTTTTTTTTAAATAATTGCACATCAAAAAATGTCTTTTGCTGCTTGAAAGCAGTGCACAAAATTTCAATGAAATATCTAGAGTGGTTTGAAAATTATGATAAAAAAATTGTTGCATTTGGAACACCCTGTATAATAATTGATGCACCGTTTGAAAAATATTTGACGAAATACGTGTCAATTTGGATTAAAGCTTGAGGAAGATGTTCAATAAATATTTCAGAAAAAAAAACAAATTAAAAAATTAAGTCTGGCCCATATTTGAATAAAAACCAGTTAACTAGAATCGTGCTATTATTTCCACTTATGAATGGATAAAAAATAGAAGTTAAGATCTAAGTTAACAATGCATACAAAGTGTCTAGAGTCCGCCAGGGCAGAATCATTTAAGAAAGGTAAAACCTTGAAGAGGTGTAGCTCCAAATTTTCACCAAACATGAATTGAAACTTCCTCTACAAAACCCCAAAAACGAAAGTTGATATTTGACTCAAAATAAGAGATAATTTTCCTACCACATAATAAACAAATCGGTGGAGAAGGATGCATTATTTTATTTTCAATTTCTTAGTTGTTTAGGGCATACCTTTGTTAAGATATCGAAACGACCTGTTACACAAAAAATCTTTGAGATTTTGATTTTCTTAGATGATTTGGCCATCTAGACACCTCTAAAAGAATGCAAATTTTTAACTGGCAAATATTATATTGTGTAAATGCGGACAAGCTACAATACAAAATATTTAAATCTTTAACAGTCTACGTATTAGAATATAAGATGTGTGCTTTTTTTTTGAATGAAGAAGAAGAAAATTTGTCCACCAATGGATCTGTGATAAAAATTAGAAACAAGTTTCTCGAGAATATTGTGGGTGCATCATGCCATGTGAATTATTCAAAAGTACCTATTTTTTTGAAAAAGACTGATATTTTAGTTGTGCATTAATTTTTTTTTTAGGTAGGTAGTAGAAAACGCTTAACTGTACAAACGATATTAAGTCATATATAAGTGCAGCTTTAACCAATTATAAATGGCCAACTTTTATAAAGTTGGTCTTTTTTAAGAAGCTCAATATCCCTCCTTATTATTAAAAGTAGTTTATAGAGCCTAACAATAATTATTATGTTAATCAGATTTGTATAGGTACCTACTAATGAATGGAACATTTTTGTAAAATCGACCATATATTACTCCATATAATTTTTCAAATAGGATTCAAATACATTACAATAAGTCTGAATATATTATACTTAAATATTGCTCTTAATCTACACAAAAGTTAAACAAGTATCAAAATGTCATATATTTGAAAAAAAAAAACTGAAACTTTTGTGTATTCTACTACCACTGCTTTATTTGATCTTTTGTTGTGTGATTTTCCTACTTTGGCTGCTTCACATCAAATAAATTTAAGAATACAATAAAAAAAAACTAAGTGAATTTAACAAAAGCCTAACATTTGTGCCTTATTATCATATTATTTTTATTATGTATTGGATGTCATAAGGTAGTTATCATTTTTATATAATGGATATAGAAACCAAGTTTTTGGGGAACAATACATAATATGAAATAATGCAAACATTTTATTTTTAAGATTATTATCTATATGTTATTTTTATTTGTAAAAAAATATTTAGATTAGATACTAAGTTTATACTTATTTAAAAAACAATTATTGGAGATTTTTTTTTAAACTCGTGATATTTTGTTAAGGAAAATCTGATTATTGAAACCTGTTTGAAATTATATAATTACTTAGTTAGGTATTATTGTTTTACTCTTTATTTTTGCCTGTAGGATCCTATGACGTAATCTATATGTTTTATATATATTTAACTATATGTTTTTGTTTGGATATTTTTATAGCCTACGATACTTTTTATAAGACTATTATTACTATTTAATGATTTGTGTAAAATAAAATAGAGAATTAAGGGGTGGGTTATTTCTATGTTTTTATATAATTACTTTATTTATATCAGTAGTAGATGATTGTACAATATACATTTTGTTAATAAAATTAGTATGTTACTTTTTATTTTTTGTTTACTTTAAATATAGTTATTGAAGCATTTTATCGGAAAATTTCCAATTTCCAATTTTGAAGTCTAGAAACTCGTGTAAAAGGCCCTTTAATTACTCAAAAATACAAGTTCTATAGCCAAAATAGATCAAAAAAGCTTTAGAAGCTCTATAAATCATGAAAACAAATTTTCCAAACTTCCATTTTGTCTCTGGAAGCTGGAAGTTGTTCTGAGGCCCGATTCTCGTAGGCAGTAGATAAAGGCGAAAAAAATTTTCTCTTGTGGAGCTCACTATTGAATTTTGAATTTGGTCTGACTCTTGATTCCAGTGTTCAAAATGAAAAAAACTAGACAACAAACATTAAAATCTTACCATGGTTTTTTGAAGTTCCTACCATAAATTCACATAATTTGGATTCCAGTGTGTCTTTCCCAGCTACCTTCCTCAAAAATCTTGCAGATTTAGGATTAAACTTTTTGTTATTAGTGCGGCCCTGTAACAAAAAATTAACAATTTAATTTTCTTGTTAGGAAAAGTTTTATTTTCAATACCTTACCTTATTAAGTTTGCCAATTGTAACTTCAAGTCCAATTTCCACACCACCCAAGACGTACGAGCTTTCGGTGCGTTTTTTTTTGCAAGTACTTTCCCCATTAGGCCTAAATGCACTTTGAAATTACACTTGTACAGCCAAAACCGCCAATTATCCATTAATTCGTCCTTTACTCGTCAGCTAGGAAGGCACCACTAAATACTTACCATAAATAGTGTATTAAATTAGTGCGACATAAGGGGTCCAGGACAACTATGGCATTAGGCTTCCCCGGGGTTTTCCTGCCTTGAAGATTCAGTCGAATCATGAACTGTTTTTTGGGAATTGACACATATGTAATTTCACCTGGAAGAGAAAATAGTTATCAAAGTTTGGATCCATAGCAATGTCCATCATTGTCAGTGAGTTGTGGCTACGTCTACCATCCCCAGTCATTTGCCCCCGGTCCAGAGTGAAAACCAGGCATTTTAAGAGTGCCTACCCAACACCTCCCATGGAGTGTCTCAAAAAAAATTGAAAAATATAGCTACTACAACTTGATAGCTATCTATCTCTTGCAATCAGCCAAAAAGTATTTTGTGTAATGCACCTGTACCTGTTTGTATCATTTTGGAAATAGCTGAAAATGTTTAGTGGACTACCATTAGCAACTACCCACAGGTTAGAGTTCATTTGGGTTAGTTGTGGTAGGTTAGTTGAGTTGTTACTAGTGGTACCTAGTGGCTTCAAATTTGCAATAAAACTTATTTTGAGACACTTTTATAAGACATTGGAACATTTGTGGATTTAAAGTAGAGCTTCAAACAGCCATTCAATTGAAAACTGGGCAAAAATCTTTTTTTTACGGCACTCCAGCATTCTATTACAACAGTACCTATATCCAGCATATACAGCATTTTATTTCAACAGTACCTACATATCCAGAATTCAGCATTCTATTTGACAACCAGTCTACATCTGGATCATTCATCCCTTTCACAACTCATCTATACTTTCTTCATTAACGTACTTTTGAAAAACCAAGTCAAAAAAAAAATTCATGATGAAAATAGAAAGATTTTCTGGAAAACTAATTTTTAGACACCCTGTATAATTTACTAAGTGCTTATAGTTAAAGAGAATCAAATAAATCACTATTTAAATAAAAAAAAAAAACATAAATAAGAAAGTTCTGGATTGTTCCAGACTCAGAAATTAGGAAAATCAAAGGATGTTCATTCAAAATGCAATAAATGACAATTAAAAAAAAAAATTTGTTGGTAGTACCATTCGGAAAAATCTTAACTTGTGTGAAAAAAAAATCGAAAATCCCCGGACGCGACCTGGCGGTACTACTTCCATCGACAATGCGTACTCGACTAAATCTAAATCCCAAGTAAATCCCTTTGTCTTGTCCGACAAAGAAATCCGAATCTCAACCCCCAAAAAAAAAGGTAAACAGATAAGGTAATAAATATGAGTAAGTGAGATGGGCAAAAAAACTGCGTAATAGATTAGTATCCCGACGGCAATAATTGTAAATGTAAATCCCCTGTTTCTAGTTAGTACAGGGCCGAATTAGTGTTATTTTTTTTTTTTAAGTTTATTTTAGCTTTGTTCCAACAAAACAGAAAAAATTGTACATGGAACCATTTTATTCATTGGTCAATGTATTCGAATTGCCGATTGAATGGAATATTTGGTGAATTTGGCCTTATCAGACCAACAGTTCCGATTATGCAATTATTTCAAAACCTTATAATATGAATGTAAAATAGAAGCAATAGATATTTGGCCAATGTTCAAGTATAAGATCATCTTCAGGTTTAGGTCAAATTCTACTTTTTTAAAAATTAGGTCGTTTGTGTGCAAAATTAAACCTAACTTTGAGATGAAACATGATTTTTAGAAAGCGTAAAATCACTCGTAAGTAATTAAAAAAATTCCGAAATTTGTTTATAGGTTCAACTTATTAGGTAGGTAGGTTTATTTAGGGTGATGGTCTTCTTCTCATCCAGTTCTAGAAAATGTTTAACGGGAATTATCAGAATCGGTTTCAGAAATAGAAATGCCTGAGCCACTACGACTTTTTATTTTTCATTTGGAAGAACTTTTTTCTTCTCTGATTGCTTTTAGGAATCCTGAATTTTCCTTCTTTTTTCCTTCAACCATTTTTTCCCCCAAGCAGCATTTCAGGAAAAGTTGTACTATTGGTTCAATAAGTTTCAGGTAGAAAGTTTTTTATTTTATTGAATTTAATTTCTTCAGAATAAATGTGAAGGTACCTACAAAACTATGTATAGCTCCTATTTTAAATCACTGAACAATAAAAACGTCTGCACACACATTAATATCCGATATAAGCCCTATTTATCTATCATGGGCTAGTCAAGTCAAAAGCTGCCGACTAGATAAGGACAATATATATTAATTTATAATGTAGTTTAGTTTGTATGTTAACTACCTACATAACATATACTCGTGAAGTCATGCACAATGGCATATAGGCGGCCAGTACTTAGAAAAGCTGTAAAATTATTGAGCTTTCCTTTTATGTGGGGTTGTTATAAATGCAGTTCATAGACATACCTAATATTAGTCACACTTAACTCAATTATGTTATCATTTATGGTGACATTGGTGACTATATTTATTACTGACTGGAATCAATTAATAAAAAAATATATGAGTTGAGAAAAGCTCACTTTTCTACACAAGTTTATCAATAAAATCCATTTTTTATGTAGATTAAATCATTATTGCTTTATAATAATAACAATTCGCTATTTTGTCAGGAAAGTTCACTGTATGATTATTCAAAAACTGTACATAGGATTGAATCCATACTAACCTGGAAAGGTTAAAACCATGGTTTCTAAAAATTCAGCCAAAACTGTACAACTTTTGTATTAACACCTATCTCCTACTTGTAAAGGTAAAGGCTGTAGGTGGGGTGTCGATATATAAAAAAAACACCCTGTACAAGTAAGAGGATTATTGCGGAACTTATGGGTGGACCTCTGCAGGACGAGCACAGCGAGTTCCGCAGACATCTACTCACCAATATACTGTTGAACTGTTCAAATAAGACACTCACCTGAAGCGTGTACTTTTTAAACTAATGAGAATAACTCACATTTGAGTGAGTCAGATTAGTATCGTAATTACACAACATATTGATGAATAGATGGTTGCGGAACTCGCTGCGGTCGTCCCGCAGATGTCCATCCATAAGTTCCGCAATAATCCACTTACTTGTACAAGATGTTTTTTTATATATCGACACCCCACCTATAGCCTTTACCTTAACAAGTAGAAGAAAGGTGTAAATACAAGAGTTCCGCAGCCATCTACTCTACAATATACTGTTGAACTGTTCAAATAAGACACTCACCTGAAACATGTAGTTTTTGAACTACCTAATGAGAAAAATTCACAACTGAGTGAATCAGGTAAGTATTGTATTTGAACAACATATTGGTGAATAGATGGCTGAGTCCACCCATAAGTTCCGCAACAATTTACTCGTTTGTACTTAAATAACTTGTCACAATGTATTACTAGTTTGGTAAAGTAACATTACTAATTGCTGTTGAAAGGCAAATTGACAAAAAGTGGATAATCTTACAAATTTTGACTTTATATAATAAGTTATTGTTCAAGTACAAATAAGTGGATTGTTGCGAAACTTATGGATGGACCTCACATTTGAGTGAGTCAGGTTGGTATCATAATTACACAACATATTGATAAATAGATGGCTGCGGAACTCGCTGCGCTCGTCCCGCAGATGTCCACCGATGAGTTGAGCAACAATTCACTCGTTTGTACTTGAATAATTTGTCACAATATATTATTAATTTGGTAAAGTAACATTACTAATTCCTATTAATAAGCAAATTAACAAAAAGTGGATAATCATAATCTTACAAATTTTGACTTTATATAAAAAGTTAATGTTCAAGTACATTGATGTTAGGATTGTTGCGAAACTTATGGGTGGACCTCTGCGGGATGAGCGTAGCTAGTTCCGCGGCCATCTACTCACCAATATACTGTTGAACTGTTCAAATAAGATACTCACCTGAAACGTGTACTTTTTAAACTAATGAAAATAACTCACATTTGAGTGAGTCAGGTTAGTATCGTAATTACACAACATATTGATGAATAGATGGCTGCGGAACTCGTTCCGCTCCGCAGAGGTCCACCCATAAGTTCCGCAACAATCCACTCGTTTGTACTTGAATAACTCGTCACATTATGTTACTAGTTTGGTAAAGTAACATTACTAATTCCTGTTAAAAGGCAAATTGACAAAAAGTGGATAATCTTACAAATTCAGACTTTATATAATAAGTTATTGTTCAAGTACAAATGATTAAATTCATACTCTCTGCTAAAAACATGACATCTTTAATATGCAATTTATCTTCTTTTGAATAACTCTAGCTTCATGTTTTTTTTTTAAGCCGGCATTACAAAGATGTATATGATTGGATCGGGTTGAAAAGGTAGGTAATCCATTTTACCGCTATTACGTACATCCTACACACCGTTTTCTCGATATGTCCATAATTCATAGGCGATAAGATAGGTGTGTAAACAAATTTACAACTCGGGCAATTGTCTTTGCCCTGAAACCATTGTTAAGTTCCTATATAGAATTGAGAATTTTTTGTATTTTTGTTTGACTTGGGGCATAACTGATGTTTTATCTTGACTGTTTTAGTATGTATGTACGGAGAAATTGAGAAAAGTAATTGGCAGTTTATTTATTTCTAATTAGGTTTCGAACTGCACTTTTTTCCCGATAGATAAAATCGTCAATCATTATAACGTTTCTGCTCTAAAATCCTGAAAAAACTTTTTTCCGTCTGACAATAATATAAATGGGTCGATAAATCAATTTCTTTTACATCTGATATATCTATACGAACAGCAATCTGTTATTTACAGCAGATATTTCAACTTCTTCAATCGCATTCCTGCATATTTTGTTGGTTCTTACTTTGTTTTCAAACCATGAATAATTGTTGTCCCGGATATCAGTGAAACGCAACTTCAATTGGTAAAGAATAGTAATAATTTAATGAAAAAGTTATTGAAAACATTTACAGCCAAATAGTCAAAATCCAATACCAAACATACTCAATTACAAATAGCTTACAGTTCTGGTTTTTGTACCTGTCACCCCTGAAAAAGAAAAAACCGAATGTAATTCCTCTGGAAGGTTGATAATAGCATAGGTGAATGAAGGGCAGTTAGGATCAGAGCTCCTGAAAAAGTCTGTTAAAATTTTGAATTTTTTCTTGGATCTTGTATTTTTTAATCAAGAAACTTCGCAAGTTAAAGATAATAAAAATCTTCAGCAGAAATTACCTAGGTACCAAATAACTTCTTAAACAGCAATAAAAGTTGATATATTTTATGGATAAACTTTTAGGCATCTAAAAATTTAGTGTTAGACATTACCTTTTTCAACACACTATCGTCTGATCCATGAAACCTCCTGTTGATCTGAATTCTCTGTAAATACAAATCAAGGTGGTAATTTGTACTGTATCCAGAGCGAAAGCCAGTTGATGAAATGGGTCAAACATATTGCTAGATTGAGGGGTGCAGATGGTTCAGAAAACTGCGAAGACTTCCTACCTAGAAAAGAATCAAAGACAAATCCAGATTGCAACTGCCTAGAAAAGGTAGACCTGGAAATAACTTGAGCAGCAGTGTACCCAGAAGGCTATGTGTCATGATGATGATGATGATGCTACCAACCTAAACTAGACAAGAACATTTCTGCTACCATATAGAACATGATCATTGATCACTTGTCTCTCCATCTGGAAAACACAAATAATTTTGGCTGGAAAAGTTGTAGAGCATTCAGCTTTTCCATTGGGCCTCATTAGGCTGAATCTGAATCTACTTGAAATCACATTGTACAGATGACACCCAACAGCCAATCATAATTCAACCATTTCTCGCCGGCATTCGGTAGTGCCCCACTGCTACACTTACCTTATATAGTATAATCAGTGTAACAAATGGGATCCTAACCTATTATGGTGGACGGCCTCCCCAGGGGACACCAAATACCAAAAAGAAATAATCAAACCACGAATTGTTGTCCTGGATGTCAGTGAAACGCAACTTCAATTGGTGAAAAATAGTAATAATTTAGAGAGAAACTTATTGAAAACATTTACAGCCAAATGCTCGAAGTTCAATACTAAACTTATCGAATTAGAAGCAGCTTACCAAAGTTCTGGTTCCTGTACCTGTCACACCTGAAAAAGAAAAAAACAGAATGTAATTTCTCTGGAAGGTTGATAAAAGCATACTTATACGTGGACTTTTCCAGGACCTGTGGCGTGCCTGAAGGACAGTTAGGATCAGAGTTCCTGAAAAAGTCTGTTAAAACTTAGAATTTTTCGAGAAATTGGAAACATTTTCCAGAAGTTCATAGATCAAAGACTCAAAGACACAGTAGGGATTCTAAGCAGATTAAAAACAGAAAGACTGAAAAACGAAAAATAGCAGATGTACACACACTGAGTGTTTCTTTTGACTTTGGGTGATTGAACGAAAAGTACCTAATCTAAAAATATTTTATGAAAAGAAGGCTAAAAAAATGATAGAGATAGCGAAGGAGCGACGACATACGTTGTTCAAACTAGCTCCCAGAAGAAGAGCTGCAACATCGGCAATGAAAATGTGTGTTCTTAATAAATATTACAGATTCCTGTGTGAGGTATTTAAGTTTTGATACTCTAGGTACCTACTCTTCATCTTCCAAAAGAACTAAGAAGAGCTGTCCTGATACTAGAACTGATTAAGAATAAAACGAAGCTTTTTATATATCTTCAAAGGAATTCACAGCAAGGAATGGAATAAAGGCAAAATCTTATCAGATTCAATTAATAAGTTTAATTGATTATTGTTTTCAATTTCCAATTAACACGACACAGTAGTTAAGTTAAACAATGACCCTCCTACGTGTTTTTTTCCCTGTTCAGTCAAAAAGGTTGCAAAAATGGCGGTAGTTGCAAAAATTAAAAATACTTTGGTAATTTTGTTCTTGTTTGCATTTTGCGTTTTAGGACAACAATTAGCTAATCTGAGTAAGTACGCTTAGGTTTGCTAAAAATCTGCTTCTCAAATAAAATGTTTAGAATGCCAAGAATATGCTAAAGCAGTATATCAAAAACCCGCCATAGAAATGTCATTTCGTAGACAAGAAGAGTTGCTTCCAACTTCAACTTGTTCAATTTATGAAAATCCCTTAATTGTTGGCGGTACTCCGGCAAGATCCAGAGAATTTCCTCACATGGTAATTACTAATTATACACATAAAATTTTAATTTTATATAAGTTGCTTTAGGCTGTTATCGGATTTGGTCCATCGCCAGACTCAAATTTGGATTGGTTTTGTGGAGGATCTTTAATTAGTGATAAACACGTACTGACAGCTGCACATTGTACAATCTCCCAAAGGTAATGCATTTAGTACTACCTACGCAAAAGTACTTGTTGCGTACGGCCTCAGGTATAAAAGAATCGTAAAATTATTGTTTCACTTGTCTTGTTAGGAATTTATATTTTGTGCTCGAGGTCTTGCAAGAAACTCGACCTGATAAATTACACTTATAATGATTGAAGCACTGACAGTAATTTGGTTTTTGTTTTAGTGGTCCTCCGCAAAAAGTTAGACTAGGATTAATAAATTTAGATGATTATGTACAAGAAATATTAGTGGATAAAGCCTTGAATCATCCACAATACAACAGACCTATTAAATACCATGATATAGCCATATTGTTTTTAAAAAGCCTTGTAGTTTTTTCTGAATTTGTTCGTCCGGCCTGTGTGAATACAATCAAAGAGTTTGGGTATTCTGAAGCAGTAGCCACTGGATTTGGTAAAATGAGTTTTGGTAAGTAGATTCAACAATCTATCAGCATAAAGACTTATATAAGTGTTTTATTACCCACAGAAAATGAAGAGACTAGCAAAACTTTACTGAAAGTGAAGCTCGATATCATAGCAAAACAACAGTGCCTAAAAATCTTAACATTTTCACAGCACGAAATGCCACAGGGTTTTATTGAATCGATGATGTGCGCTGGAGCTATTGAAGGTGGTCGTGATACTTGTCAGGGTGATTCTGGAGGACCACTACAAGTAAAAGAGTTTCAGGATTTTTTTTTAAATATCTGTACCTATTTTTAGGTCACACTTGAAAACCCATATTGTATGTACAGTATAATTGGGATAACTTCTTTCGGAAGATTTTGTGGAATGGCATATTCTCCTGGTATTTACACAAAAGTTGACCAATACGTGCCTTGGATTGAATCAACAATTTGGACTTGAGAATATTTTAGTGTTTGTTAATTTTATTTAAATAAATATACCTATTATTGTTTCGTTGTAATAACAAGCTTTCAAACTATTTATATCTAAAATTGAAAAACAGCAAGTAGGTAAGTAGAGTTTCGAAAAATCCAGTAAAAGTTGCTTTACCATAAATCCAAAGAATCTTATTATTGTCAGTCAATATATTTATAATTACATATTATTAAAAAAAAAAGGTGAAGTGATATTATTTGACCTTTTAATATCGATAATTAAGAATAAAATTATCTGAAGTAATATGGGAATTCCATGTTCAACTAATAGGCCAAGCAATGAAGGAAGTTTACCTCAACATAATTAGAAGTTAACATTTTTTGGGGTGGATCGGTTCATTTTCATGTGCTTAATAACATATTAAGTTTGCGACCTTGTACTTTCATAGGGTTTTTAGTTAGGGGTGGTTTTTAGGGGTAATTTGCGGTTTATGGAGAACGCTGCTCAAAGGGATGGTCCAATAGCAAAAAGTTTCAAATGAATGTTGTAGCCGAAGTTTTTTGCTATAAAAAATTCAGCGACAGCACCCCTCTATCTTCTATAGTTTTTTTTCTGCAGCGTCTTAAATAGTAGCATGTTTTTGTTCAAGGTTACTGAATCAACGTTTTGCCATTTTGCGCTCATTTGTTGCAGCAGCGGCCGAATGCATAATCCGATTTCAATTTTTCAAACACCACATTATTGCTAATGAAATGCACTCTCTAATGCTTTTTTGTTTGAATTTTTTGCTTGAAAATTAAGCGAGCACGGACTTGTCTAATGTGCGAGGAAGTTGTAAATTGCGTCGAAAACTACCCCTTTCTTGCATTCACTGTAATTTCTAAACGGGGCCAAATATTTGGTGACAGTTTTCGACAATCGGCAGCCCATTTATTCCTCTCATAATGCCCCAGCGGATTTTTTTTTCGATAATTACCTAATGACTTATTGGCCTGAAAACGTCGCGCGGGATTTTTCAAAAAGTAAAAAAAAATTAAAATTGTCGCATAGCGCTGAAATTTGGTACGATGGCCTTATTTATTGTTCTCACGAATATACTGCAATTTTAATTGCTTCACATGATATAAGCTTGAACAAAAACATGCGACTATTCAAGACGCTGCAGAAAAAAAACTATAGAAGATAAAGGGGTGCTGTCGCTGAGTTTTTTATAGCAAAAAACTACATACAACATTCATTTGAAACTTTTTGCTATTGAACCATCCCTTTGAGCAGCGTTCTTCATAAACCGCAAATTACCCCTAAAAACCACCCCTAACTGAAAACCCTATGGAAGTACAAGGTCGCAAACTTAATATGTTGCATATTAAAATGGACCGATTTCCCTAAAAAAATTTCAACTTCTAATTATGTTGAGGTAAACCCTCTTTTCAGATCCCCGTTTCTTGGACTATAAATCGGCAGATGTAGCAAACCAATACTTTTATTATGTTACATGCGTTTTGTTTGATATTATTTTTTGCTAATTTTAACTGTTATCTAGCTAAACAATGGCTATCCGAAGGTAAGTAAGACTAATAAAAATATTTCTTTCACCTGTCCACTCTGTTATACAGGAGATAGCTGTGTGGTAAACAAAACAAACGAAAATGGTATTTGTAAATTCTTATCCAACTGTCCAAGTGAACAAGCCAAATTGAAATTGAACATTCATCCTACGCTATGTGGATTCAAAGGCAATAATAACATGCCTATAATATGTTGTCCTGAAGCCAGACCAGTCATACAAACCAGACAGCTTGGTGATATTGCTGATGAAAGTAAGCATTTATAGGTTTGAATGTAATGTTCTATGAACAAAATATTATTTTAGTGTGCAGAAATTATTCACAATACGTATTCACAGAGGAACTAAGTCCACTATCGATCATAAATGCCGCTTCAATAAAAATATATCAATGTCCGTTTGAAAAGCTACCCCTTATTCTTGGTGGAAATGCATCTGAAAGATACGAATTTCCTCATATGGTTAGTTATTAAACTCATACCTACAAAAAAAATGTTAATTTTCAATAATAATTTTTACGTAGGTCCAATTAGGATTTGGTGATAAGTCTCGTATAAAATGGGCTTGTGGTGGTTCTTTGATAAGTGAACAGCATATTTTAACGGCCGGCCATTGTGTGAATCCTGAAAATCTGTAAGTACGAACTTCTTGAAATAGTACTTTTGATGGCTCTTCTAAAAAGTGGAACATTGACATTTTGGGTATTTTCAGAGCATTCATGATTCATATTCCTCTCATCGTTCCAGCCATTTAGTGAATAGAAGCGCCTTTTAATTTTATCTTTGTGTACTTGCGTTTTTATAGAAGCTATTTTTATTCTCATCTCATCCATTATTCTATGAACACATCCACATGTTGCTCGGTCGTATCTAATTTTATGTTACAAAGATTTTGTAATTGTATTTCATTAGCATGCTTTCTTGAGAATTCCTTCTTTAACATGCGTGCCCGAGTTTCGAAGTGGTTTTCCACACATCACGGAGACATGTTGAAGACGGCCCCGAGATGTCCACAAACGACATTCAAGAAGTCTTCTAGACGTCTGCTTAACTACATCTTGAAGACGTCGTATGTTACAAGACCCAACGTCTTTCAGACGTCTGCCTAAAGACGTTTTCAGGACTAATATTTCATTATTATTATTCTTATTTTATCACTGTCAGTTCTGAATTAAATTTTAAGTGGTTTGAACTTTCCAAAAGGCTTATTAAAGTTCTAAAGGGTCCTATAACATTTTAAATGGTTTCCAGTAACTTCTAAATCGAATGAATTACGAATTCTGTGGAAAGTTTTTGTAGACATCTCAAAAACGTCCCTAAGATGTCCACAAACGACATTCAAGATGTTTTTTTAGACATCTGCTTACATGTTCAAAGCATTTTAAAGACGTCGTATGATACAAACCGCGACGTCTTTCAAAAGTCTTTATGACATTTTTCCAAGACATTCTAAAGACGTTTCTAACGACCTAAAAAAGAAGTCTCTACGAATTTGTGTTTTGTCTGGGTTGTGTGCTGTGACGTCTTTTAGGGCTAGTATTTTGCTTTAAGCAATTCTTATTCTCAGATTTGAAGCCGAAATCTTCTTACTAAAACGATGAAATTTCAATTTTTTTTTTTTTTTCAAGATTTTGTATCCTAATGGTCAATCAACATACCCCAAACTCCATATAATAAATTATATTCAGTGAAAGTTTCAGCTTTCTATCTATAATAGAAAAAAAGTTATGACCTTTCAAAGTTTTCCAAAATCTAAATCATAAGGTACCTTCTTACTAAAACGATGAAATTTCAAATGATTTTGTGTCGGGATTTTGTATCCTAATGGTCAATCAACATACCTCAAACTCCATACACTAAATTATTCTCAGATTTGAAGCCGAAATCTATGAAAAAAAGAAATCAGAAAAATTGAAAAATTGATAAATCCCCCAAATTGCTTAACATGATTTTATCTCAGGAACTATAAGTGTAAATGAGCTGAAATTTCCAGGGATTGTAGTTCTTTGAAAGGGATAAAATTCAGTGAAAGTTTCAGCTTTCTATATATAAAATAAAAAAAGTTATGACCTTTCAAAGTTTTCCATAATCTAAATCATAAAGTAGGTACCTTCTTACTAAAACGATGATATTTCAAATTTTTTTTTGTCGAGATTTTGTATCCTTATGGTCAATCAACATACCCCAAACTCCATACACTAAATTATTCTCAGATTTGAAGCCGAAATCTATGAAAAAAGGCACTCAGAAAAATTGAAAAATTGATAAATCCCCCCAAATTGCTTAACACGGTTTTATCTCAGGAACTATAAGTGCAAATGAGCTGAAATTTTCAGGGATTGTAGTTCTTTGAAACAGATAAAATTCAGTGAAAGTTTCAGCTTTCTATCTATATAAAATCTTACTAAAACGATGAAATTTCGAAAAAAGGCACTCAGAAAGACGTCATATGATACAAAACCCGACGTCTTTCAAACGTCTTTATGACATTTTTCCAAGACATTCTAAAGACGTCTCTAACGACCTAAAAAAGACGTCTTTGAAAATGTGTGTGCTGTCTGGGATTGTGTGCTGTGAAGTCTTTTAGGGCTAGTATTTTGCTTCAGGCAATTCAACTTAATATTACCAGCCTTCCGTCTGCCCAGCTCAGATAAACTTTTCAGCAATATGTAATTTGAAAACACGTACCGTACCTAACCACATCTTCATGGAACTACAAAATTTCCACGATTATCGTTAGGTACATTATGTAACACCATCAATCACATAGGTTCATTAATGTTTAGTATAATGTCATCGGTCTCATCGTCAACAGAATTTGGAGCCAATAATGACTGACAGAACTTCCTTGATTCTTCTGGCCTTTTAGCTAACTGCTTCAAGAAAACAAATCTCCTGTTGAAGTTCAGAGTTTGAAGTAACTATCCATATTACTTTTTTTTAGAGGGTTGGTTCAATATGCTAGAATGGGCTTCATAAACGTAGACGACACAGAAAACAAACAACAATTCAACATCATCGAACGAACCGTTCATCCACAATATCAAGCACCCAGTCCCTACAACGACATCGCTGTATTGAAACTGGAAAAGAAGCCGAAATTGAGTCTTTTCCTGAGACCTGCATGCCTCTACAACAAAAGAGAAGTGCCTGGACATAATGCTATAGTAACAGGCTGGGGTAGGCAAAGCGAGCACGGCCCAGAAAGCAAAGTTTTACTCAAGACTGTGTTGCAATATTATAATCAGAGTTATTGCAATTCAATTTTTCAACGTACGATTACTTTAAGAAGCGAGGGTATTAAAGAGGAACAAATGATTTGTGCCGGGTATGAGAGTGAAACAAGAGATGCATGCCAGGTAATATACTAAATTATTTGTATGTGCTTCCAGATGCATTTTTGAATAAATTTGCCATTATTTTTTAAGGGTGATTCTGGTGGACCTCTTCAAATTTATTCCACTCGAGAGGGGTACTACATGGCATGCATGTACGACATAATTGGAGTTACTTCTTTCGGAATTGGCTGCGGAAGATCTACAAAAATTCCAGGAGTTTACGCAAGAGTATCTAACTATGTAAAATGGATTGAAGATATTGTATGGCCACAATGAAAAATATCGCAAAATCGAATATTTATTTACTATTAGATGTTAATAAAATGTTTTTTGACCTTACGTGCTACTTGCACATGCAAACAAAATAAACCGCTTTAGGGAAAAAATAAATCATAAATTCAAATCAGCTGCATGAGAAATCCAGTATGTTGATCATCGGGCGTCAAGGAAGACTTGTATGCGTGTTCAGTATTATTATAACCTTTGACTAAATTTTTACAATGTTTATCGTGTTTTATTTATTGATATTGACTAGTTGCAGTCGTTATTTCGCCCAAGGACAAATTAATTATGAAAGTAAGATTATTCCAATAGCTATATTTTCTATTATTCCTAAGGTTAGCAGTATAATAATTTGTTTTTGTCATATAGGAGAATCTCGAGATTCTTGTGTAATAGCAAGGACAAATGAAAATGGAGTTTGCAAAATCCTATCAAATTGTCCCAGTGAACAAGCTAACTTGAAAAATAAACTTTTCCCTACAGTGTGTGGCTTTAATGGCAATGAGATTATGGTTTGCTGTGCAACTGAATTACCGAACAGAAAAACTAGAGAACCAGGAGAAATAGCCGATGAAAGTAAGTAGACCTACCTAATCAATTATAAATAAAAATGTCAACAATAATTACGTATCTTGAAGAATTTTATTTTTCAAATATGTCTAAATTCAGTGCAGCAGTAAATATGTTATTTTTGCTGATTTCCAAATAGATATTGATTTACCCAAGTTAACAAAAACAATACCTACTTAAATCTGAATACTTTACAATTTAACTATTTTGAACAGGATAGGCAAAACCAACTAAGTATCACATTTTTAACATCCAAATGAATAAGTGTTTTTGGTAAATTTAAAGTCATATCTTGTACATAAGACAAGTTGGTTGAGAGTTATCCTAATCATTTCCTCCAGTTGAGGTTCCAGCAGGAAATTCATCTTCTGTGGATATTTTTAAATTTTCCAAACGATCTTGAATTTTATAATTTTTGGGATATTTTGAAGGTAAAAAGTCTTTCTCGCTGTAACTTTCATAAATGCTGTCATTAATTTGATCAACAAATTTATATCCTATAAAATTGTTCACTGGTTGCTGTTAATTTTATGTATGCATTTTTAGTGTGTAGAAATTATTCACAATATGTATGGACGGAAGAACTGAGCCCGCTATCGATCATAAACCCCGCTCCAATAAAAAGATACGATTGTCCGTTTGACAAATTACCACTTATCCTTGGGGGAACTGAATCTGATAGAAAGGAGTTTCCTCATATGGTAAGTTGAGCGGGAATAAACATAAAAACTTCGATATTATCTTTGCTCATCGATTAGTAGGTACTGGGGTGATTGTCTTTATTTTGCACCCACACCTATCTCACCTGTTTGAAGAGATAGTGCCCTTCCAAAGTTTTCCAAAATCTAAATCATAAGGTTTTCTTCCTTCTTACCACAATACTAAAACGATGAAATTTCAAATTATTTCTTGTCGAGATTTTGTATCCTAATGGTCAATCAACATACCCCAAACTCCATACACTAAATTTTTCTCAAATTTGAAGCCGAAATCTATGAAAAAACGCACTCAGAAAAATTGAAAAATTAATAAATCACCCCAAATTGCTTAACACGATTTTATCTCAGGAACGATAAGTGCAAATGAGCTGAAATTTTTAGGGATTTTAGTTCCTTGATTGGGATAAAATTCAGTAAAATTTTCAGCTTTCTATCTATAATAGAAAAAAAGTTATGACCTTTCAAAATTTTCCAAAATCTAAATCATAAGGTACTTACCTGATAAGGTGAAACAGGTTCTGACCAGGCTTGGACGAACTTTTGGAAGTGGGCCGGAAAATTTCAGTCTAGCGGCCCATACATCATCACCCTAGATGTGATCAAATAATACTTAAGTTCATTATCATCAACGCATCCAAATTTTCCATTGTAAGTCGATACCTTGATCGATTTTTTATGTATTGAAGTGTTGAAAACTGAAAAGCATTTTTCGGACCCTACTTGTGTGACCCTAATTCTGTGTCATTTACATCATCTTTATCTTCATCGTTAGATTCTGGAGGATCATATATAACTTAAATTATTTAACAACTTTAATTGATTTCCTATTATCATCTTTATCTTCATCGTTAAATTCAGGGAGGTCATACAGTTCCGACCTTTTCAAGTAGCCTACCTAATTTTATTTAAAGCATTGTCTGTTCGGAAAAATTGATATATAATATGGAATATGCCCTGAATAAGATGCCTCTATTTTTATTATGATGCGATCATTGGCCACATCGCGTACTTACACCTGAAATTCAAAAATAGCACTAGCTGGAGGACTATCATCTCTGCTTCTTCCCCTGTTACTTCTCTCTTTTATTTGCTTTCAGTACTGTATTTGCCCATTTGACATTTTAAGCACTTTCTAATATTTCCTCCATGTTGCGTTGTTCCTTTTTCAGTGCGTCATGAATTGAATTGACCAATAATTCTTTGTGCTTTCATAAGGTCTGGGCCGGTATTCTCGTTCTCGAAAACGCTCATCGCTTTTCAGTCGCTCGGCACTTTCAATGTAAATTTGCATTTAAAGTGCCGAGCGACTAGAAAGCGATGAGCGTTTTTGAGAACCAGAATACCGGCCCTGGTCTCACAGAAATCACAAACCAGTCAAATTTCATTGGTTGAAAATAGTCAGAAAACTGTTTGTTGGCGATTTGCACCAATCAAAAACGCTCTGACTGGTTCATGATTTCTGTAAGAAAAGACCTTATGGAGCTAGTCCGCTTACTCAGGAGGCTCGAGGATTAGTTATGAAAACCTGGATTAAATACAATTTTCTTATGCACCGCAAGAAAAATTCGGTTTAAGCTTCAACGATGCGTGGATTAGCGGAACGGTGTCTAACCTGAAAGTATTTTTTGTCACCGATTTTGAAGTTTCTTGCAATTTTTTCATTATTTTGGTGTAAAATGGGTTAATATGTATAGATGATGATCTAGATAATATCCTCCATAATATCATAAACTTTGGGTTTTCTCGCAGAGTCTATTATAATCTGAAAGAAGTGATTATTTCGACAATATGGACTATTATCACTCGTTTTTTCGAAGATTTCGACTTACAAAACCTACAGATCCCAACTTCCTGGAGAACATAGAAGAAATTAAATTCCAAAATGATTTGTTACTTGATAGATAGAAGAAAGTATGTCTTTCTGTTGACTAGCTAGATTACCCCACCTCATGCACCTTTTTCAAATCCAACTTATTCTACGGGGAATGCCCCGCTACATAGGCACTTGTTTGGCGATATGAGGTGTAGTGGGTAGTGGTATAACAACTATGGATAATAGCTAGTATCTAACCTTTCTAGCAGCACTGCACCTATCCTCTGCCATAGGAGAGTAAAAAGTGTGTTTTTTTTTTAAACATAAAAGTCAAACTGACATTATGTTGGCAATACAATGTAAAACTGTCAATGCTTTCAAATTTATAAATGTAGAAAAGGCTTGTGTTGCCAACATAGTTACTAAATTTTTGACTTGGGGAATTATCTTTAAAAAAAAAACGCATTTTAGGTGCAGTGCTGTTGAATACTTCTGTTAATCGATTCTAAGCTTGAGACTTTCCGACATTGGAAACTTTGTATTTTTGTCTTCGATGATATTAGCGAATTTTGAAAGTATTTTCATGGGACTCTGCCTTTCTCCCGGGGAAAAGTTGGGGATTCTTTTGGTGTTTTCATCAGTCATTTTGAATATTTTTAGAAAATAAGAATGAAAATGAAGTAAAAATTGAAATTCCAAACTGACAACTGACAATATTTTAACAATAATGGCAGCAAATATCCAGTAAAGTTCCCCAAAATTTTGAAGAGGGCGCGAGTGAACTTGGAGTGCTTCAAATTTTGGCGGTAAATGTCAATAGTTTTAAACCGCTTAAATTACGTGAAAGGAAAGATGACTACATATGAACATTGGACAATGAATATAGTTAAAATATCTTCCAAAGCGTTCAGTGGCCCTTAGAGAATATTCTTAAAGGCGCCAAAATTTAAAGAGCTTCAAGTACAAAAGCGCCCTCTTCAATTCAACTGTCAATATTACATGCCATTGACTTGAAAAGTGTCAAAAACTCTCGAGATGCCAACGTTGCCACACTTCCACTCCGGATTAGTGAATCCGCTGACGGCGCATATAGACTGTGAGATAGGGGTTGTTTAGTGGAGTCATTTTTTTTTGTCTGGCATTTTGAGGGCTGAATGTGGGTTCTAAGCTGATGAGAATATGGGTGATTTTAATGCTGGCCTCCCGTTCGAAAATTTGCAGAAGAAAAAAATTGATTTACATGAAGATATTTTTTTTAATGGTCTCAAATTTTCTGGCTTTTAAATAAAAAATTGACATTGATAAATAATTCACCCATGAAAAATATCAGATGCTTTTCAATAGCTGAAAAAATAGGGATGGGTGTCAACTTCCAAGAGAAAAGAAAAGAACCTTCCGCGTTTACTTTTTGTCTGGCAATCGAGAGAATGAAAGGGTTTGTTGTGAAAATAACGCTGAAAAATCGCCAGACGGTAATCACAGTTCGAAATCGAGTTTTCCGGCGAAACATTCTGTGGAAATTTCGAACAGGAGGCAGGCATTAAAACCACTTATATTCTCATTAGCTAACTAGTCACATTCATCCCTCAAAATGCCAGACAAAAAAAATTACTCCACTAAACAGGCCCAATGAACAAACGGTGCATTCAGGCGTTAATGTCTATGGTTTAAACCTATCTTGATAAAGGTTTTGTTGTTCTAAAGATCGGCCCACATTCTGATCGGCCCACCGGGAATTTCCCGATGGGTTCATCCAACCCTGCGGGTCAATTCTTGAAAATTCTTGCATACGTAAGTTGATTCGAATTCGAATGACAGCAACGTAAATGGAATAGGAAACATTCGAAATCATATCAATTTTCGTATGCGAGATAATTCAAGAATTGGGGGCCTGGTCCTGACAACCTGCCAAAGTGAAACAGGTCCTAACAAAAATTAAAATTTTTATTAAATTATTAGTCAAAAATTCAATTCACATTTCAATGGTTTTATTTTGAAAATAATTACATCGAATCCTAGCTTGTAGGGTACTATTGAAAAGCATTTTTTAAGAGCTTTCAGATAAGGTATCACAAGTAGGGGGTGTCATTTAAGATTACTAAGATGGGGTAGCTGGGGGTGAGGGGGTGTTTGAAAACAAGTTAGTTATTACATAATTTTGTTTTTAGCGATTTTTTATATTTTTTTTGGATCCTGAGATACAGCCATTGTAAGTTTTTAAAATGTCACCCTGTATATATTTTCATTGACCTTATATGTCTAGGAATCTTTACTGAAAGTGAATATTTCTGCCAAACAATACAATAAAATGACTCTCACTTGATTGACGATCAAAAATTGAGCTCATTTCATTGAATTTTGAATTCACTGCCATATGAATATGTCTTTTATCTTTTATAACTAAGTATGTATTAATGGGGTTAATTGACATTCTACCTATTTAGGTTCAATTGGGATTTGATGAGGAACCTGGTATAACATGGGGATGTGGTGGTACCCTTATAAGCAACCAACACGTTTTAACCGCCGCTCATTGTATCGAACATAAAACACTGTAAGAAATATGAGAAGAAAAATATTACAGCAGAGACTAAATTGGGTTTTTCAGAGGTTTCGTAAAATTTGCACGAATGGGCTTCATAAAGGTAGACGATGCCAGGCACAGGCAAGAATTTAAAATAATCGAACGAATCACTCATCCACAATATGAACCACCTGCTCACTACCACGACATCGCTATAGTAAAATTGGACCAAAAGCCTGATTTGAATCTTTATGTCAGACCTGCCTGTATCTACACGAAAAGAAAAGCACCAGGAACTCGAGCCATAGTTACAGGTTGGGGCAAAATCCAAGATGGAGGTGACGAAAGCAAAGTGCTACTGAAAACAATATTGGAATATTACGATCGAGATTATTGCAGTAAAGTGTTTAAGCGTCAATCGAGTTTAAAGGAAGGTATTAGAGATGATATCATGATTTGTGCAGGGTTCAGGAATGAGACTAGAGATGCTTGTCAGGTGATTCCCAAAATAAAAATATTTAATATTAATATAAATGTTTCTTCTATTTTTCAGGGTGATTCTGGTGGACCTCTCCAAGTTTATACACTTCAAAAGGGTGATCACATGGCATGCATGTACGACATAATCGGTGTGACTTCTTTTGGAATAGGTTGCGGAATAGCCACCGAAATCCCAGGAGTTTACACTCGAGTATCAAACTATGTGAAATGGATTGAAGACATTGTATGGCCACAATAATATGAAAAATAAATTAACTATTGATGAATAGGTGTAATTTAAAAAAAAAAGGTCACTTTTATTGTTAAACCTATAATTTGGGATTTTTGAACGACAAATAAAACTATTTTTGTATGAAACAAATTAGTTCAAATTTAATTGTTTGTTGGCGGATTTCAAAATTGATTTGTTTATTCACACATTCATTCACTTTCGTCCTTTCCTGTAACAATATGGACGGATATGGTTTGCTTGTTGCGATTTTAGTGTGTCAATTATTGTGCAAGGTTGGGACTTTAGAGCTAGGTAAGTATAATGATGATAAAATCAATCGAATGAGTGACGATTGTTCTTGGGTTTTGAATACAATAATCAAAACGTTTACCTATTTGAAACGATCAGAAAATATTGAGGAAAATTCCTTTCCAGCATAAGTTATAAACGCTTCAAACATTGTTACCTAATTGTCAACATTTAACGTTAAAACATTATATTATAACCCTTACAATAGAAAGTTAAATAACTCACCTTTCAATGTAGAGAGATGTTTGTTGGAAAACAATCAGATGGGAAAATGTATTTCCGTCTCACTTTGTCCAAAATCATCTACACCGGTCAACACAACAGAAACCATTTGCGTCATGGGCAAAGTGTGTTGTAAGATTTCAGAAAAAATTATGACTCCTGCTGATAACTTCAACTACGTGCCAGTACAGCCTCCAAATGCTGGTAGTGCAGGTAACCAGTATGGATCAAGTAAGTACCATGAGTAGATTGATATTGTCATTTTAAGTTCTATATAGTATAAGGTATTGAGAAATGGACTAAGAAATAGAAGAACTTAACTAGGTATCGATTCTCAATATATTTATTTTATCGAACACAACGTGGAAAGTAGAGAGTGTGAACTCGTAGAACTAACTATAGGAACTGACTCAACATCAAAAGACAAAGAATTACAAACCCTTTCTTAAGTAAACAATTCCTCATCTGTTTATCTTACACATAAAAACTATTATAAACACATTCAGTCATCCATAGCTGCAATGTAAATTGGCAAAGTTAATACAAAGTTCAATTTATTAATTTTTGGTTCACTGATATGAATATCAGTTTATCCAACTCCAAATCATAAGGTAGGTACCTTCTTACTAAAACGATGAAATTTCAATTTTTTTTTTTTTTGTCGAGATTTTATATCCTAATGGTCAATCAACATACCCCCCAAACTCCATACATTAAATTATTCTCAGATTTGAAGCCGAAATCTATGAAAAAATTGAAAATTGATATATTACCCCAAATTGCTCAACACGGTTTTATCTCAGGAACTATAAGTGCAAATGAGCTGAAACTTTCAAGGATTGTAGTCCCTTGATTGGGATAAAATTCAGTGAAAGTTTCAGCTTTCTACCTATAATAGAAAAAAAGTTATGACCTTTCAAAGTTTTCCAAAATCTAAAATCTAAATCATAAGGTAGGTACAGGGTTATCGGTTATAAATGTCACCCCCCTCTATCTTTTTTATTTGACATTTTAGAAAAAAGTGTCCCAAATAAAAAAATTATGGTTGAAATTAAATTTTTTGAAAATCTCACTTTTGTCTATACAGGGTGTTTCAAAAAAGCTGGTCGTGCTCCAACTTTCTTATTTCAAATTGAATACCCTATATATTATTCAATATTCGGATTCTACGTCAAATTCTGAGCAGTTTTCATGTGATATACCCTATACCTAAGTTCAACTGTTTTGGAAATATTGACAGTTGAAAACTTACTTTTTTGCAAATTTGACAGGCTGTTAAACCTAAACGGTTAACTTTTGAGCAAAACCGATAGCCGAAATCTATGAAAAAAGGCACTCACAAAAATTGAAAAATTGATAGGTAATTCACTACAATCACACAATGACTACACTTTACTCGTCTTGAAAATCAGGCTTTCCTTCTCAAATTGGCATTCCAATGCTACACTTACTCATACCTACATAACTAATAAAATTGAATGGATTCCTATTTTTTAATACTAATTTTAATCTAATTTTAGTAACTCCAGCTATTGCTAACCCAACATCAAACGGAGGTTTTCCTTCTAATACTGGCCCAGCAAATGGTGGTTCTCAATCGCCTGGTAAGGAACACCAACCCTACAGGAATTTCATTAATCTTTTTACATTTTTAGGTACCAGCATCCCAGGAGGCTTTCCTAATAATAATCCTCCGAATGGGTCTTCTCCTCCAAATGGGTCTCCGCCTCCAAATGGCTCTTCTCCTCCAAATGGCTCTTCTCCTCCAAATGGATCACCGCCATCAGGAGCGCCACCAGCTTTAGTTGGAAATATTGTGGCTGATCCAGATACAATTATAGTTTCAGCAGAAGTTCCTAATAATGCATTAGATTTTTTTGAACAAAGTAATAATAACAACTAGAAAAAAGCTAGAAAAAAATACAATAATTATATTTTTAAGAATGCAATCAATTTGCCTCGAGGTCAGGAACATTAAGGCCGATTCCTACAGTCCAAGGAAGCTATACTCCTATAGTAATGATATATGGAGGAGTCTCGTCAGAAGAACAAGAATTTCCTCATATGGTAATTACCTATATAAATTCATTGATTCTTATTTAAATAAGGGTTTCTTTAATTTATAATAGGCTGCATTAGGTTATGGAGAACCAAACGCCAAGCAATGGCTTTGCGGTGGTAGCTTGATTAGTGAAAATTTTGTACTTACAGCTGCACATTGTCTATCCGCTCGAGCACTGTAAGTAATACAAAAACCTCATTACCTAACTATTCAGATTATTATTAATAACCCATCTATTTCAGTGGAAATGTTCGTTATGTAAAACTAGGAAATCTAAATCTAGATAAAGACACCCAAAACACCCAACTAAGAAACATAATTCGTGCAACACCACACGAACAATACAACTCTATATCTCAATACAACGACATTGCTCTATTACAATTAGACCAGCCAGTACAAATAACTAGTTACGTTGCACCCATTTGCTTACATTCAACCAGCAACTACGAAGACAGAAATTTGGTTGCAACTGGCTGGGGCAAATCCCAATCTCAAACGCGCAGTTCCAACTTGGAAAAAGTCGGTTTGGAGATTTTCAGCCAGACGGAATGTAGCAATGCGTATGCGGGAGTATCCAGGCAACAGCTACCTCTAGGTATTCAAGAGCTGATTCAAGTTTGTGCTGGTAGTCATTCGCAAAGCAAGGATACTTGTCACGTAAGGATGGTGGGAATTTCGCATAATATCAACTGGTTTATTTTTTCTCAGTGAAACGACAGAGCGGGTCAACTAAGTTTTGTTAGTTAAGTTTCACTGAGGAAAAAACTTAGTAAAAAAAAAACAACCCCTTTCCAAAATTTTCTTCGCAGGGTGATTCCGGAGGGCCTCTCCAATTACGCAAAAACAATAGATGGTATTTGGTCGGTATAACTTCCGTTGGAATTCAGTGTGGAGTTGCTAATGTTCCAGGAGTTTATACTAGGGTGTCAGCTTATCTTCAATGGATCCAGCAGCGTGTTTGGAATAAATAATAATGTTGCAATTTTATATACAAATGTCTTAATATTTAGCAATAAACATATTATTATTACAATTTTCTTGATAACTCTTGACTGGCAAATAATTAAACTAAATAGTTGATTAGCAGGGATGCAGTCTTGTATGGGGCTAATTCTTACTAATTAACTATTTAGTTTTATTATTATTAATATATGTAGTTTGTATTAAATCATAAGGTAGGTACCTTCTTACTAACTAAAACTATGAAATTTCAATTTTTTTTTTGTCGAAATTTTATATCCCAATGGTCAATCCACATACCCGAAACTCCATACACTAAATTATTCTCAGATTTGAAGCCGAAATCTATGAAAAAAGGCACTCAGAAAAATTGAAAAATTGATAAATCACCCCAAATTGCTCAAGACGATTTTATCTCAGAAACTATAGGTGTAAATGAGCTGAAATTTCCAGGGATTGTAGTTCTTTGAAAGGGATAAAATTCAGTGAAAGTTTCTGCTTTCTATCTATAATAGAAAAAAAGTTATGACCTTTCAAAGTTTTCCAAAATCTAAATCATAAGGTAGGTACCTTCTTACTAAAACGATGAAATTTCAAATTTGTTTTTGTCGAGATTTTGTATCCCAATGGTCAATCCACATACCCGAAACTCCATACATTAAATTATTCTCAGATTTGAAGCCGAAATCTATGAAAAAAGGCACTCAGAAAAATTGAAACATTGATAAATCACCCCAAATTGCTTAACACGATTTTATCTCAGGAACTATTAAAGCAAATGAGCTGAAATTTTTAGGGATTGTAGTCCCTTGATTGGGATAAAATTCAGTGAAAGTTTCAGCTTTCTACTTATAATAGAAAAAAAGTTATGACCTTTCAAAGTTTTCCAAAATCTAAATCATAAGGTAGGTACCTTCTCACTAAAACGATGAAATTTCAATTTTTTTTGTGTCTAGATTGTGTGTCCTAATGGTCAACTAACATCCCCCAAACTGCATACACTAAATTATTCTCAGATTTGAAGCCGAAATCTATGAAAAAAAGCACTCAGAAAAATTGAAAAATTGATAAATCACCCCAAATTGCTCAACACGATTTTATCTCAGAAACTATAAGTGTAAATGAGCTGAAATTTTCAAGGATTGTAATCCCCTAATTGGGATAAAATTCAGTGAAAGTTTCAGCTTTCTATCTATAATAGAAAAAAAGTTATAACCTTTCAAAATTTTCCAAAATCTAAATCATAAGGTAGGTAGGTACCTTCTTACTAAAACGATGAAATTTCAATTTTTTTTTTGTCTAGATTGTGTGTCCTAATGGTCAACTAACATCCTCCAAACTCCATACACTAAATTATTCTCAGATTTGAAGCCGAAATATATGAAAAAAGGCACTCAGGAAAATTGAAAAATTGATAAATCACCCCAAATTGCTCAACACGATTTTATCTCAGAAACTATAAGTGTAAATGAGCTGAAATTTTCAAGGATTGTAATCCCCTAATTGGGATAAAATTCAGTGAAAGTTTCAGCTTTCTATCTATAATAGAAAAAAAGTTCTAACCTTTCAAAATTTTCCAAAATCTAAATCATAAGGTAGGTAGGTACCTTCTTACTAAAACGATGAAATTTCAATTTTTTTTTTGTCTAGATTGTGTGTCCTAATGGTCAACTAACATCCTCCAAACTCCATACACTAAATTATTCTCAGATTTGAAGCCGAAATCTATGAAAAAAGGCACTCAGGAAAATTGAAAAATTGATAAATCACCCCAAATTGCTCAAGACGATTTTATCTCAGAAACTATAGGTGTAAATGAGCTGAAATTTTCAGGGATTGTAGTCCCTTAATTGGGATAAAATTCAGTGAAAGTTTCAGCTTTCTATCTATAATAGAAAAAAAGTTATGACCTTTCAAAGTTTTCCAAAATATAAATCATAAGGTAGGTACCTTCTTACTAAAACGATGAAATTTCAAATTTTTTTTTGTCGAGATTTTTCATCCTAATGGTCAATCAACATCCCCCAAACTCCATACACTAAATTATTCTCAGATTTGAAGCCGAAATCTATGAAAAAAAGCACTCAGAAAAATTGAAAAATTGATAAATCACCCCAAATTGCTCAATAAGATTTTATCTCAGGAACTATAAGTGCAAATGAGCTGAAATTTTCAGGGATTGTAGTCCCTTGATTGGGATAAAACTCAGTGAAAGTTTCAGCTTTCTACTTGTAATAGAAAAAAAGTTATGACCTTTCAAAGTTTTCCAAAATCTAAATCGTACCTTCTTACTAAAACGATGAAATTTCAAATTTTTTTTTCCTCGAGATTTTATATCCTAATGGTCATTCAACATCCCGCAAACTCCATACACTAAATCATTCTCAAATTTGAAGCCGAAATCTATGAAAAAAGGCACTCAGAAAAATTGATAAATCACCCCAAATTGCTTAACACGATTTTATCTCAGGAACTATAAGTGCAAATGAGCTGAAATTTTCAGGGATTATGCATAAATTTATTGATATCCATAAGATGTTACTGTGAAAATGCTTAAACCTGATACCTAAACATAAGCCAAAGGCGGTGAACCCATAAAAACCGATCGTTAAGATGTTAATGTCTTAATAATCACTTTAAATACGGCAATAAATCTCTTGTGATCGCCATCTGGAAAAGATAGGCTTATTTTGTCGACAATATGATTTCATCCGCCCTTGAACGTACATCGAAGTTCCACTGATGGTTTGATTTTATTAGTCTGAAGCGTAGAATTATTTACTTAAAATGGGTTGCGCGTGGTTAATGTGTTTTGTGGTTTTTATGGTTAATTTTTGTAAAATTGAAACTTTGGAACTCAATCATCAGAATGTTGGTCAAGAAAATCTTGCTAGTGAAATTTCTTCGATGAAGACTACAATGAAAGTGTTGTCAGGTAAGAATTGTCTTTATGTTCTATGTATTCCAATATCTCAGTTATTATTTTTGTACATACCTAAACATTTATATTTTTAAAACTCAAAAAACTGAATCCCTTAAAACACATCACCAAAAATCTTGGTTTCTAGATCAATGGGAAAAATGGAACACCCTTTTTATTACATCATTAGAACCCCGAATAACATCTACAGCATCTACGCTAACCAGCATAGACACAAATATCCATAATTTACAGGAACGTGCTCACGTATGGGATACATTTCAACTTCACGTAGCTGCTTGGAACGATCAACTGGCATCTATGGACAGGAAAATTGATATTCTAAACAAGTAAGATTTGATACTCCTGTATCCAATAGTCAATAGTCATTACATGAGAGTTGTAGATGAGTAAAATAACTATTATTTTTAGGGGCATAGAACAGTTAACAGTCTTAGACAACAAAATGAATACAATGTTATCAGAGCAATACAAGCAAGACAAATTGATAAAAATGACAAATTCCTTGCTGGACACTGTAATTAACATTGAAACTTCCATCAAGTCCAACCAATGTTGCAAATCGGCACAAAATACTTTATTTGAGGAATTTGCTGCCCGCGGAATATTGAGTTCACTTAAGCTTGTCGAGCGAAAAGTTGATCAACTTTTAAGCAGTAGACAAAGCGATAAATCAAAATTAGCAGTAAATGAAGACACTATTGCTAAATATGCCATATCTAAGTCAACAGAAAATTTGATTAATGATATATCATCTAAAGTTGATATTATTTTTGATTCAATTTCGAAAACAATTGAAAATGATTATACAGATGAATACATTGATGCCGAAGGTAGTGGTAGTAATCATTTACCTAAATCGCATAAGCCTACATGCAAATCTATAAGCGATAAAATTACTAATATAGATACAAAAATAGCAGATTTAATTGTAGCTTCCAGAACTTCAAAAAACGCAGTAAACAGCGAGGATTTATTAGTTATGCTAAATCAATTCGCCAAAGCAGTCAGCGTCAATCAAACCAGAAACATGAATATACTTTTGGATAGTTATTTTCATAAAGATAAAGTCTATTGGTCTTCAACGCTTAATACTTTGAGCCAAAAATGTTTTCTTAAAAAATCTACGTCGACTGTAGAAGACTCTACAATAACTACTCCGACTGAAAGTAGCAGTGGTACTGAGAGTGTTCGTGCTACCAATGATTATAGGCAACAATATACAACTGTGATTAATAGTAAGTGGGATTTGTGTCTACTAATTTTAGTGTATTTTTGTATAATCTATTGTTTGTTGTTGAAATGTGTGGAAAAAAGTAAGGGCACTACAGTTTTATATTTCTCCTAGTAAAAGTATTTCTTTAGTTGCTAGGAAAATAACTCTAATCTAGAATTACCAATGAATTTCAATATTGAAAATGGAGGCTAATCCTCATAGCTGTATCCTGTATGTCAGAATTGATTTTGAAATATGTTGGTAGATCAGCATTATAGCTGAGATTTTTTACTGAAAAGCCAGAAAGTTTTCCCTTTTTTTTTCAGAAATTGACAACCCACCACTTAAAACAATAAATGGTACTTCTTGTAGTGACATGGATAATGATGGTCCCAGTGGTCTTTATTTAATTAAACCCAGTTATTTGCAGCTATTTTGCGAATCAAGAAACAATATTTTCTGGACTGTCATACAGCGTAGAGACAATTATTCAACTCAGCAAAACTTCAACGAATCTTGGAACAATTACAAGTACGGATTTGGCGATTTACGACACGACTTTTGGATTGGCAACAGATTCTTGTCGAGATTATCCAACAGTAATAATTTAACATTGAGAATCGAAATGGAAGATTTTGATGGTAACAATGTATGGGCAGAATACAGTACCTTTAAAATTGCTAATGAAAATCAGCATTTTCAATTGACAATTGCAGGTTACAGTGGCAATGCCTCTGATTCATTTTCAAGTCATAGTGGCGCGTATTTTAGCACTTATGACGTGAAAAATGACTATGCTCCGGATTGTTGTCCTTGTTCTGTGTCTTATGGTGGAGGATGGTGGTTCAACAGGTAAGATTTTCGAAAAAAAAAAAATTAAAAAACAAATACGAGTATTTTCAGGTGTTTTGAGTCAAATCTCAATGGAGTTTATTACAAAAAACCTCACGAAAATGACTACTTTAGAGGAATAATTTGGGAGCACTGGCTGGGAAATTATTCATTGAAGAAATCTTTGATGATGGTTAGAACTTCAGGATCTAGTCAAGTTTCTAGCACAAAGGTGACTAGATTTGAAGATCCTTAAACTGCATTAGAGTGAAAAAATAAATACAAATAATAAATTCGGTTTTATTGATTTTGGTCGTTAATAGGTATAAAAAGGAAAGAGAAACACAAACTACGTGCTTTACATAAAAAAAATAATTAATCCAAGATATCTCTAGAATTTAAATTTTTTACCAGAATTGATCAAAAAGGAAATACCTATCAGTTAATAAATATACCAATCTCTAATTTTGGGAGAGAAAATAGAGCCCCGCTGTCTTAGACTACTACTGATGTCTCTACTTTTCAACCCTATTATAGGTCTGTTCACACATCAATCACAAACCAGTCAGATCAAATTTCATTGGTTGAAAACAGTCAGAATACTAATTTCAACCAATGAAATTCACTCTGGCTGATTTGTGATATATGTGCGAACAGACCTTATGTTTTCAGTAATTCACTAAAGAAATAATAAGGAAGAGTAAGAAAAAAATTTCAAAACTATTTGAATTCAGAAATGTATATTAACACTAAAAAACATAACAGTAAAAAACTAAAATATGTAGCTAGATTATATTTGACTAACCCCTATTTTTTTACCAGTTCAAAACAAAATTAAAATAAAACATATAAGTAAAAGTTCCAGGCAGAATAATTAATTATTCACCCAAAAAACTTGCCATGGTAATAAATGTAATACAATTCTAAAAAATATATTCTTGTTTATGTTTATAGCTTAATTTAATTCAACATCAAACAACTTTTGTAGTAATTAGATTATAAAACTAGAAAAATTAGTGCAAAATTTGACCTAAAACTCCTATAGTATTTACTTTTATAATCTAATTACATGACAAAATATTGAATTACTTACTTAAGTATTTTAAAGACTAGTTACACAACTTTTAGCTTAAGTAATTTGTTTAATTAAAAACTACCCCCTACTTAAGAGCACTTTCAAAGGACAGAATATCATTTTTGTGGGTTATTTTTGATACCTTGTCACGGACACATCCAAAATATCAATAACTATATAATCTAAATTCGATAAGTGTTGTTAAATTTTCGTTTTAGTTCAAAAATAAGCTAATCAAATAAGCAATTAAAATAAATCAGACTTTTACTATTCTAGAAAAGATTTGAGAGATTCACACAGTGTCATAATAAGGTGTAAAAAATGTTTTTCTCGAGACAACAGAATCCAGTGGAATTCTATGAAAGTTGCGCGTGAGAGAAAGCTGCCTCCAGAATATTTGAAAAGAAAAAAACCAGTCTGATACAATTTTTACACTCTTGGACAAAATTATCAAATATTTTCCATTACCAAGAGATTGCAAATGTAAAACAAATAATGTTAGTTTCACAGTCAAATGAAGATTACTCAATCATTTGAATCAAAAATACATTCCAGTTAATAGCATGATGAGAAGGAAATTTTCAAGTTTAAAACTTACTAAATAATAATTACAAAATGTTCAATATTTTTTCCAAGAGTCTACCTATACATATAAAAAAAATATATTTTTCGCAATTAATTTTTCATTCAGAGTTTGCTCAATGTTAAAGAATTTAAAAAAAAATATATATGTAAGAGGTTGAAAAGGGTAAGGTGGGTAAAGCACAATCCATTTTAAATATCACTGATCCTCTTAACATTCGTTATTTTACTGGTATGACACATATTTATAAAAAAGCTGCAACATTTATAATGGATCATTACATAGTTTTATATCTAAAACATATCACATACAAATATCAATAGTTGGATTAAATATCAATTTTTGCTGAAGCGGAAAAACCTGTGAGTGAGGCACACATCTATTGTAATAAACAAATAATTCAATGCAATTACTGGGGAAAGGCCAGCGATACCTAAATGATTAATATTAAAGGCTAAAGTTTAACCTTTTACTTATTAGAACTTTAACACTTTTTTTTACATCAACATTTATAATAATTCTGCTCCAATTTAGAATAAATGCCTTCCACACTAAAAATTGTCTTACATCTATCTATCAGTAAATATTCACAAATAAGAGAGATTCAGGTTAGCTGAAATAATTCGAGAGAGAGAGAGATAGACAACAAAAAAATCCGCAAAAGGTTACCACTTTAAACTAAATTGAATTTTACAAGCGATTATTATAGTAGTTTGGTTTTTAGCGTTGTAGCCCATATTTTTTCACTTTATGCTTACCCACAACAGACATTTCAAACCTAAAGGGTGTGATAGTTCAATTCCGTCCTGGCCTTGTAGAATTTGAACGCCACAAAACCAATGGCGACTAGACCAAGTGCCAAAATAATACCTAAAAAAGGAAGTTGCTCATCACTAGAATATTTTCTGATGGGTTTGCACATGCATATTTTGTTTCCACAACCAAATGAACTGAAATCAAAAAGCCCTGATGGTAAGATTCAGTTCCAATCATGGAAGAGCCCTCTGTTAAAATTTGTTACCCTGAACTATTGGGACATGATTGGAAAGAAGCTTTTCAATAATAGAGATCTGGGATATTTCTGAACATGTGAGAGCTATTGATACTGAGTAGTAGTAGAAGCAAGTCTCATAGTTTGACAATTTCACAAAGTATGCAAGGAAGTTGCATATCTGTTCACATCTAAAATTGTCAGAGATCCTGGGCAATAAAACAGTTTGATGTGAATAAAGTATTTCAAAATTCTTTTCTGAAAAATAACCATTTATCAAAACACCAAATTTTTGATATTGAAATTATGAAAGAAGCGTCAAAATACTGGAATGTGAGAGTCAATCAGTGCCTGTATAAAAATAATGTGAGGAATAATGATACTTTTATGCTGATGGTTGCCAATGCTAGTCAATACTCGATTCAATACTACTACAAGAAATTGTGAAGTCAATGAAAAATTAATTCGAAAAAAAAAAAAAACTCAAAAATATAATGATTTGTATCTTGCAGAACCTTAGACAAATACCATGGAAGTTATTACTTACCACCAACAAAACTGGGTCCGTCAAATTTCCTATCGTGATGATGTGGTGCTGTTGTGGTAGTGGCAGGAGCTGCAGTAGAATTTGGTGTAGTTGGTTCTGTCGGTTTTAGGGTAGTTGAGGTCGTTGAGCTGCTTTTAGTTGTTGGTGGGGTGGGATTAGGAGTGGTAGTAACAGTTGTGGTGGACTTAGGAGTTGTGCTAGTAGGGGTAGTGGATGTAGTGACATTTGGAGCAATTGTGGTAATATTTGGAGAGACAGATGAAGTGGGGATAGGTGTAGTTGGAGCTGAAAAGAATATTTCAATTAACTTATGAGAATAATGGCCATTTGCACGGCTATCACTTAAGGAATATTTAATTTATTTAATTTAAGTGGAGCTTTGAATGTACCTTTGTTTTTACAAGAGTGACATTCAAAAAAAGCTCCACTTAGATTAAATATCCCTTAAGTTATAGCGGTGCAAATGGCCGTAACATTCAAATTATAAAAGAAATATGTAAAAATTACTAATATTTTATATCATCGACTTAAAACTGGTTGACTTTAGATGGTAAAACCCATTTATTCAAGAAAATATTTGCTACTTTCGAAATTCAGTGTTTTAGCTTCAAATGAACTATGAAGTGTGCTATAAATTAGAAATAAATTATAAAGATGAGACCGAGTATTATACTTACCAGGTTGAGGATCTATTTTTGTAACAGGAATGCCGGTCACGTTAGTTCCATCAATGATTATATCATCATTTGAGTCTGAAATAAATTATTTACAAATTTCATTACATGCAAAACCTATTTTGTGTACTACCTATCCAATTTTGGAATTGGAGGTATATAGTTTCAAAATGCAAAGGGTTGAATCTGTTAATAAATACAACTAACAAAATTTCCAGGAATAATAAACCTATGTATTACATTATTTTGAAAAAAGTATAATTATTATTCTCAAACATTGCTTGGTCACCTCGATTCTGTTGGATATTTTTTTAAACATTTTTGGATGCTTGGAAATTCAGATTCTATGTAAAGGCCTATCTTATTTTGATTTTGTCAAATTTAGAACCAAAATACAGCTCAGATGATAAAGATAGAGTTTTTGAGCGCTTTAACTATCAGATTCTATGATTTGCTCATATTTTTTCCGAGTTTCTGATTCAGAGAAAGAGATTTGAGAAGAATCTTCATTGGCTCATAAATCAGATCCAGAGCAAGAATGTTGGTGTGATTTAGTAGAGTGTTTTTTTTTCTCTTTACTACTCTCATTTTTCATTCCCATTGTTATCTATTTGAGACCAATAAATTATGAGCTTTCAAAACAAATTCAAGATTCTGGAATAGGAAAATTAGGTACTTTAATAATAATCTAGCTAATTGTTTTTACCCTGTAAAATTCTCTAATTGTTAAAAGTTTCTTAGTTTTTCATATTGTTGATGTCCACTTTAGAAAGAAATTCTAAATTCTGTAGTTAGGTGAGTATTAGATCTATTCTACAGGGTGTCCCACTAAGATCGACGAGGTACAAACTAGATTTTGGTTAAACAGCGCCCTCTAGAAGACGCGGTGGAAACTATCGACCCTGAACGAAGTGGTGTTCTTAGTAACAATGAAATTCTCTTTCAAATGAGCCCAAATTGAATGAGTTTGAATAAGGGGTATGGAAGATAAATACACCAATTTTAAAACTATTTTTCACCAGCTTCCCCCACCCATATTAGTGAAGACATGACAAAAGCCTAATATCCAAACTGGCGTAAAAATTAATGAACTTCTAATTTCTGTTGCTTAAACCGAGGCTTAAACAGTTCCAACAATTTCTCTTAGTCGATTTAATGAAGAAAAAAAAGCTGTAAGGTCTATTGTTTCCATAATATTTTACCTTGCCAACCTTAGTGGGACACCCTCTGTAGTCTAAAGTACAAACTTTTCCTTTAATCTTTTTCAGTGTTTGGGAACCGTTAATCAACTTTCTAAATTCACATTTACCTAATTATAGGTATTACAGGCAATTACTTGAGGTTTATCTAGAATTGTGAAATTAAATGAGCAAAAATGTTGCTTACTGTGGGTAGTACAAACAATGTTAACTATTTTAAGTAATACCTTATTTTGTGTGACCCACATTTAATAAGTATTTTTTTTTTATTTGCTGTTGGTAGCACCCACAATAGGCAGAGTAGCATTGCTTATCAGAAGGTATTATTTTACTTTTTGTATTACATTACTGTTTCTGTTATATTGTTATTCGAGCTGAAAACAGATAGGAATTGTGATTAGAAGGATCTTGAGTTTCAACATAGGATTGATTTCCAGCAAAAACTTATATATTTGTCCTTTTTATACTTATGAGGACATGGTAGGATTCGAATATTTCTGGAAATATTGAAGCCTCTCAAGTGGGTTTATTATTATATTTAGATAGCAGTTGAAAAAAATCAGCAATTCACCATTTTGAGAACATTTTTTTTTCACACAATATAGAAATTGGAATATTTTGCATTCCTAGGTAAAGTAGGTATTTATCGAAAAAAAAAAACTTACCTGCAAAACAGGCGCTGAAGCCCAACAGCAAGAAAAAAGCAAAATATTGCATTTTGAATTATCTAGTTTAATTGTAAATCGAGCTATTTCAAAATGATTCTTATCGTTAGCAATAAACTATGTAGAAAAAAACAAGCTGCCACTATCAAATAAATGATGTTTTCTTGGAAAAGTTGAAAAACAATAGGTTCAAAATGTCAAATGACGTCATCCTAATTTGTGTGGAAATATTTGACGTAGCGTCTATGACAGATTCGCTAGGAATGGGCGCTTTTATTCATCGATGTATCCATCAGCAGCCCGTGAAAGAAACAGCTCGACAAAAACCCTAATTAATAGAAATATGTACATTCGCTTAGGCCCAGTTGTACAATCTTAGTTCAAAACAGAGTTCAGCTGAATTCGACTCTGGTACTTGAACTTCCTCATTTGAAATGCATTGCTGTCAAAACAGTCAAGAAACAGTCTAGTTTCAACCAATGAAATACACTCTGACTGGTTTGCGATTTCTGCAGAAACAGCTCTATTAATTACCGTGAGTTTGGTATTTTGATCTGAGCTGCTTTCCAGTGCCTAAATTGTTAGAGTATCATGCTCCTGGAGTGTGACGCTCTTGAACTGTTCGACATAAGCAGCACTGGAACGTTTTCGTATTAACCCCCACCATTTTGGACTTCAGGAGCATGGAACACCGAAATAAAGGTTGGTGCTCGAGGGGGCAGGGGATAACAGAAATGAGTAGTTCAAGTGTACGACACTCTAAGCACTGGAACGCGCAAAGTAATTGTGGAGCACTCCTGAGCTGCTCAGGACTAACTCAAATGGCCACTGGAAAACACCTCAGAGTTCTCTGAGCTTGAATTTACTGTTCGTTTATATGAAAAGCATACTCGGTGCAAGCTCATTCGCGCTCGTTTATTAAAATTTCGGGTACTCGGATACAGCGTACAACTGCTGTGTTCGCTCGCTGGTCATGTGATTAGCTATATTCCTTTCAAGAGTGTAACACACTCGAGCTACTCGCTCCGGTGTTAGTCGCCCCCGATTTGAAAGGAACAGGATGCGCTGGCTTTCATGCATTAATGGTCTGAGTCGGGCTTGAGCACTCAGGTGCAACAAACACTTTTCGAAAGGAATAAGCGCGTAACGCCCCGGAGCTGTTCCGGAGCTCCTCCAAAGTGTGAAAGGAATAGAACTAATAAGCGCGTAACGCCCCTGAGCTGTTTTAGAGTTCCTCCTAGGTGTGAAAGGAATACAACTATTACGGCTCCGCTCAGCACGCTCTGCTCTTTGAACAAAATACCGAACGCAAGAACCCCTTTCACTGTTTTTTTTAAAGATAATTCCCCAAGTCAAAAATTTAGTAACTATGTTGGCAACACAAGCCTTTTCTACATGAAAAATTTGATAGCATTGACAATTTTACATTGTATTGCCAACCTAATGTCAGTTTGACTTTTATCTTTAAAAAAAAAACGCACTTTACCGCTCAAATTCGAGTGGTAGGTATCCATCACGTCACTTCGTAACCGGGTTAGGAAACGGTATGTCATTTCTCTAACCGTTTTTTAACCCGGTTAGTTAAACCGGAGCCACGTGAAAAGATCTAGGGATAATAGCTGACAGCAATCAGTAGGGTTGCCGGGTTGCCAGACCTCCTATTTTTAATATAAGACTCATATATTTTAACTGTTTCTCATATCTTATATTGGCATGTTTAATATGAGACTATTTCTCATATATTTTCATCAAAAAGTAAACAAAACAATAAACTAATTCTTAATTTGCCTTTTAAGCTTACACTGATGGTCGATAATGGATCTTCAAATTCAAACATGGCGCCGAATTAATGTTGCCACTTCTATAGAATAAATAAAAATAAAATTAAAAAAAAAAACAGAACGATTTTGGAACCCATTAATATCGGTGCAACATTTTGGTGAATTTCAATTTAGCCACACGTGGAATATCGTTCAGCATTCTTCGTAGCTTCGCCTGTCTGCTTCCCAGATTCTTTTGTTGTCCCAAACTTGTTACAATAAATGAGACTGACAGATCAGGAAGAGTATCTAACTACCTAGAAGAATGTCCAGGGGTGCGTTCAAGGAACTCGAACGCAAAATGCCAATTTTGGCTTGGCTATAGCCATTCCTGAACGCAGCCCATCAATACATTCCAAAATCCGCTAAAAATCATAAAATCTGTTTTTTTTTTAAAGATAAAAGTCAAAATGACATTATGTTGGCAATACAATGTAAAATTGTCAAGCTTACAAATTTTTTATGTGGAAAAGGCTTGTGTTGCCAACATAGTTACTAAATTTTTGACTTGGGGAATTATCTTTAAAAAAAAACAGACTTTAGCTAATTGCTAATTGTCAAGATGGGAGCTTTTTCGGATTTGGGAATTTTGCAGTACAGGGTGTTTCCTTATATTTTGACCCCTACCTACAGCTTCAGGTAGGTATACGAGGTGGAGAAAAAATTCAAATACGAAAGTTGTAGGGTTTTATGTTTATTATCTTTTACGAATGTCAAACTGTTGGCACTCGTCATTTACCCATTTTGACATTCGCGAAAGATAATCGACATAAAACCCTACAACTTTCATATTTAAAGTTTTCTTCCACCTCGTATAGCTAAAGCTGTAGGTAGGGGTCAAAATATAAGGAAACACCCTGTACATAAAATATTCTCATATATTATTATCCAATCTCATATCATTTTATACAGGATCTCCTATTTTCAAAATTCAAGTATCTGGCAACCCTAGCAATCAGCACTGACCGTTTTCGATTTGCAACGGTTCGGCCTTGGTTGGTTCAGGTGAATTTGGTCTGTCGAAAAAGGCGCCATGTTTTAAGGTTATAAAAGCAAACCGAAATTCAAACCAAAATTCGTACCAACTCGCAAGTTCGAATTTTAGACGGACCAAGCGATGCCTTTCACGTCACCAGTTTGCAATCAAAAACGGTTGATTCTAATTTGGTTGGCGGACCAAAGCGAATCGAAAACAGACATAAACAACTTTTTTTTATATCTCGGTTTCATCTTCTTCTTTGCCTATGTTAATCAAAATTGAATAATATTTTTCATCATAAATTCAAATTCTATAAACTACGACCTCAAGGGCCGGTTTCTCAATAACGAGTCACCTTCGGGTTGGTTTTAGCTACAGGGTAAACGTGTTCAGTTGCAATGTTATCAGGTTGTGCTTAACCCTGGGGTGACTCGCTATTGAGAAACCGCCCCCTAGTGCAAACATTTGACGACTTATAGGTTCGTTCCAACCCCCCGTTTTCGTATCGTCATGAAACGGTTTCGGAACTGTTAGGATCGATTGCAGGCGCATGCGTTGACCTTGCACGGTTTTATCTTGGTACAGAAACAACGGGTAGTTGGAACGGTTTCATGATCGTTTTCGTAATGACGACAGTTCAAATAACTTTAACCCTAAATTTGTTTGTTTGCAAATTAAAATAGAAGAATATAGGATTAGGATTACAAAATAATATATAAAAAAGGAAAATCGAACACCAACGCTGATTCATTATCAAGAATCTAAAACTGAATCCTTGCAAGCTGATAACATCAAGGATTAGCAAATAGCTGATAATAAATTTTGTACTTTTTTTCACTTGAAAAAAATAAAAATGCTACAGTTTTATAAGTAGATTGGAAATTGGTTGTTTAACAACAACATGAACAACAACAACAGGTGACAAAAATTGAATTACGCATGTCAGTCATGAATCAGTCCACGCGGTTCTTGCTTTCCACTCGGGATCGAAATGACGGTGCTAAAACCAGTTCTCGAACGATCCCAGGTTTGGTTGGAACGCCAACGATACTGTACGGTAAACGATCATCTCTCGGTTGGAACGCGTTTAACCTATGGCGCATGACCGTGACCGTACATTGAACGGTTTTTGGCTGTGTTGGAACGAACCCATTAATGACGTCGGAATGGTAACACACCAATATGGCGGCGATTACCAAAAACGAGGCCGATAAGCAATCTTTAGTAGTGTGTATTATCCTTGAAACTCAACAGTCGAGTTAGGTTGAACTTTGTTCTGAACCGAGATTGTACAACTGGGTCTTAGCTGGTTTTCTCGCGTTCACTTTTTTGAAACTGGTTCAAAACAGGTTTGAAATAGTACCTATATTCTCGCGATGAACCCATGGCGTCACACAAAATTGGCTCAAACCGTTTCGAAATACATTCCAATCCACGTTTTTAAACCATTTTCCCGCGCCGAGAAGTTATGATGTCATTGTGAAACTGTTTTAAACCAGTTTTGAAAAATGTTTCACAACTTTGAGACGCGAGAAAACATCTCAACTCTTTGACAATTTCAAGAGTGATAGAACTGCTCTGACTCTTTTCCATGTTGAACCCAACTCATAAAATTTTTATGTTCAGTTCCATTTTTATGTGCCAAAGTGAACTGAAAAAGAACGTGATCACGATTATCAAAACGTGTTTAGATTCAGCAGCGATGGATTTGACTGAAACTGTTCTAGAATGCCATCCAAAAACCAACCAAGTAGGAAAAAACAGTACCGGTCTTGCTGTTCCGGTGAATTGTGAAAAATGCCCGAATTGTCATATGAATCTTTCTGTCACGTACTTTAACCCTTTTCATGTGGCTCCGGTTTAAGAAACCGCAACATACTGATCAAATTCAAGTGGTAGGTATCCATCACGTCACTTTGTAACCGGGTTAGAAAACGGTATGTCATTTCTCTAACCGTTTTGTAACCCGGTTAGTTAAACCGGAGCCACGTGAAAAGAACTCTTGCGCATGTCTTTTTTCTTGAAAATTCTTGGCGCATGTGTGGGTGCGCTTGCGCCAAATAATTTTTGACGTTTCGAATAGGGACTCTCCTCTTCAGCCTCAATCAAACGTCGTCGCCATTTTTTAATTTACATAAATTTTGTATGTATCCACATACGCCTTTTCAGTTTTTACCTGAAATAGGTTGTTTTTTTATTGTAAACTTGGAACAAGAACAGTGAGAAGAATTGATACAACGATAACGTTAACCGCAAGATGATGACCAGTTTTCAACAGCAAAAATACAACCAGATGCAACAACAGCAAACTTTACATCCCCCCATGCCCCCAATGATGTCTGCACCAAATATGGTAAATAATTTTCAGTTGCTGATAAAATAACTTACATTCAAGCTCACTTGCAGTTTCTATATTATTGCTTTTATCAAGAAAAACCTACTTTTACTCAAGTTGAGCTTTTGTTACTGACAATGTTCTTGCATCTTGTTGAAAGAAAAAACAGAAAGTTATATTTGTAGAGATTTAGATCAATTTATTAGCATGTTAATCATACATTATTATCATATCAACTTGTTATATGTTAGCTCTTTACCCAATTACTTAACTGTTAGAAATACTATTTATTACAGTGAAGAAAATATAGAGGAAAATGGAAAATGTACAGTGAATCTTGCGCTATAGGTACACTGACTCATTGATAAATATAACACAACAAGCATTGAAATTTTCATAGTAATAAATGTAGTCCCCAGTACATCCACCTTAAAACTTTGTAACTCATGTACACGCCAAACTTCCTGAGCGGCTTCATAACAACAAGTTGGACAATTTTGTTCATATCTGCAACCTGGGCGATGGGACATGGACGGTCGCGCTAGCTCTTCGTGTAATTGTAATTCTGATGTCTTCGAGAAGGGTGATACATGTACGTGTGGTTTTAATTCTATCAACTATTTTTTATGTTATAATAACGATATCACATTTGTCGGACAAAAATCTCGTGGCATTGAGGGGGTCCGACGCCCTTAACATGTTGCTGTTAGAAGCGTCGGACCCCTCCAATGCCATGAGATTTTTGTCCGAGAAATGTGATATCGTTAATATAACATACAAAACAGTCGATTGGAACAAAACTACACGTACATGTATCACCGTTCTCAGGGACGTCAAAATGACAACTTCACGAAGAGCTAGCACGACAATGTCCCATCGTCCAGGTTGCAGCTATGAACAAAGTTGTCCGACTTGGTGTTATGAAGCCGCTCAGGAAGTTTGGCGTGTACATGAGTTACAAAATTTTAAGGTCGATGTACTGAGGACTAATGCATATTGCACATCTCAAGTTTATTACGCCAGATACTGAAATACTGGGTAACAATTAATAATTAATATTAATAAAATGTACATTTTATAAGGGCACAGATTAATCTCATACAATCAGTACCTATGACAAAAGTTTTTCAATCCTGAAGAGACTGACAAATCCCTGAAAAATTTATTTACATAAAATCTGTTTTTTTTTAAAGATAAAAGTCAAAATGACATCCTGTTGGCAATACAATGTAAAATTGTCAATGCTTTCAAATTTTTTATGTAGAAAAGGCTTATGTTGCCAACATAGTTATGTCCGACAAATACCATTTTAAAGTCACGTGATACTGGTGGCAAAAAACGTATGTCGGATGTCCATTGATTATGTCGTTGATATCACCTACAAAAAGCTACTGGTGGTTAATTACCATTGAATTTTAATATATGTTCCCACTAGCATTTTACAAACGCGTTTCTGAAGTAGTATTGACCAATCACAGGGCAATTTTAATACTTGCAATTGTTGCGAGACTTTGACAAACTAATTGATGACAGTGACGGATTCTATTTCAGGTAAGAATATTATGAACAATAATTAGACAGCAATTTTTTTGTCAATTTTACTATCACCGCTGTTTGAGATGTATTCAACAAGGATAGAGAAAAATCACGTGACTTTAAAATGGTATTTGTTGGACTATACTAAATTTTTGACTTGGGGAATTATCTTTTAAAAAAAACAGACTTTATTTGGCAATTCACCAATCCACATACTTTACAGATAACTCTACAATTTGTTCTGGAGGGCACGCATTTATTTAACAAACAAATTTTTTAACAGCACATTATTCATTACTGATTGGAATGTTGTGGGGGTATTTTTTAATCCAAAGGGCATCAAAAGATAAAGTTTGGGGTGGCTTGATTAGAATAGAAAAACAAATATTTGCATTTTGAGTAATTTAGGGGCGTTTCATAGGAATGTATAGCTTCCAATGACGAAGACTTTGGAAGGGGACAGGTTTGGATAATTTCTGCCTCTTGAAACTATGAAGACTGGAAATTATTGTTTTTAACTTTTCAAAGCAATTCCCAACTTCCAGGGACCAAGCTAATTGAGAAACTGTTTTGTTCTGCATTCAAAGGCTACTTATTGTAAATCTTAGAACCTACACAATAAATAAATGGATTTTGTAATGCAACATGCAACATTGTTGCAAATCTTGTGTTAATTCCATGGTTTGCATTTACTTTGTGATATTGTATTTTAACATTTTTAACATAAATCTTGTAATGGATTTTATCCTAAAATTCAAAAATCATTATTTCCAGCCATTAATGCCACCTCCAGGCCTAATGCCATCCCTGGGACCCATGATGGGACAACCTATGTTACCGCCACAGCCACCATTACCACCCATGGTACAGCCTCCAATGCCAATACCACAACCTTATCAAACACCTTATATGGCTCATCAGCCTCCTCAACCTCCATCGCCCGACAATTTTCCAGATATGGATCCTGATATGGACCTGGAGAATGATCCATACGCTGACGATGATCCGCCCGCTCCAGGCACCGAAGATCTCTTACCACCACCACCCAAATCTCCTAGGATTGAATCTATGCTACTTGATGGTAAGTAATTCAAATTATTTATAAATATTTTAAGAAAATGTCAGCTTTGCGGGTCTTCGAATACTAATTTCCTATCTCTCTGATTGAGATGTTCCAGAAAAAAAAAGGAAGACGGAATCAGCACCTTTAGATAGAGCCTTATTGTGGAGTCTAGATACCAGCAAATGTCTAAAACTTGGTTACATGGTAGGAAATGTAACACTTAATTTTGATATTGAGTGAACGAGGATGAGCTCAATTTATTATTTTGTGGCTTAATTATTTCTTTATGTTTTAATCAAATTAAGGTTATTTTAAATTTTCAATTTACCATTACAGTTTACAACTCATCCTTGTTTGTTCGTGTAAGTTAAAAGCAAGAAAAAAAAGAGACAATACTACATAAAGGCGTTATATTAGACAAATCTATTGTTTTTTGTGCTTCCAGATAAAGTTGTTTCATAATCAATGCCGTGCCTCCGATGCCTGAGATGTTCCTTTGATGTACCTGTTTTTTTCCAGAAAAATTTCGACATAGAATATATATTTTTTTGATGTTCATAATTATCTAAGAAACTACCAGGAAAATTTTCTAGATCAGGCAAATTTAGAACTTAAAATTTATCCTCTTTACTATGACTCTTTTAATGGCAAAAATAGGAATGGTTTGCTTTTTAAACTCGTTATTGAATTTCTAACTACACAGTTACTTATTATTTTCTTCATTAAAAGGGTATTGATGAAATATTTAAAAAAATGCTCAGGTAGTTTTTTAGATAAGGTTGGCTTCTTAAAATTTGCAACTCACTGACTCTATTTGTGAATTGAGCTGTTTAATACTGAAATATAATATTTTTAGTTTTCTCTATTTCAAATTTGTTGGGAAAAATAATTTAAACATTATTTTTTGCATACATTTATAGAGAAGGGCTTACACATTATATATATTAGAACGTTTGATTTTTTTATTATTTTAGAATGTTGCCGCATATCTATCTGCAAAGGTCCTTGTTTCTAACAGTAGTTTAATATTGTTTGTACACTCTCCCCCATGGTTTTTTTTGGAGACAGATGATAATGTAATCACATACATCACTTTGTAGCAGCTTTATTTTCAATGTAGTTGCATAAATAATGGCTTTTGGCAATCTAGAAGTTACAAGCAATGGGTTTAATGCCGAGAATAATCTGTAGGTACTTTGGTATTTTTTTTAATGGGGAATCACTAACTTGCTGCCTCAGCAAATGCAGCATAGATTATTAATTTTTTTCTCTCCTATAATCATTCCTTAGTTGGTGAAGCTTATGATTGTTTATCATGCTTCCACATCTAAAGCAAAATTTATAAAAAAATGTAATTTTCAAATACATATAAATACTGATCACCTTAGTTGGATTTACATTTTACATTACATTTTTTTGTCTTTGGTTGATACTTCTATCAGTGCATCTGAAAATAATAACAAGTTGAGGGCCATGTGGCCACAAAAGGGGATCTTATGAGTTGAGAGCTAATAGCCTTCTATTTCAGTGATTGTTCTCTGGTTAACATTCCCTTTGAAAGTTTCACATTATATTGATAGTTGATTGAGTTCTAAAATAAACCACTTCTAGTAAGCCTTACTGTCTTGTATCAGTAAAATTACTACTTACGAACAATCTATATTTATTATTTCTCAGCTTAGAAGTAAAATTATGTTTACTGTTTACAGTTTTACTAGTGGGCACATGGTACTCCTCTAGGTAATATCAGAAAAACAATAAAAGCCATTATTTTGCAATGTGAAAAAATCTGAAATGTTCGGTTATTAAAAGGCAGCTTGCTTTGTTCATGTTGAAACTTTATAAATACATTCAATTTTAAAATGCCTAATCAGTTAATATTTATTATTGTGCTCAAATTGTATTTCAGAAATATAAACGCAAGTTGCTTTTTTCCATAACCATTATCCACAAAGTGTGTTTGCCAATTTAATCACCAATCTACTTTGTTTTAGGTGACGGCGTCGAGTATATTTATGACTTAGATCAGACTGGCGAAGTTGTTACAGGTGAGTAAGCGGCAAATATGAAAGATATTTATTTATAAATGATAATTTACTGTTTTATAGGTCCAGGTGCTATCAACAATTCGGTAGCTGGAATTCTAGGAGGCGCTCTACCGAAACTATCTTCAGACCATGCCGATTGGGTGGCCAAAGCTAAAAAATACGCAATGGAACAGAGTATAAGGATGGTTCTTATGAAACAGACTATTGCCTATCAACAACAGGTATAGCTTTCTTTAATTGTAAAAATGTTGCAATACTTAATTATTTTTGTTTTATTTCACAGAAAAACAAGACATTCCAAAGACATCAGGTTCTTGTTTTAATGTGCAGGTAAGAATTAATGATATTTTAATAAATTTTTAGTTTGTAAAAATATGATGTAAATTTAATATATCTGGAAGTTGTTGAGGATCCTAATGCATTCTCCGACAATGACCTGTCTAGCTGATAAGATCTGATTTAATTTAGTTAGTTTCTTATTTTCCTACAATGTGTTAAATTATTAAATAATGTATTTTTTTTTTAAATTTATTACAGGGTGTATGTGGGTTCAATCAGTTTCGAGCTCAAAGAGGACACCATCCGGCAATCGTTCCTGCCCTTCGGCCCCATTAAATCCATCAATATGTCCTGGGATCCGGTCACACAAAAGCACAAAGGTAAATGACATAATTTTAAGGGTGAGATTTCTTGCAAAAATGTTCCAGCAATTTGATTCAATCACTTGCATACTACCGAAGCATTATTTTCAGTGAACTGATCAATTTTCTTTGATTTTTTCAGGTTTTGCTTTTGTGGAGTACGAAATCCCAGAGGCGGCGCAATTAGCGTTAGAACAGATGAATGGGGTGATGATCGGAGGGCGGAACATCAAGGTAAATGTTCGTGTTCAGTTTTTTACCTTTTTTTATTATTTCGTTAGGGGCCGATCTTACTTATTTACCTGACTTTTAAACCTAAAATGGGTCAGGTCGGCCAACATGATACTGATAAAATTTCCCTTAGATTTTTTATTCAATTTTGTTTTTTTAAATACTTGTTAGTTTTGTATTTATATTTTTGGGAGATTTTACCTGAAAACAAGGCTTATATTTTTAGATTAGTATTTGTTGAAAAAGTCATCCATACTGGCTGAAATCAAGCCTCAATTAAAGAATGAAATATTAGTTGATTGAATTTTTTGTCACAAATGTACAAATTTTCTTTGTTAATTAGTTATTGTTGAACCTGTTAATCTATTCTCTATTTAAAAAATTATCCAAAATGCTGATGAAGGTATTTTGTGTAATTCCACTGTAGGTGAATTGGATTAATAATTTATTATTGCCTTCACTATTACAATAATTTCAAATGCATTTCTGTTACAGAAACATTTGAGTATTTGAAATACTTTTGTCAATTTTTATGCTTTGAAACCTCACTGGTACATGCCTATGAGTACCTGAATATAAGCCTTGGTTCAATTTTAGTATGTATTGAATTTTTCTTTCAAAAAGTTAATTTATCTAAATTGCACTTTATTTTTATTATTTTTTAATTCTTTTAGAATTATTCGGGCAACCAGGTAGATATTTTACCATATTCACGTCAAAGAAATTATGTTGCTTTCTGATTTACTAGTTACCAATTATGTACTATTATATTTTTCAAAAAGACTAAATTTTATTAAAATTGTAGACAGTTGACGTGAGTATGGTCAGCTAACGTCGAGCTCTTTCTGTTACAGGTAGTGGGACGGCCAAGCAATATGCCACAGGCCCAAGCCGTCATTGACGAAATTCAAGAAGAAGCCAAACAGTACAATCGTATATATGTCGCTTCGATTCATCAAGATTTGACTGAGGAAGACATCAAGAGGTAGTTAATAATGATAGTTTTTATTTATAGCAATAGGCTAGCAGACATACGAAGGAAAAAGTACATATTTACAAAATTAAATCAAATCAAAATTGCTTTATTGTTGAAAGACATCATCTCATTTACAAAGCTGTGGAAAATAAACTACATGATATCTATAAGATCTAACTTCCCAAGAGATTACATATCTTGACGACAAATTAGTAATAAAATTCTCATCACTAAACAATATCAATCCTGACATCGGAAGACTGGAAATAAGATAAAAATAAAAATAAAAATAACATGAAAATAATTCAATGGAAATACCATACATTGCTCAAAATACTCCAAAACATGAAGAAAGACTGAAAATCTAGGGTAGCATTAGGCTAGTTATTTAAACCTAATTGAAATTATGGGATAGGAACTCATGAAAACTGTAAAACCCCTCCACAGCCAAGAGGCTTTTCACCGTATTTCTAAACACCTTGTAATCTACAATTCGTCGAATCTGGACAGGCAACTTATTGAACAGCCTTTTACTATTTACGATACATAATTGTAAATAAAATTTTTTTCAAATAATTCATGCTTCAAATCAAGACAAAAAATAAGGTAAATGCTCAATAATATAATTACAGTTATCAAGATTTGTTCACATTAACAGTTATAACTGTATTATGTGCTGCAACAAGCTGCTTGCATGATAGGGCAAAACTCTCTCTAAAAGGAAGGATTTTTTTCTACCTAATAACTGAGTATATATCTTATTATTGAACCTTGGCAATACAAAACTTAACCAAACTTGATCTTCTACTGAGAAATATTGAAAATAACCAATTGGTCACAATTTTGCAGTTTGTAAAAGAATCTATAGAGTGTTCACAATATACATAAAAATATTTACTTCGTTAGCTACAATATTTATCACATTATTTTTAATTCCTAGTGTATTTGAGGCATTCGGCCCTATCGTTTACTGTAAACTAGCCCAAGGCTCCACTGGCAACAAGCACAAAGGTTACGGCTTTATTGAATACGAAACTGCCCAGGCTGCCAACGAAGCGATTGCCAGTATGAATTTGTTCGATTTGGGAGGACAGTACTTAAGGTAAGTGAACATTGCAACAAATATAATTCCATAATAATTCCCAATTAATAATTTTAGGGTTGGAAGAGCAATAACACCCCCTAACGCCCTCTTAGGACCATCAACAGGCTCGAACGCCCTACCTACAGCGGCGGCTGTAGCGGCTGCAGCTGCAACGGCAAAAATTCAAGCCATGGACGCTGTGGCCAGCAATGTAGCTGCTTTAGGGCTGTCGAAATTAACTCAGCCCCCTGCACCTTTAGTGACTCCTGCTCCAGTAGCACCGCCTACTCTAGTGACGCCTGCACCGCCTGTTGTTGCTTTGGTGCCTCCACCTGGTGTTGCGATACCCCAAAAGTTGCCTAACAATATTATACAGCCTGCATTAGTTCAACCTGTAAGAAAATATCTGTTTTATTTTTTTATTTTTGATCAGAAACGTTTGTGGTTCGGGATACTGGTGGAGATTGAATTGAATTCAAGTTCACCTATAAACAGACTGCAATCATGAGGTCTCTTTTCAACTAGTGATAATTTTGCAACATTAAATATTTCTATTATCTGAATGCTTCAAGGACGTTCTAATTTAAACTGAATCTCCACCCACCTAACTTGAAAATGTTGTTTAAGACTAAATCTGACAAAATTGTTTATTTAAGGTTCTCAGCGGACCAGTCCCCACAGTATCAATATCATTACCACCTCCGCCTGTTGCACCAGTTTCAAGTAGAAGTACAGGTATGTTTCAAGAAGTTATTCTTTTCAACAATTATTATTTGATTATTTTGTTAATAGTTGCTCATCAACAAGAAGCAATGAAACGGGCGGCCGAGGCCCAATTGAAACAACAAGAAGAGCTACAAAAGAAGCTTCTGGATCAAAATGAGCCGCAAACATTACAACAACAAGAAAATATGTCTATAAAGGTGAGAATTGATTTTTAAAGGTTTCACTTGAAATATTTATTGTGAAAATTTCAGGGTCAAAATGCTAGGCATTTTGTTATGCAAAAATTGATGCGTAAAGTGGATTCACGAGTAGTGATTCTGAGGAATATGGTAGGGCCTGAAGATGTAGACGAAACGTTGCAAGATGAAATTCAAGAAGAATGTAGCAAATTTGGACAAGTTGAAAGGGTAATAATTTACAACGAAAAACAAAATGAAGAAGATGACAATAATGATGTTGTTGTGAAGATATTTGTGGAATTTTATGAAACATTTGGTGAGTAAAAATGTTGTTGGAAGATGTCAGTTTTATTGATTATTGATTTTTTCAGAGGCAGAGAAGGCGAGAGACTCCCTTAACGCGAGATATTTCGGTGGTAGAATGGTACAAGCTTCCTTATATGATCAGACTTTATTTGAACATAGTGACTTTTCCGGTTGAAAATGTGCTTGAAAGTGTTTATTGTGATAACGGCCTTACCTTCCAGGGTACGGCGAATTCAACTTAAATGTGCAGGATGTAAATAATAGACAAAAGAAAAATACTCTGAGCAATGCTTCTATGTACAAAGTTTTTATACATTTATGTTAGGATTGTTAATTGAATTAAAGAGAAATTTGTAAATAAATTTATTGGCAATAAATTATGTAATTTACATGTACATTTTTTAAAAGTTTTTGTTCAACACACGTTACGGCTTACTGTCAAATAATGTTTCAACTAAATTGTTTTGAAAAGTGCTGTGTGTTTTGTTGGGTTTTTTCCGCTGTTGCCCTTTTCCAAAAATTGTGATTTTTTGAAGGCTAGTGCATATACAGGGTGTCCCAAATTCGATGGTGACCATTGAAATATCGGAAACTATAAGAGATTCGAGGTCGGTTAAATTATGGCAAAGTTAAACATTTAAAATCTGACGTTTTGTCTTTGGGCCACCATCATCAACTTTATTTTTCTAAATATGGGGCCCTATTTTTTATATCAGATTTTAAGAGCTTCTGATGTCCCAAAACCTATGACGCATCGCATTTATTCGAAAAATTTATATTATTGGCACTTTCCATAAGAACTAAATGTGTTAGAGAGAGACAGAGAAGAGTATTTTGGTAGGAAATTACTAAAAAGTAAAACAATAGTTATTTATGATATAAGTGCTAAAAGTGACATTTTATTTTGTGAAAAGGGAAGTTTGGGACACGACGCCATCCCTTTGAACAAAATAAAATCAATTTTAGCACGAATGTCGTACACTATTTTTTCTACAAACGCACTAAAAGTGATTAATTTTAGCACTAGTGCTAAAAGTAATCACTTTTAACACCAGTGTCATAAAATGGCACTGAAAGCATCCGTTAAAAATGACACTTTTAATGACGTTTGTAGGAAAATATGTTTTCGAATAAATGCGATACGTCATAGGTTTTGGGACATCAGAAGCTCTGAAAATCTGAAATAAAAAATCCAGGGTCGTATTAAAAAAAATTAAGTTGATGATGGCCGCCCAAAGACGAAACGTCGAATCTGAAATTTGGTAGCAACATCTTGTAAAGGAGAAAAAGTGACAATGATGAATTGACATTTATTTTAAAATTGGTCTTCAAATAGACTCAGGAAAAAATAAAAATAATTTTGCAAAATTTCGGTTTTTTCCGAATATCTTCGGAAGTATTGGGAATTTTTCAAATTTCAAAGCGGCATTTTATTGGTCATAAAATTGCACAATTTTGCCATAATTTAACCGACCCCGTATCTATTATAGTTTCCGATATCTCAATGATCACCCTCGAATCTGGGACACCCTGTTTATATATCGCTGGGATATGGAATCAGGGGTGAGCTCCTCGGATGGCTAGACAGTTTCCTATAAAACCGAACCTTTCAAGTGAGAACAAATGGGCATTACTCTGATGAATACAAGGTCCTTCATGGGGTGCCACAGGGATCGGGATTGGGGCCACTGCTGTTCACCATATGCATCAGCGATCTTCATTCTCTTATAAAGACAAACATCATTTTTTATGCTGATGACACAAAAATATACTGCAATTCGTGCTTGGACCATCACAAGATTCAAGATTCAATAAGCTTTATTGTCGAAAAAATACAAATTTTTTATAGACAAAGCACAATAAATTTAGCAGTACAAACAAAGAACAAAATAAAATACAATAATAATAACATAATAAAAAAAAAAAAAAAAAAATTGTCCAATTAAGGCCAACAATTTTCGTACAGGCTCAGAAACTAATAAACTCAACAAATATTACAACATTTGACATATACATAATTACCTAATTTCCATAAAAATCAATTTGTAAATATCCAAAAACAAACAAGTATCAAAAAAAAAAATAATACAGATAGTTACATTCAATAAACAAAAAGTTACTGGGGGTTTAATAAAAGCAAACGGCAAAAATCAGCCCTAAGTCATAAATAAAGTGGCTCATTAAGTTTTTAGTATGTTAGAAAGTGTCATCATAATACTCAGCCAAATCATAGTAAGCCTTCTCTTTCAATAAATTCTTAACTGACCTACGAAACCCTCTATAGTTTTCAGAAGACCTACAATAATTTGGAAGTTTATTGTAAATCTTAATACTCTCGAAAATAACTGAGTGTCTGGTCAAAGCAAATCTAGGAATTGGGAGTGGAACATCGTTGGGATTTCGAGTACTGTAAGAATGAGCATGAGTGTGATCCCGATATTTTTTAAATATCAAACAAACCGTCTCCAATATAAATAAACAAACGACCGTCAAAATCTGCTCTCTCAAAAAGAGCGGTCTACAGTGGTCTCTCATACCTTTGCCGCACATATATCTTATAGCTCTTTTCTGTACTGTAAAAACCGAATTAAGTAGACCTCTACTGCAGTAGCCCCAAAACGAAATGCCGTATCTCAAGTGTGACTCGATAAGTGCATAGTAGGTAGATTTAGCAATACTGCAACCCAACTCTGAAAAAGTTCTTCGCACAGCATAACAGCCAGACGCCAGTCTCTTATTCAATGCAACAACATGTACATCAAACTTTAATCGGTCGTCCACGGAGAGCCCAAGAAACTTTGTACTTTGTACATTCCTAATTATCCCGTCCTCCAACTCAATATCATCAATATCAAATTTAAAGCTCAAAATTTTTGTTTTATCAATATTAAGGCAAAAGTCATTGGCATCACACCAGTTCTTAATTCTAAGTATGTCCCTTATTACTACGTTTTTAAGAAGTGCCTGGTCCTTGCTATGCCATTTCACTGTAGAGTCATCTGCAAAATTCAAAAGTGAGCCATCTATCCTTACGTTTGCTAGGTCGTTGATGTACAACAAGAATAAAAGAGGTCCAAGCACGGAGCCCTGCGGTACCCCACATGATAGTGTTTTTAAATCTGATGTTGTCTGACCACATCCTTTTAGACAACCTGAAAACACTTGAGAAATGGATCAGCAAATGGCAGCTAACACTTAACCCCGATAAGTGCACTGTACTGCACATTGGCCCTAACAATCCAAACATACCTTACAGCTTAAACGGCACTACCGTGAAGACCGTCACTGAGGAGGAAGATCTGGGTGTCATTATCTCAAATCACCTAAAATGGGAAGCCCATATTTCTTCAGTTGTCAGGAGGAAAAACTCTTGTATACCTCGAGTGACAAAACTCGCCCCTGAAATCAGAAATCTCTCATGCGAAGAAAGACTACCGAGATACGACATAACAACCCTAAAAGCTAGACGAGAGAGAGAGAGGACTTGATTGAGACGTACAAAATCTTAAATCACCATTATTTCCAGTGCAACTGAACATTTCCAGTCTAAATACTAACCAGCAACTCCGAGGCCATACTGAGAAGCTGGATAAAGAGAGATGCTCGAGCTGATCAGAAAGAATTTTCTGATGAATAGGGTTGTCTATCAGTGGAACCTCCTTCAGGAAAGCACAGTCAGTGCTCCTTCAAAGAACGCATTCAAAAACAGATTTGACCGGAACCTGGAGTGAGCTGGACTGAATTTTGTGCATTACATGTGACTCATAACAGCGAAAACAAAGATATAACAATACATCAGTAGTCTCATCGGCGTTGCCGCTTACTGCTGTTCAAACCTATAATAATAATAAAGATTTCTGAAATTGCAGGTGAAAAAAAAAAAATAAGTGAAAATATCTCATTTTCACACAAATAATTTATTAAGTAAATAAAATATATGGAGTACATTGTACATTCAATTTTTAAAATAGATTTTTTTTTGTAATTTTTCGCATTTTTTAAATATAATGTTCGATCTATCACTCCTACCGCTAATTGTCGAAAAATTAAACGAAAAAGGACACTTTTCAGTCAACAAAAAAAATAGGTGTTCAGTTATTTATTCACCTTTTTTTTTCAGTTTCCCTCCGGGTCGGGGTGAACTACCTATTTAAATCCTTATGAAAAAACAAAAAAAAATATGCAACAATTTGTATCCTCAAAAAAAAAATTATCTATACACTGAAATAATCATTAAACAATTATTAAGAAACCGGACCCGAAGAAAAAACATGGCTTCTGACAATCTACTTCTAAAGATTTTATAATTAATTAAATTTAATATTTTTTTTACAGTATTAATACTTTTTAATTAAAAAAAAAACAATTGATAAATTAAATTTTTGAAACCACCAAACTCAGATAAGTTAGTCTTTGTATTTTTTATTATAATTTTTTTCAAATTCTTAACTTCACAAAAAAAAACAATTTTGAATAAATTTGAGACACGCGTAGTATTGCGAAAAAAATATACACAATTTTTGTATTTATTGCATCACCCTGTATACGGAGCGCATATTTTACAAGGAAGAATTTTTTATAGAAAAATTTTCGCAAACTACTAAGAGAAACAGCTGAAGGTCGTGTTGAAAAACTTTTACCTAAAAAATGTTGTCCCTTAATAAATCAAAAGTTAATTAACATAATTTCTTGACTATATTGCACTGTTTCAAAATATGCAGTTTTTCATAATAGAACGACCTTAAACCGTTTCTTTAAAAAGCCAGCACCAAAAAGAAAAGCGTGGCTCTATAATTCAAGACCAGGAATTTGACTCTCAGTATATTTTATAGATTGCCAACCCAACAAAAATCTTGTTCTGATTTGAATGTGTCCAGAAGCTTGAGTGACAAGCCACGCTGTAAGATGCCGGCAGAATATTACCTCGAAAAAAATTGCAATTTAGGATTTAATTCCACTATAAATTAACTTAAAAAAAAACTACGAACTATTCAAGAAAACATGAAAAAAAATCTGCATACTTACTTAAAAATTTCTTTTACCAACCACTGGGTCATGTTTTACAGAATCACTCGTAATTTAATCTACACATCATATAAATTAAAACTTAAAACATAAAAGACTGTTTACAAAGTCTTATAAGGGTTAAACAATCAAATTTTTTTACATACTAAATTAAGGTACTTAAGTTTTACTTAAAATCTTCTGGCTGCTAAGGTGAACCCTTTTATTAGCTTGATAAGATGTTTGTTCATATTTCCATTTTATTTTTTCCTTAACCAATGATTGTATTGTTAGATCATTCATAAGAATGTACAAACATCTTATAAAATATGATAAATTTGTGCTTAAAACAATATAATCCAAAATTCGTTTCTCAATTAACCTCTCATTTCAGACGTCACCAGAGCACTTGTTTTGATCTCGAATCAATATATGGTAACCAAAAGGTTAAGACTGACCAACTGTCAAAATTAAAGCTCTGGCTTTAATATTAAAGTTCAAGCTCTTCTTTAAAAATTAAAGTTGAGGGCAAATTTCGAATCTCTCCAAGCACTGGTAAAATGTATGATTGTATTTCTTTTTGTTCCGAGAAATTGAATAATTAATTTTGGCCCCAAAAAAGTTGCGTTATTTATTTATAATTTTGGAGATATGTACAGAGAAAAAAACGTTATCGAACCAATTATAAGGAAGATTCGAAAAGTTGCCCTAAAAACCCTAACTACAAAAATATGGCCGCCTTCCTGAAAAACCGACACACGACGAGACTAATAATTATTAATATAATAAAATATACAGGGTGATCGCTCACTCTCTGCAAATATTTAAAGCTGACTTCAATTATTGTACTTTTCTAAATCGTTAAATACATATTTCTTATTATAAAAAAATGTTTCTGCGCGCATGGAGAGAGAGAAAAAACAACTCATTATTTTTCCTTCTTCTTATACAATAGTTATAATACCAAATTCACTTTTTTTATGGACGATTGTAACCAATAGAACCGACGTATTTTAATTGGATGGTGAGGAATCTGTGGTTCAACCACGGTAAAAAATAATTGGCTTGGACATGTATGGTTTATTTAGCCACCTATAAGGGGACTAATAGTCAAGACAAATTTACTCTCATAATAATTCTCAATAGATATGTTACAAACATTGACTTTATAACCTAAAAGTGACTGAACAAGAACATCATATAGGAATCACAAATACTGTGAGTGCCTGTCCATTGCAACAAAAAATGTTCCAAGGGGATATTTTCCAATAACATACAGACATGCAACGATTATTCTATGGAGGGTTTCAGTTTGATGTCTTTTTTCTAAAACCTTGCATTTTATTAGCTAAAAATGTTAGAACTTGTGTAAAATAGACAATTTTAACATCATCATATCTGTGCTGGTTCATATTAAACTTTTTCCTTAACTGATGACGTTTCTCATAATAATGCGAAGTTCTATCAGAGATTTGACTGAAAATAGAACATCAGGTGAATACGTAAATGTTGTAAGTGAACATCCCAAATACCAGAACTTTTTAATTCTAATTTCTCTAGCTTTTAAGGTTATATGAAATTAAATACTGATTTTTGGCTATTCAATGGAGTTACTCCTTTGTTGCGCCAGATTAGTTTATTCGGAAACTTGGTGTGCCATCATCAAGTTCAGACGTTTCAAAAGGTATATCTGTATATTCTTTAGTTGGTAGGTCATTGCATTGCCATTTTTATTTCTAGAATCTGTATATCCATGTCTGTATATTAATATAGATGCGATGTTTGAAGATGCCGATGTAGTGGAGCAGGTATTGATAATCTATTTTCCACATTTCAAGTTCTGAAATTTTTAGCTAATACAAAGAGATTATTATAACATTTGTATTTTTTACCATGAATATATTAATATTTGGAACTTTAAAGTTTTGCATGAGGAATGAAAATGTTCAGGTCTTTTTAAATTACAAGTCAATTGTCACATCAAAAAAATACAAACCAAAAATCCAGTAAAAGTACTGTAAATGAAATATGTATGTACAAAAAAATGTCCTATTTGATTATATTGTTTGAATTATCTGTACTGTTTTGTTTTTAAATATAAATTAAAATCTGGTTGCTTATTGGGGTGTTAAGCTCTGAAAATTCATAAAACTCTATGCTACTATTTGTTCGTTCTATACGAAAATATTTAGAAACAGCGTGCTGGGGGTTTGTATTTTTCAAAGCTACATCTAGAGATGTCAAGAAAGTTAAATATTTGATATTGTTGTTGAGTTTTTTTTCCTGGAATTTCTGAAAAGCTGAATAATTTGTATGAAATTAGGTCTATTTTGATATATCATTTTGATTGTGGAATCAAGCCGAGTTGAGCTTCTTGGTAATTAGATGTGAGATCAATAAATAGTTAATTTTATAATGTAGCAGTCAAACTCAACTCTGCCATTAATTGAATGCGTGCGATTTCAGATCATTTCAAAATTCCCTAGAAAAAAACCATGATCTATTGTATTTGTAATGCTACAGAGATTTTTGATACTTTAAAATATTTAAGCAAGATTTATGAACTCAACTTTGAGTTCCAGTCCAGCATAAACCATGCAAGTAGATGAGGTTCATCCGATTTTCAAAAAAAAAAAAAATCCTCTCCTGACCCTTGTAAGTTTATAAATCAAGTATTACTAGAGGAAAGAGGACCATAGTCACTGATGTCTTTCATTGTTTTGCGGCTACACATCTACTACAGTACAGAAGCGATTTCTTGAGTGGGAAAGGAAGAAGTGAGTTATTTTTGTTTTGCTTTGCTGTTTTTTTTTTTAATTAACACTGTCTCTGTTGATGATTATGTAATACCTAAACCTTGGCGGCCCCGCGCTTTGAGCGAACCTTTGTCAACCGCCTGGTTTTTTTCTTTGCCTGATTAATATCATCTTCAGGACGCTCTTCACAGGAAGATTTTCTTTTGGCGCTACGCGAGGCCGGCCCTGGAGATGTAGGTGGCGTTTCAGCCTGAAAACATTAATGAACATAAATATTTGATTACCAGTCCAATCTAAAACACCAAACCTTTTTCTCCTTTATCGGTGCTTCAACTTCTTTGCATTCTTTTTCTACTGGTTTTACAAGCTGCGGGTCTTCGTCGTTAAGCTTGCTGCTTCCTTGTTCGGAAATTTGTCCGGCCATGGCTAAATCTGAAACTGGTTCCAAACCTGTGAACAGAAGAAAGTTGATGATAAACTGACATTCCAAACCTAAACTGTTGAAGATAAATATTTAGTATATTACTTGGTTTTTTTATACCTAAAGTTTACCTAATTTTGCTCTGTAAATACATATAAAAGACATCAGTTGGATAGTTTTGTAATTCATATACATTTTGCAAACTTTTGGAGTCTTGAAGAGTACAAATTCCAAGAAAAATACTTATAGAATATAGGCAGAGAGAACGGTAAAAAAACTATATTTGAGTCAGCACATCACCTTATTCCAAGATTAGGAAAATCTGAGGATTTAGACTTACTTTGCTTTTGTGGCAAGTCTGAATTGCTGTTGAAATATTTTTTCAGCTTTCAAAAACGAAAATCAATTCTATCATTAGGAAATATTAGCATTTGAGAACTAAGGGTCATAGGAGAATCTTTTTGAATTAATGAAGAAATATAGGAAATATTTTTCCTGTTTTCTTTACAGGCTTTCGTTATGTATTGCTAGTCTCCGTGGCCCCTCTAATCTATAATAGTGCTGGCAATAAACTAATCATTGATTGATGTCAATTGAAAATGTAAAGTAGTAAATCGAATAAATTTTTTTATCAAATCCTCACCTAGTCCTTCCGGATTAACTCCCTGGTTGACGAGTGCCTGCAATTCCGGCTGTGGTATAACAGGAGTACCGCAGGCGTTACACACAGGCGGAGTAGCGGGCGATTTGCAACGCCAATATTGCAATTCGGTTTTGCATTTATTCAGCTCCTGCAGCAATGTGCTAAACTTGCGCGAAATTTCTTCGTTTTTTTTATCGTATTCGTCCAACCTAGTGGCGTATTCTAGAGTTTGTTTTTGTTGATCCGCTAACTGTTTTTGTTGCTCGGTAATCTGTTTCTGTTGCTCGGACGTTTTTTTCTTGCAAACTTTCAATTCTTGCCTCAGAACGGTCAATTGACTATTGTACCGTTTCATGCCTTGCTTAATTTTACGTATGCGTTTGCGCAACACCATATTCGATTGGGGTATTTCGACGTATTCCTCTTCCAGTACATCGGCATCGTCGAGGTCGACCTTTGAAGAGTCAGATGATAAATTCGACGTTTCAAGATATTTACTAGAATTGTTACTAGGAAAGCTGCTTGAAAAATTTAAAAAGTCTGCACTGAAATAGGCAATTTCGGGCAAATTGGGTTCAATTTTTTCCTTAAAATATTCCATTGCCATTGTAGACAAATCAAATAACTCATCTGTCACCTTATAAGGCAAATCTAGCCTTGGAGTAGTCTAAAATTATATATTAAATCAATAAATAGGTTTTCCATCAATGCATTTAGCTACAAACCCTAATATAATGGAGAATAGAATAAACTTCATCCAGGATCTCTCCAGGAAAAAAACAACAATGTTTTCGCTCAATATGTTTGCCAAACGACATTTGTAATAAAGTCAGTCGCATGTGCAAAGTTTCAACAATATCGCTTTCGCAAGCTAAATAGTGACTACGCCTAGCAGACTCTCTACGAGGCATTTTACTTTTGATCTCCTGAAACCTTTGGAGCATTTTGTTTTGTAGTTTTGAAAACGTTGAATTTAAAATGTAACCGCAAATTTGATCAACCCGATGACATACCTGTGGAATGAGTAATTTAGTTGAAAATCAAAGACATTATTGAAATAACTTACTAAACGCAGTTTGCAAATTTCTTTGAAAGATAAATAGCTGAAAATCTTTTCTATTAGTTCCTGCGGTAAGTCCACCAGAATAAGTTTGGATTGAACAGGAGGATTTTGTTGTCTGGAATAAATACAAGTAAATTTGACGATTTAACAACTGTTTTATTGACAAAATAATTTCATATTATCCTAAAATATCTCACCTATAACATTGCACTACAGTTGTCAAATTACTACCAGTAGCAGCCCCTTGATAGTTTGCCATTGCCGTGACACTATTTCTTGTGAATTTGGCCGGCCCAAAATCAGGGGGGTTAATGTGTGGAGCACTACTGGGGCCTGCTCCTGAAGATGAGGAGGCCTCAACTGTATTGTTGCTGTGGTTGTTACCGACGGTCGAAGATAGTCTTGTTGAAACCATTTTGATGCCTTATGATTTATTTTTGTGGTCGAGCAAGAGTAAGTTGGCTGGTTAGAAAGTAGAATTTTTGTTTCTTTTGATTTTGTTTTCGCTGAAAATAAATACAATGAATCAGTAACTGAGTCTATATTCAAAGGTCAAAGGCCTGATATTTATACCGGGTGGGGCACGAAAAACTTTCCACCCAGGTTTTCTCAGGTGTTAGGTGTTTAATCAAAAATCGCTCAGACACGCCAATTTTGGTTTTTTGGGGGACACATTCTATTGGTATTTTCACCCCCTACCTGTGAACCCCTAAGTGGGGGTAACAGGTGTAACAAAATTTCAAATGGAAAGAGGGGTGATATGTCATTTGGTAGCTATTTTCATTGAGATTATATCCCCGTAGTTTTAAGTTGCTGATATTCACCCTGCCGAAATGGCGGCATGTCAAAGTTAGGATAATAGACCGATCTCCTATTACCTGGACTGCGCGCGTCGCTTGTAGGCTGCAGGTGAGCGTCCAATGAGAAGCAGGTTTCTTACAGGCTTACGTCATATTCTTTTTCAGGGGCTAGTTCAGAATGAATCGTTCCTTCTTTCTTTGTAACATGTAATTCGACAAAGAGCAAACTAATACTTTACATATTACTTGAACTCACCGCAGTGTCGTTTAAGGTTATGTTAAATTATACTTGACATATCCCTTTGCAATTTCATTGTGCGATGTTGCCGGATAAAACATTTATCAAAATAAAAGTGAAAACGATGTTAACATACACTTTTCAAGCGCTTCTTTTGTCTGATTTAAGGCGTTGTAAAACACTTGACACTATATCACTTCTTTAATGTTATAATGTGGGATTTGTATTGTCTACATTTGTTCTGCTACAATACAATCTGGCTACACTGCACCTACGAGTTGCGCGCGCATGTCATCTTTTATTACTTTCTCACTTGTATTTATTACAATTAAGCTCTCTTTTTCTATTTATACGAGACAGGTCTACCTGTCACACCTATGCGTAGGTAACAGGTACAAACACACAGCATTTTTCCATTGATTTTTCCTAACTTTGACAAGCCGCCGTTTCGATAGGGTAAATAGTAGCAACTTGAAACTTCGAGGATATAATATCAATGAAAATAGCTATCAAATGACGTATTACTTGACCCCCCTTTCCATTTGAAATTTTGTGGGTACCTGTCATCCCCACTTAGGGGTTCACAGGTAGGGGGTGAAAATACCAATAAAATGTGTCCCCCAAAAAGCAAAAATTGACGTGTTTGAGCGATTTTTGATTAAACACCTAACACCTGAAAAAACCTGGGTGGAAAGTTTTTCGTGCCCCACCCGGTATAAAAACAAGTTTGATATTGTGATTGAATCTTATAAAATCCATAAAAACTCATTTTTTTTTATTCTATCACCAGCAGTTTTAAAACTGAAATCTGCAAAAGTTAATCACAAATTAATCCTCAATGTACCTCTTGCTATCTTATTTAACTATAAAAAACATTTTATTCTCAAAGAAATCATATGAAATTACTCGAAGTTATTACTAATTTCCAAACCAACAAACATATTATCTAAAACTAGTTACACTCTTTTAGGTTCGCAAATTATTTTTCCTAAAACTGACAAAAACACTAACAAGCATTAATCACAAAGTCATGCATCGGATTTGTTCCCCATTACCGCATTGTTTCAGTTCAGACTGTTAATTTTTTGTTTTGCTGCCTTCACTTTGTTTCAATTTCAATGAACCAAACAGAAAAATGCTAATTTAACAAGAGAATTCATTCATACTTCTCATAGATCAATATTTAAAATGCTACAAAAAGAAAATCTTTCTTTGAACTATTTCACCTTGGATAAAATAGCAGAAGTCAATTAATAATCGACATATCATTTTGAAATGCATGAACTAATGATTTATTTAAAGCATTTCCTTGCTTTTCGAGTTTTCACCTTTTATGATGCTGAGTGGATAAACCTTGCGTAAATATTTACCAGCTTTTGTATATTGTGTTCCAACTGCAACAAAGTAAATATGGCATATATATATATATATATATACTCGGGTATATACTGACATTTTTCCTGCAAAATCTTTTATTTGCTTTAGTACACTACCAATTTGAATATTTGTTGCTATATATAAATATCCAAAAGCCACTCATATGAAAAAATTATTCAGTAAATTAATGGTTTTGTTTATCTGAGCATCGGTTTAAATTTGACCTTATAATGGCAAATAAATTATTGGCAATGCTATCAGTTAAATTTAGGATGTTTGGCATAAAATTATCGCGCTGAGTTTGCTAATTAATTCAACATTTTTGATCATGACCTGAATTTACTTGCATTATCTGGAGGAATTTGCTGCCAATTGAAATTATACAGGATCCTAGCTTTAGAAATATAAGTTTTGATAATTGTAATGGTACAGTTTCACAATAAAGTACACTACTATCAAATTTTTAGTTAGAAATATTAATTTGGTCTGTTCCAACAGGTCAAAACCCTTCCCATGATCGATTTCAAAACTAGAGTTATTATTTAAATTTGACTAGTGGTTATACAATCTGTTTACCTCAATGCTGATCAAAGTGCGTATATTTTCAATAGAACCTAATTGGACAAAATAGAAAGTCAAACCTAATTATTAATTTTCACATCTTTGGATTTTGCTTTGTTTATCAACGCCAAGGACAAAATCCAATAGTTTCAAAAAAAAAAAGGAAAACTGAGCCAAAAACAATAGAGGGGATTATAATTTGGATATCGATGTCAAAATTTACACTAGGAAATTGGAGAGCATACAACAACTCTGTAATTTGGTTGAAAATTCAAAAATATGCTTGAATTACATACTCGCATAACGCCTTCAGAGCCAATTAATTTGATTTTCAGTGTGGGAGGATGTTGTTGTGTAGTTGTTAAGTAATTAAACAGTTGCTGTCTTAATATATTGCGATCTTGATTCAGAAAGCTTTAATTTTCCCTAAGAAAATTGAGTCAATAAAACTATGCAGGATGGTTTTTCTTGGACAGCTTTAAACCGATGTTTTCGTTTGTAGTTTGTGGCATCATCAGGGTTAGAATTAAGACTGAAATATGGTAAAAGTCATGGAAACTAGCTCGATATTTTGTCAATTGTAGACTAGACAATAATTACATATTCCTGTTACTAAAATTTTCCATCAAATGTCTTGTTTGAGAATCTCTAATTTACAGCTTTAAGTAAGATCTCTTTTATCAGCAATTTCTTCAATGTGGAATGGAAATAGATACCAACCAATAATGTTGATGAATTTATATTGGATAGGTACTCTTGTTATTTATTGGCAAATCTGCGGGAGTGATGACTATTTGATTTATGTTCCCAGAAGAATAATTATTGGAATTAGCAACACCGAGCAAAAAGAAGAAGAAAATATAGAGCCAAAAACAAACAACCAAAAATATTTAAATCTAAATGCAAAGTGGCATAAATAAAACGAATGGAGTAGGAAATCTCCGAAGGGTTAATCACTCCCCGAAATCGTCACAAATTCATCCGAAATCCCCGAAATTCTACCGAAATCCTTCCGAAGTCCATGAAATCACTCCGAAATCTCTCAGAAATCTTTCTGCAGACCCAAAAATCCCTTGCAATTGGCCCAAAATTTATGAATCGGTCAGCGCGGCTGTTTATCAGTTTATACTAATACACTTTGGAACATACTTATAAGATAAGTAACAGTCTAAAATTAAATTCTCAATCTCAAATCAATTTCACCTGAAATTCTCTGAAGTCACTCGAAATCCTTCGAAATCCCTTAAAATCCTTCCGAAATCCTACCGAAGTAGATAATGATAAACCAATAGAATTTGACAACATCACAATTAGAACTATTTTTGGAGAAATGCTTGTAGCTTGTATTCATTCCAACTTCCTGAAGAAGAATCGCTTTTTATCGAAAACTGTGGATAAAACATGAAAACACTTCAGTGGAGCAGAGACTTAAGGAACACAAAAGACAAGACCCACACACAGAGGAGAAGTAGATAAATTTTGCATTCAGGGACAAACAAATCAACATAGGACAAAAATGATTCAAAAGAAAACCCAAGAAGGCAGTATTCATTATAAGACCAAAATGTATCTATATCATAGAAATACCCAACATTTGAAAACCTTTGTTAGCAAAAAGATTTTTCAGTTGAGTTAGACCCTTAAATTCTATGAACTATGTAACAGGTAACGGGCACCTAGATTCCAGGAAAATTAGGTCAAATAGGCACCTAATTTCCAGGAAATCCATTGAACTTGGATATTTAAATCGTTCTAATCTACTTGAATGACACACTACTACACTGAGTTCGTACAAACACAAACATCATGTCCTAAAAATAAATTCAGACAATGGACATCCGCAAACTGTTTTACAAGTAGTGGATATTTTCTTTAAGCTTATGTCTAAGAGTATATTATACCTACATCTATATTTTGTAAACTATAGAACCAAGGGGCAAACTACCCAGGAGTTCTTTGCCAAAAATGCAAAAATTCTCTCAAAATTTCACATCTTAATTTACAGGACCACATTTAAAAGAATGATGAGTTCAATTTTATCTAAATAAAGAATACTTATGTTTGAAAATTTCAATAACTGTAAAGGAAATTGAATTGGATTTACTTAAACTAGAATGGATTTGAATGCTACATTCAAGATTCCATTCATATTGGAGCCAAATTAGGAAATCGCCTACTGAGAAAAAAATTATTGGCTATTAGAGAATGGAGATTACCTAATTTCAGTAGATCATTTTAATATGCTAATTGAAAAGCATAATAAAAGTGAACATTTATTAGTTAGTTCTGACATTGTTCCAGCAGAAGATAGGAAGAACTTTAAAAGCGCATTGATAATAATTATTTCAGAAGAGGTATAAAATCTCCTTAAAAATGAACCCTAGTGTAAAGGAACTTCAAGCTACTTGAAGTTGATGCAAGGTAATATGGTTGGGTGGTTGGTTTTCAAGCGGGCAGATGTACTACATTGGCTATATTGAATCTCATTGCCGATATTCTGGATTTTTTTGACAATCTCCAATTTAGTACTGTGTTTTTCTGAGACTTAAGTAAGGAATTTGACTGTGTTTCCCATGAAATCTTGCTGAGCAAGCTAGTACATTAAAATTTTGGTACAGACAGTGTTAAACTCATAAATTCTTATCTGGAAAACAGATCCCAAACTGTCAGGGTCGGTGGGGTGTGTTCTGCGGAAAGGGTTGTAAATATAGGTGTGCCCTAAGGGTCTGTCCTGGGGCCGATCCTATTTTTAATAAATGTAAATGATCTCCCCTTTAACAGTGATCAAGAAAAATACACCCTTTTTCCTTTTAGTGGATGACATCACAGTGTCCATGTCAGCGGGATCAGTTGATCAGGCAGTCTCACAGCTTGAAGTCACTCAGGATAGAGTGAGAGACTGGTTTAATGCTAATAAGCTGCTCCTCAATGAAGACAAAACAGAGAGATTGATTTTCTCTCTCAGAGACTCCAGAGGTATTAATGAAAAAGGGAAGATCGTTCGATTTCTTGGAGTGCTCATTGACCGCACTCTGAGATGGCACGTACAAATTGATCAAGTTTCATCAAAGCTTAGCAGGGCTCTCTTTGTCCTTCGTAATCCCTCCCAGAGGGGCTCAGATAATGTTCTGGAAACTTCGTACTATGCTATATTTCACTCTGTTATGACATGGTATTTTGGTTTAGGGTCAGTCCCCCCTTGTGGCCTGAATTTTTGGACTTCAGAGAAAAGCTATCCGAATCTTGGCTGGGTTGGGCTTCAGGGAGAACTGTAGTCAGGGCCTTTGAGAGTTTAAACATACTTACTTCACCATCTCACTACATATTTGAAAATTTGTTGTATGTGAAGGACAATGAGAATAAATTCGGGGTGATTAGGCAATCTCAATCACGTGATTATATAAGGAGAGCATTTGTGTTCTGGCCCTCGCTGCTTTCGAAGTGAATTTTATATGTGTTTCTACGTATTTTTCATTGGTTTTGGTCATTGTTGTTTTCATAGTGAATTTTATAGTCTTTAGTATTTCTACGTATTTTTTACTGTTCTGGCCCTTGTTGTTTTCAAAGTGAATTTTATAGTGTTTATAGTGTTTCTACGTATTTTTTAATTTATTAATAAATTCTGAGATGGAGAGTGAATATCTTAGGGTATTATTATTAAGGGAAAATCGAGCTTTTAGTTGCAGCAATCCATAAAGCCCTGCGTTGTTTTGATAATTCATATTTGTAGATCCAAAGCCAATGTAATAGCAGGAACTTAATAAAATTTCACATTATCCCTGTTACCTCGACTTCCACACCGAATTACGATGCAAATCGCTGGCATTTTAATTAACACAATACCTAAACACACAAAAAAACACAAAATCCGATAATTCAAATCTGGACGTTTGTCCAGAATGTGACAGAATCAATGACATACAGAATAAACAACACAGTGCTTGACCCAATGCTTGACCCGAACTTCCATATTGAATTTCGTTTTTGACAGGTCAGTAGATTGCCTAATAAGCAACTTTTGTGTTCAAATTGTTTTTATTCGTTTGAAGAGTTCTTTAGGTATAAGTTTTAGATGTGTCCTTTTGACAACAAACTTTGCTGTGATTTGTATTCTACTGTCTTGTATTTTAACTGTACTGTTTCTAAAGTAAGCTTGTGAATGTCGGATCTTCACAATATTTTTCAAGTTTTTAAGTTTTAATTTACAACTACAGACTGTGTATAAAGTGTATAATTTTATAGTATTTTTAATTTAAATTGAAACACTAAAAAAACATCTAAGCCGTTTTCTCGCATTCACTTTTTTGACATTGGTTCAAAACAGGTTTGAAACGGGCAATAGTGTTTCCCTTGACTGTTCCAAACTGGTTTTGAACCAATGTCAGAAAAGTGGACGCGAGAAAACGGCTTAGATGTTTTTTGAGTTTTTCTGTTCAGATTAAAAATGCTATACTACTATATTTTTTTGACGAATGAAAGTACTTATGTATAATAGCACGAATAAATTGAGTATTGAGTATGTATCCTAGATTCATATATGAAAAGAAGGCTGAACGTTGAAAAAAGGGTTTACCGAGGGGTTTACTTATTTTCAAATTTTTGAAAAAGGAATAAGACACATTTGTATGGCCTACTCCTGACTAAGCCGAGGTCCACAGACATACATTTATTTTTTATGGTCCTGTTCAACTTCTAGGAAGAGGCCTATTCAAAATAGAAAGAAATAGTACAAAGGTCTTTTGAAATTGGAGAAAAACTTCAAATCCACCATTTCCTAAATAAATTAAGTAAATTGGCCCATGATATGTTTTTAAAATTGTTATTTCCACAAAGAATAGCTCAAGACTAGATTTTCGATGTCTGTGCTTGTCTCCAATATAACCAATAAAACCTTGAATATGAGCCAAACATAAATGTATTAATTAATGGGATATAGAAATTTTAATAGACACTTTATTCCATGAAATTAATGTATCTTTGCTTGAATAAGTCAATGGCGAGGTCAATGGTTTTATGTTGCTTATTCCATTAGGCTTCTTACACAGTTTTAGATTTTCAGTAACCCTTGGTTTCAAACAAGCAAGTTATTTGAAATTGTTGGTAACATTTTTGTTGGCAAAATTATTGTAGATAAAAGATACATAGGTACACAATGACATGATGGAAACTTACCTACCTTTCTCGACCTGAAAGAAGATGTGCAAACTAAATAATTATAACTTCATCAAATGTATATTACATAATGTTGGCATAAGTTTTGGGATTTTGATTCCATAAAAATTTAGCCTAAAATAAGCAAAATCAGTTTTTTGAAGCTCTCTTCATACAAATAACGCGCATTACTATTACTAGCTGATATCGACAATTATAAATGCGCAAAATACCACCAATAATAAACTATTGCACATAAATATAGGTAATAAACAATTTCTCTTTAAACAAATTTTGAAACTCAAGCCCCCGTAAAAGCTTTTATATATTTTTGCATTTTAATTAATAATTGGCGGAGCACAACAAATAATCAATTAATTATTCTAATTAATGTTTAAAGACAATAAACAATTTGGAACAGCCTAAATAATAATAAAATCAGTAGGTGTAATTAGCTGGCTAAAGCACAACTAGACCCCTGCTTGGTTGGAACCGAATACAACTAATGAATTTTTGATGCATTTTTCAGGCAAATCCAAAATAATTTTAACCTAGAAACTTCAGAAAAACCATACATAAATCGCTCAACTCACCAATTAACGATTTTTGAGTAAACTTTTTTAAACGGTGAACCAATTACATTTTGTCGTCATTTTCAGTTCCCGATTCCGCTGTCCGCTCAACTTTAGATTGTGAATAAATTTTAGGGATTCGGGGCCGTTGTACCGTGAAATTTCGACAGGGACTTGAAGCTGAAAGATGGCGGAACCGTTTCGACGAGAAACCCCGATTTTAAACGCTTTGCTGTTGGGAAATTGGCCACAAAAAATTAAGAGAAAAACTAGAATTTTGTCATTGCAAGAACCAACTCCAAGCAAGACTACGCGATGTTGCCAAACTTTCAATAGGCTTTTCTTGGATGTTTTTTTGTCAAATGTTTTTCTGGTTTTCACACAAAGAAAAACCAGATTTATTTTCAAATTATTCGATTATTTATACTAAATTATCAATAAAGCACCTAATTATTGCAATTTTGTGGCAGAAATTATACAAAATATTGTTAAATGTAAGTTAACTTACAGCAAAAAATACAAGCTATTTGAATTTAAAATTTAAAGAAAATTAAAGCAAATATTCAATGTTACCAAAACATCTTGATCCTCGTTTGAAAAATACCTTGATAAAACATTTCCAAACTCAAAATAAATTGATTTATGTAACACAAAAGCACAAACCTCATAATTTTACGACAGTTTGGCAATGTTGCAATAAAATATTTCATCCATATTCGAGGCATGCGCATCAGAAAACAAGATACGAAATGCGCGATAAGGACAGAAAACTTAAATTAAAATTTTCATTTTACCTTTTCTATTTTTGTTTTTCCATTATTTTCAGCGTCTCTATTTTCAATAATTTTCACTGATTGGCTGCTGGGTATTTTGTTAAAACTCTATAAACTATTTTCTTGTAGGAAATTTACCCAGACTATGGAACAAAGAAAAGCGAAAAGCGATGCTGCCAGAGGTTTGTTTTGAACTTTGACACTGTCAGCAACTATGTACTTGTACTTGTGTCAAAAAAAAAAACCGTCAACAGCACAGCAGAATATTTTTCATTAATGAATAAACAACACATTTAAATTGAATTTGTTTTCATTAGTTTTAAAATCAAGAAACTAGTCACCCATAGGCCATATAGGGTATTTTATTTATCCTAAAATTGTAAAGTAAAATGTATACCTAATTCAAACTTTTAGTTCATAAATTTGACTGCAGATGACAAGTAACTGAGTTGTTTACCGCTAGGTGGCAACATTTCAAATTTAGATTAAGGGGAAATCCCCAAATCCAGTAGTTCAGATTTCATAGAATGCTGTCCCTGTCGCTTTCTTTGGATTATTTCAAAGTCGCTTTATTTCTTGTATTATTTTAGTAAAAAAGATAATATAGAAGTTTAATTTGTTTCTGTTGACTACTTTGCAGGAGGCCCAATGTTGAGTTTATAATTTTTCTTTTGCATCTCATCTGGTTCTCTAGTTGCCTGTGGTAATTGTGAATAGATGACGTCATCAGGGTAACCTAATGGAAGATTTGCATTATGTTCAGGCACCCCAGATGACATCAAAAAAGTTATCAGGCAACCCCTTTCAAACAACATTGCTTCTCCTGCCAAAAATTTTTCGGATAAGAAAGGGCTCGGATCAAGCTTGTTTGAAAGAGGTAGGTTGCCTGATAACTTTCATGACGTCACCTAGGGTGCGTAAACATAATGCAAATCTCCATTAAGTCCTCCCTGATGACGTTATCTGTTAACCATTATATACCAGACAACCTATTGGCTTTAGCAACCTTGGGCTCAAATTAGATGAACTGCTCAATACTTTGAAAATAACAATCCAACCCCAGACCATATTATAGGACAAAATATTTTTTGAATGTTTTGTTTTTGGTCCAACCATAACTACACTGAACCCAGACAGCACACAAAGTCTTATTAATTGTCTGCATTTGCATCTGAACGTTTGAAGACCAAAAAAAGACATATAATACAACCGGGCCTAAAAGTGAATAATGATTTATACTTGAAAAGAGATTCAAAGACGTGTCTGTAAGACACCTCGTTGAAAGTCTTTAGAATGTCTTGAGAAAATGTCATAGACATTTTTAGGACCAAATTATGAACCAACTGGTAAGTGTCTGGTTATTACCTAGCAGGTACTTTCCATTCTCTAGTACATAGAAAGTACATGCTAGGTAACAACCAAACGTTTACCAATCAGTCCATAATTTGGCCCTTAAGGCAAACGTTCGAAAGACATTGGTTTTGTAACATACGACGTCAAGATGCCTTGAACACCTAAGCAGACGTCATAAATACTCCATAACATTCAAAACCCGATTCACTGATTCACAATTGCCAAAAGTGTTTTAAAACAATTCAGAAGTTTGAAACTCATTTTAGGACGCTCCAGCTTCAAACTAGAATATCCAGAAACATTTTGAAAAACGCCAGAATTTTAGGATTCAGGTTAAAAGTTTATAAGTTTCCTTCAAAATGACATTTTTACATGGAGAAACGTCACTTTTGAAGAATACTTATTACGGGCCATATTCTCCGTAGTTCATAAAGCCTGGCTTAGTGGAAACGCTTGGATTTTTGTGTGACAAAGCCGAGCTTTTCCACTAAGCCAGGCTTTATGAACTACGGAGAATATGGCCCTAAGCCTCATTCTCACATGCGCGGAATTCGCTCTTTTTTGACATTGCTCCGATAATTTGACGTTTGATACACGCATAAAACGTCAAATTCTCGAAGCAATGTCAAAAAAGAGCGAATTTCGCGCAAGTGAAGGCCTCATGTGCGTAATTTCACCAGCGTATCGGCGTTCAGCGATCTGATTGGTTTTCGCCAAGCATGTGATATACGCGTCGCCATCTTTGTTGCGCTGTCAAATTTACGTGCAGGATACACCTAAAAGTAAGGTTTACGCCTTGAGAGTGAGGCATGCCTCATACAGGAATTTCGCGAATAGATAGGTACATATCAAGGATAATAACAAATGTCTGTATGTTTGAGGTGGATTTATAATATTACCTTGCAATTTTTGGGACTTACCCCTCATTTGAAATTATTACCAGAAGTTTCTTGATCTTGATACGATTTACTACAAGCTCTCTGATTAGAGCAAGGATGATACACACACTACTCTACAGGATGGCCTTTCCCCATAAGGCCTGTGTGTAACAAATCCCCCCTTCCCCCCTCGCCATGTCAAAATACCAGTTGTGACGTAGCAGCATATGTTATTTCTCGCCTTGCGGTAGGCTGTTTAAACAGCTGACGACTTAGTTATGACGTCAGAAATGGTATCACACCAATATGGCAGCGATTACCAAAAACGAGGCCGATAGACACTCCTTACTATAGAGTGTGACCTGATCAGACCAATAGTCCTTTTCACGTGGCTCCGTTCATTGGTTTGAACCAACCGGGTTACAAAACGGTTAGTAGCGGTATGTCAAGTATGACATACCGTTTTCTAACCCGGTTACAAAGTGACTTGATCGATACCACTCGAATTTGAGCGGGATGTTGCGGTTTGTTAAACTGGAGCCACGTGAAAAGAGTTAATCAGTGTGGGCTAACTTAACTGACTCCATTTTCAAGGGTCAGTTAAGTTAGCCCCCCCCCCCACTGAATTTTTTTGAATGAAACATATTCCATAATTTTGCTCCACCAACTATAATTTTTGCTCCACTACAGTAGAGAAGTGGAGAGACTATGTGGTCTAATAAGTGGCAAATCAACGCTAGCCTTCCCCAGTGAAAATTTCGAAGTTTTTTTGTGCTCATTTTATTCTCCAAGTTTTACTCCATGATCGGCGAATTTGCCATTTTTGCTCCATTACCTGGAAATGAGCTCCCCCAAAAATAGATTTAACCCAACCCAATGCGCTAAGCTACCCTCACGCTACCCTACGCACTCGCACTGTGATTATTTCAGTATTTTTCTGGTAGCACATATGAAAGAAAAGGTTCAACAATAAAGTGTATTTTTAATTTGTATCTCTTTCTACTACTATATAACAAACAATGATAGAAATATTTTGTTTTGCTCTGCTGGTTCTTTGATTAGAATTAGATTATAGCGGAGCTACAAAATTGGCGTCACTCAAAAATAAAAAAATTTCCCTGGGATGGAGGTAGCTCCATAATTCTAGATGGAGCAGAACTCGCCGATCATGGAGCAAAATGGAACAAAACTTTGAGAATAAAATACGCATAAAAACTTCGAAATTTTCACTGAAGGGAGGGGCTAGCGTTAATTTGGCCCGCCCCCCATTTAGGGCGGGTATTATAAAACTGCTTTGAAAGTTAACTTTTTGAATTACATGTATTTCCAGAAGTTAACTCTCAAAGTGGTTTTATAATACCCACCCTTATAGGCCACATATGTCTCTCCACTTCTCCACTATAGTGTAGCAAAATTATAGGATGTTTCATTTAGAAAAATTCAGTGGGGAGGGGTAACTCAACTGGCCCTTTGAAATGTTAATAAATATTAATTAATTTAAAAAATTATTTTCACAAAGATTATCCGAAATACCTACATGAATAAGGGCGGGTCTTATAAAACTGCTTTGACAGTTAACTTGAAGTTAACTTTTTGAATTACATGTGATTCCAAAAGTTAACTTTAAGGGCGGGTATTATAAAAGTACTTTGAGAGTTAACTTAAAGTTAACTTCTGAAAATACATGTAATTCAAAAAGTTAACTTCAAGTTAACTGTCAAAGCAGTTTTATAATACCCGCCCTAAGTCAAAGTTCCAAGGGAGGACCTAGATGCAAAAGAAATTGACCAATAAACTCTGTTCCTAAACTTATTATGGAACCTCTTTGCACTTAAAAAAAAAACTGACTTTAAATAAAAATATATTAATAGGTAACAAATTTATAATTCATTAAATAACAATAGTTTAAAATATTCTCAGAAACAATATGTATACCTGAAAAAGTGACACAGTTTTTACATAAATATACAAAATATTATTATTGTGCTGAAAGAAAATGCTTCATCTTTCAAATAAATCAAAAACAAATACCTCATAAAACAAAAATAAATACAATGTTGCATATAATTACATATATAAATATTTATTGCATATATTCATCACATAAAAATAAATAAAACAAATCGGCAATAAATATTTTTCACTGTGGACTTTGGCTCTACTCCAAAACACCCATTTTAATGATAATAGACCCGAGTTTAGAGAGATCATGAGTGTATTTGTCTTTAACAAAAAATATATATATATATATATATATATATATTTATTTAGACTCAACAACAAAATTACTATCACACTTTGGACATGTCACTTTAACTTCGTCCAACACAGTACTGGTTTTTTTGGTTTTCGAAAACGAGTTGTTACACTTCATACACTGATACTGAATCCGAATTTCTGGTAATTTATTTTTTATCATGCCCTCAGATATTAAATTTACAAATTTTTCCGCTTCTTCGATGTAGTAGTTTCTGGCAGAGCGATCCCTTCTCAGAGTGTCAAATATTATTTTTACTTCATTAGGATTTTCGCCTTTTTGGCATGATTTTACAACGTTTATATGCCATCTGGCTTTTTCTTTGCTAGTTACACTATCTCTTTCTGATAAGTGCGTTTCAGTTACAACTATACATAGATCATCTGAATTTGGTGCGGTACCACCAACAAAAATTTCTCCTTGGTCAAAATCCTCGTCATCAGATGGAGGCTCTATTGTAGATTCCTCTACTTGACTATTGCTGAATATGTCTTCTACAGAATCATTTCCATTGTTTACTTCATGAGAACAAGTAACAAAAGACTCGTTTGTTGTATCAGGATTATCTACATTCAAAACCATGTCAGGTGCTGAGACAAAAGAATTTGGGTGTTCACTTTCACAAGATATAGTGTCTAGATTAGGCTGGTAATCTTTAAACGATGTTGATGCTTTAGATGGTTCAGGAAACTTTAGTACTTCCTGAAATATTTCTCCTGCTGCATAGGACATCCAATTTTCACCATGTTGTCTTCGAAATTCTTCAATCTAAAGGCAATAATTAAATTAAGCTAAATAAAGTTAAAAATCTAAAATATACCTTATTTTTTATGTCTAGATGACTTCTGTTAGTACTTCTTGGCGATGGAACAACCACATCTAACTTCTTTTCCTTTACTACAATATCGTACCCTTCCTGTATAGGCACATTCCTTACTCTCCTAGGCCTCTCTTGTACAGAATGTTCTAATGAATTTTGCGAAGAATAACTTCCATTAGACCCTAGAGAACCCTGATTTAAAGGATACAAAGAACCAGCCAAAGATTTTTCTGTTCTTGTCAAAGGAATATTGTCCAAAACAAAACTCAAAGGGGCCGTGTTTTTATTTAAATAATTGCATGTAACTGTCCTGTGCAGAGGGTGGAAATTAATAGGGTTTCCACGTAAATCTAGCGAAGATAAGGAAGGCAACTGTGAAATGGAGAGGAGAGTGACATGGTCGTTCAGGCAATTTTGAGCCAAGTCCAGTTGGAGGAGGTCACATAAAGTTCCTAGGCCTGAGATATCTTCTATAAAGTTGTTGTTTAAAAGCAAAACCTAAAATATTAATTTGATGTATTAATACAGGCTTTCTAATGGTGATTTTTGGGTTAAAGCATATAGTCATAGATCCTCAAGTACTAACTACAATGAGTATACAATGAGTACAAAATATGTACTTATTGTGGAAATCCTATATAGGATTTTTGGAGAATTCTTTGATTGCTAGAAGGATGTCGGCGATTGCAAACAAATGACTTCAGTGATGATTACTTTGTTCATAAAATGAAAAATGTATAATGGAGAGACACCACACAAGATAATTATTATACTAATACATACTACACCAGAAAGATGATTATAGTAAAAATCTAAATAACCCAGTTTTATGTAGTAAGTTCAGTTAACAGTATTACCTTTGCCTAAGTTAGTTGTAACTTACTTGCAGTCTTTTACAGATTAGTCCTTTAAATCTAGGTGCTTTTTCCAAACGATTATAAGACAAATTCAACCTTTTTAAATTTGGCAAATGATCGATCCAATCTAAATTCGTTATACAATTATGGCTCAGATCTAATATTTGTAGCCAAGGGGTGCACTCAAAACTCGTATCAATTGTATGTAGACGGTTGTGAGAGAAATTTGCCCTTTTCAATTCGGCCCAGTTAAATTTGTGGCTACAATCTCCGCCGCATTTGTCCAATATATCAGCTAAATTGATTAGGTTGTACATGCAAGTTAGTTCTTCGATGTTTGATCTTAGTTTTTGGATCCCTATCACGTTTGCTATGTCGATTTTGTGGATTTCTAGCAGTTTGATGTTTTGAAATCGTTTCACGTTAACAACAGTACTTTCTAGGTCTTCCAAAAGGTCTGGGGTAACTTTTAACGCTACAGTACCTTTCACTAGATCAAACAAAAACTGCAAATCCTTCTGCAAAGATGCTTTTTCTTCAGTAGGATGGAAGGACGATGTCAGTTCTTCAGGCACATTTTCATCAAACGCCTTATTCAATTTGTTTAAATAAACTGTAGAAAGACACAGTTTCCCTTTACCTTTGAAAACGTCTGTACTTACAGGACGCAGCAAATTGGCTATGCCAGATAGTAAATTTTGCTCAGACATTGTACGTTTACGAAAAAGCTTTGTCTAGCAATCATTAAATTACGCCTAAATTAATTTTAGATGTTGATAAATAATGTTTTAAAAATAAATAAGATTGTGGATTGTGGAAGGAAACAACAAAGGTAAATAAATTACTTATATGAGTCATGACAGTAAACAGCTGGACTGGGGTGCGTTCATAAATGCAGTTTAATACTCTTTCAGAACAACTGTCCGGAGTATGCTTAGATAATCAGCACAACAATACAAATATTGTTGTATTCCTTTCAAGAGTTTAGAACACTAGAGCTGCTCGCTGCTCGCTCCGGTGTTAGTGGACCCCGATTTAACTCGATGAAGAATTATTTTGAAACCTTGGATGTTGGATGATCTTATAGCGTTTTCCATTTGTCGAACCAGTGCAAAAAAAATGTATTCTTATCCTTACATGTTACATGCTTTTAGAAAAAGATGCGGATACACTCAGTGCGCACTGATTGACAAATGGAAAGCGCCATTAGTTTCTGCCATCGGTTCCGCCTCACAAAACCAACAGTGGTTCCGCGCCATATTAGTGTAGCACCATTGCCGACGTCATCAACTAAGTCATCAGCTGTTCCCGCCAGCGGTCCAAGGATAATACACATTACTACACAGCTGTTTGCGCCAACGGTCGTAGTTAAAGTAAGATTGTTTGAGAGAGGTAAGTTACCAACCCTATGACGTCATCCGGGGTGCCTCAACATAATGCAAATCTCCATAAGACACGCCTGCGTCATCAAGTTACCCATTACCAGACAACTTTGTTTTAGGGCGGGTTTCATTAAAACTATTTTGATCAATTAATTTTGACAGATAACATAAAGTTAACTTGAACCAAATTTTCGCGACGAATGTAGTTCATCCAAGGACGAAACATAGTTCGTCTTGTGACGTCATGAGTTAGAGCGCTGGCTAGGAGCTACGTCTGTGCTTCCGGCGAACTATGTTTAATATGACGTCATGAGTTTCTTGCAAAAGCGTTTGTGTTCATGAAATCATGCATGGAAGTAGTTCGTCGCGAAAATTCGGTTTTGGAATTACAATGACTGCGTTCTGCGTGAACCAAACCAAACCGATTCAATCCAGAATAACGAACAAAAGAATGGCGAGCAGCTGGAGTGTATCGTTATTCTTTATTCGTGCGCACCGCGCCACGGGCAGAAACGCGGTAAAATTGAAATCGACAATATTTTTTTATACGTTCGTACTCGGAACCCCAGTGCCGTAAATAACAGTGTCGTAGTTTAATGGCGAAAACCATTGGTGGAATTAGTGCAAAAAACATGTATTTCCGTCACTTTCTTTTCCATGCTAGTAGATAAGGACACGAATACACTGCGCACTTACCAATGGATTTCACGATTTCACTATAATATTCTAGGGAAAATTACTGAAATCAACCGAATATAGCCTAGTACTCATAACTGCGAAATTCGCATTTTTTTGACATTGCTTCGACAATTTGACGTTTGATACACGCATAAAGCGTCAAATAGTCAACGCAATGTCAAAAAAATACGAATTTCGCAGTTATGAGTACTAGGCTTATTTCATAAAAAAAGCAGAAAAATAGACAATGAAGCTAAAAATAGTAGACTTCATAGTGATAACAATAGAACAGGTTGACAGCGAAAACAGGAGATCTCCTGTTAAAGCCTGGTACTCATAACCGCGAAATTCGCTCTTTTTTAACATTGCTTCGAGAATTTGACATTTTATGCGTGAATCAAACGTCAAAGTGTCGAAGCAATGTCAAAAAAGAAACGAATTTCGCATATATGACTTATATGAGTACTGGGCTTAACACTGACTGTTGAGTAAACTGGTAAATTCCAAGGATGATACACACCTACAGGATTACTTACCGGCCTCGTTTTTGGTATTCGCCGTCATATTGGTGTGTCACCATTTCCAACCTCATAAAGCCAGAGACACATCTATCATGCATTCTTCCGATCCGACTCCGATCATACAATCAAGGTCGGGAATTCTAAAATCATGATTCGACATACGACTCGACAACGAGACGATTTTTCCGACGATTCTAGGTTAGAAATCTCATTGGAATTATACCTTTCGACACGACAAGGCCGGTATCGTTGTCGAGTCGTGTGTCGAATCGTGATTTTAGAATCTCGGCCAAGGTCCTTATTCTTGGAACAGGGAAGCAGCGGAACACGTTCTCCTGGGAACGCTGCTCCCTGTTCCAAGAATAATAAGGACCCTGAGCCGCTTTCCAGTATGGGAGTGTGACGCCCGGAGCTACTCGGGGCGTTGAGCTCCCGAGCTGTACGTACGCGTCAACCTATCAGCTGTCACATCCGTGGGTGGCTATTTATCTATTTATTTCTTGTTATATCTCAAGATTGAACATTTTAAAATATATAGTTTTGATTCTCTTTCATTTTTGATAAATAAAAAAACAAACTGCACAAACAAACAGATAATTATTTTTAAAATTTGACATATTTGACACCAAGACAGGCGTCTCACGCCATGATACTGGAACGGTACAAATCTAGTGCGTGGCGCCCCCGGGGTGCTCTAGAGCGCCCCAAAGTGCATACTGGAAAGCGGCTCTGATTGCATGATCGGAGTCGGATCGGAAGAATGCATGATAGATGTGTCCCGGGCTTAACTAAGGGCCGAATTTATAGTCGCTCCTTGAGGTTTCCTCAGACCTTAAGTAGGCCTTGAAGGTTTAGAATTGACATGACTAAATTGTCAAATATTAGCAAGTGTCCATTCTAAACTCACGACCTTCAAGTACGACCCAAGGAACGACTATAAATTCGGCCCTTAGTCGTCAGCTGTTTTAAACAGCCTACATCAAAGGGAAAAATAACATGCTGCTTACGTCACAACTGGTGATTTGTTGAGTTGAGAGGGAAGGGGGGACTTGTTCCATACAGGCCTTATGAGGATAGGCTATCCTGTAGTTGTAGTGTGTATCATCCTTGGGTAAACTGTGGGTTCTGCTGAACGATTCAACTTTTCAAAAATATAGAACGTCACCCTCTCAATGTCATCTCACCTCACCACACAAACAACAGAGTGTTGGAAATTATAAACACTCCTAATTTATGCTTGCAAAAATTGCTATTGTTTGCATAACAAAACTTACGTCATCACTAGTGCTTTGATATGGTGGGAGGCTTGAGATTTGAACTACACAAGGTTTATGAGAATAGACCAATGACGAATAGACTATCCTGTAGTAGTATTAGTGTGTATTATCCTTGACACGATATCCAAAAACGAGCAATCGTGTAGTATGTATTTAATAGCTGTATTCCTTTCAAGAGCTTGAAACACTCGAGCTACTCGCTTCGGTGCTTAGTCGCCCCCGATTTGCAGGGAACAGATGCGTGGTGCAACAAACACTTTTCGAAAGGAATAAGTGCGTGAAGCCCCGGAGCTGTTCCGGAGCTCCTCCTAGGTGTGAAAGGAATACAACTAATGGTACTATCCTCGATTTAGCTCGCCGTTACTTTGCTCTATATTAGTTGTATTCCTTTCAAGAGCTTGAAACACTTGAGCTACTCACTCCGGTGTTTAGTCGCCCCCGATTTGCAGGGAACAGATGCGTGGTGCAACAAACACTTTTCGGAAAGAATAAGCGCGTGAAGCCCCGGAGCTGTTCCTATATGTGAAAGGAATACAACTATTCATGAACGCACCTCTCAGAAATGTCAGTTCTGTCCTGTCAATTTTTCAAAACAAAAAAACATTTAAAAGTCAAAACAAATAAATTTCTGTGGTTAGTGGTTATTTCTTTTAAATTTAAATTATTTGAGAAGTTATTCAATATTCTATTCTGTTCAGGTAGTTCATGTTCACCCTAGACAATGATAAAATTAAATTAAAAAGAACTCAATTCTAGGTCAAAGGATTGCACACGAAAAAATGGCCTTCTCCTTTGGAAACACTAGCACACCACAAAAGCGTAAGTTTTCCTTCCAAATTATTTCAATATCTTTTTACCCAACAGATGCGGAAAATGATACTTTACCGCACGCAACGTAACTTTACCGCATAGTGTGTAGGTACAGTGATATTTTACACTTGTAGTGGTGAAGTCAACTTTACCACACGCTGGTAGGTAATATTTCCCTATTACCAATATTATTTGTCATTTGGTTTAATTGATTTTTCATTCAATTATAAGCATTGCATACCTAGTTCTTGCAGAATACATAACTCCCCGTCTTGAGAAATGTATGTACATTTATAGGAACAGCCCACTATGGTCATTATACAGGGTGTCCTATATAAAAATCAACTGCATTGGCATATTGGTTACTGAAGACAGTGAGTCGATTAAATTGGAAAAAAAGTTGCAAGTTTTAATTTCTCAGCAAAATTACGAATTACGGGCCAAATTATGGACTGACTGGTAAACGTCTGGTTCTTACCTATCAGGTACTTTCTATGCACTAGAGAATAAAAAGTACCTGTTAGGTAACAACCAGACACTTACCAGTTGGTCCATAATTTGGCCCTAAACAACTATTTAAAAATAATTAAACCTCATTCATTGCCGCATTTTTCCATCTACAAGTTGGCACTATCAAATTTAAATTCCATAGTTGAGTCATTGCACATCAACAACTTAATTTACCAAAAACAACCCTGGAATTTCAATTTAATTTTTGGTGACTAGTATTACAGATCTTGGGAGAATTTTAGCAAATACATAAGTACATGAAAATAGGTCCTTATTTGGGAACTTATGTTTTGCCTAAAAATAGTAATCAAGAATAGGACACTGAAAGATGATGCAAGAACTCATGGCTTGAAGAGAAGATGAAATTTTGGATTTTAATAACGCGAGCTTTTGACTTTATTATTCAAATGGATCAGTGGTCAGAACTTTCCCAAACTTCAATGCGGCATATAACTGTGAACTGAAAAACCCAACCTGGTCCAAATTTATTCCATTTTGTATCTTATTTTACAATTTCATAAATTCCCATGCTGTTCGTTCTTTTGTAGATATAGGTAGGTACAACAGTATATTGAGAACCTATACACTAGAGACTCAAGTATTTGAAAATTTCATAGAGTATCAATATGTAGCATCAACAGATTCATTGAAAAATCATCTACTTAAAACTTTTATTTATAATTTTACAATATAGGTACATTAGATTATATTATAATAATATTTACCATCACCATAAAACTGTAAAATGACACACAAGAATAAAACCTACACCGATACTGTGTTAATAATAAATCATATCACTTTCGTGCACTTAATAAATTTAAAAAAATAAATATATTTTATCCCATTAAGGTATGTTTTTCAATTTATCATTATTCTTCAACATCTGTGGATTCATATATTCATTATTGACAACAGCCATAACTGGGTATTTATTTCTTTTTTCTGTTTTCAATCTGTTGCTCCTGCACCAAAAAAGCACTCCAAGACAAGCAATCACAACCAAAATCAAAACCAAAGCGGCTATAACATAATCATTGACATAACTGACTTCAGATGCTGAACTACTAGCAGTTTTTGTTGTATTTAGGATCTTATTAGCAGTTGTAGTAGTTTCAGCAACAACTTCATGCCACAACTCTACAGTTTTACCAGTCGCATCTTCTACGACTTTGACAATAGAATTTCCATTGTCTTCAGCAATGATGGTTGAGCTTATATCATTACTCAAATTGACATCAGGAATTGGAAAATCTGTAGTGCCATAGTCATCGGTATCATCTATGAAACTGTTCAAAAGTTCATCCAAAATGGGTGTAAGGTCTGAATCAGCGGTGTCATCAATTATTGGTACAATATCTGGTAAAACCTCAATAGGTTTTAGGGTTATATCGAATTGAATTGTGTGAAGGTTGTGCGGAGCTACAGTCTGCTCAGTTGGGACTGGCGGAGCGGAATCCTAGAAAGAATAATTATGCATATAACAAATACAAACTAAGAGATGATTGGAAGTTTTTGTTGCAAGAAATAACCTAAAAAAAAAAAAAATGCAGTCAAAATAATTAATGGCGATCAGGATATAAGTTGATGTGGGAATTTACAAAAACATTAAAGATAAGAGAACATCAGGAAATAAATGATTCACCAAAGCATTATGTTCTGTACTGCGTTTTAAATTTACTGGCCATTGAGTTGCTTATGTACAAGTCTAATTTTGTTGCTTTATGCAGGAATTAACTTTGAAATCATCTAAAATATATAACTCAAATTAGGAATAACTCTGATTCTAAGATGAATTTAAACAAAATAAGTTAGACAATTTTAAAATATGAAGCCTGAACCTTGACATTTTGTAATTTAAACAATGAGGTTGTTTTGGTCTCTTTGCGGTCATATTTGATAATATTGAATTCCTACTAGGCCAATAAATTCCAATAATTATTGTCTATCTATTGGGCCGGTTAAACATATGGCACAAAAAGATAATTATTTGGTTACCTGATCTCCTCCAAAAATAAGCTTATCAGCCCAATTCAAAAAATTTCCGAAAACTTCCATCTCTGGATTATTGAGAAATATTTGCCGGTAACTTTATTTAGAAACAACTAAATGAAGCATTAAATTACTAATAAAATGTTTTAAAGTCCGATGCAAAATACTATTGTTATGTTACCTTGTCTTAATCGTACCTACCTATAGATAATTTTTTTGCATATAATTATTTTTAATTTAACTTGGCTCGGGTTGTTAATTTAATGAGTTATGTATATGACCAAGATAATATTGAAAACTTTAAAGAAAAATAATGAGGAGTATTCATAAGGTTTTCTCAGCATTATTACTGGTACAAATTGGGTGGTAAATTAACCCCCAATCAGTCTATAAATGGAAGTGGCGAATAAGATTTCTAAGGAATGTGTTGCTGTCCTAATGGTCTTCTATGAGCTGGACAAATCTTGTACAAGAAGCACTTTCATTGCATTGTTGCATCTCATTTGTGTTTTTGGGTTTAATGTAAAGACTACCTTTTAAAATCCACAACACTACCGAAATCTCAATCGCTCTTTGCCATTATAGTCTCAAAAAACTCCATCAGTTTCGTTAATTTATCTTATAAGCCAGCTTTCTATAAACGAAAAAGTTCTATTGTATTACATCTTGCCCAAAGCAAGAAGTCATCAGTTATGTATAATGAAAAAACTCGCTGTGTTACACTTTGTGTAGACCTTGATGAGTAAAATATTGATTGTTCCCAGCGACTGGTTTTGCCTCACCCTTCGGCTCCACCCAACCAACAACCACCCAAACCACTAGTTTTGGTTTCGGTCAAACTCAACCTGCTCCATCATTCGGTTCAACTTTCGGAACTGCCCCCACAACTGCTCCACCCGCATTCGGCGCCACCAACACTTTTGGTACAACAAACGCAGGCTTTGGTGCTACAAATACAGGTTTCGGCGCCACAAATACAAGTTTTGGCGCCACAAACACTGGTTTTGGCACTACAAACACAGGTTTTGGTGGTTCCACTTTTGGTACGCCTGCGGGCGGTACTGCGGCACCCGCTTTTGGCAGTAGCTTTGGCAACACTCAGGGTAGTACTTTTGGTAATACTCAGACTCAGGCGACTACCGGAATGTTTGGACAGCAGCCAGCAAAACCGGCTGGCGGACTTTTTGGTGCGACTACTACTTCGACTGCAAGTTTGTTTGGTGGTCAACCCACTCCTAGTTTATTTGGTGCCAGTAATCAGACTCAGGCTGCTCCAAATTTATTCGGTAAGTAATAATTATGTTTGTATGTTAGTGTGATGTTTCAGGCAATAAATCTGTTGTACATATTTTATATTATCATTACAGGAGGTAACACGACAACACCATCACTATTCGGTCAAACTGCAGCTCCCTCAACCACATCCAGTTTATTCGGTACCTCATTCGGACAACCTGCAGCAAGTACTGCACCATCTTTTGGAGGCAGTGGTGGTTTATTCGGAACAGCACCTCAAAGTACTGCACCTTCGCTATTTGGAGCTTCAACTTTCGGCCCAACCACTGCTGCTAGTGGTTTTAGCAGTTTCGGTGCTGCCGGTACCACCACGACAGGATTTGGTGGTTTTGGTGCGGCACCTAGTACCAGCATGTTTGGTGCAAAACCAGCTCAACCGGCTCAACTTGCTACATCTCAAAATAAATCTCCACAAGTTATCGCTTCGGTTTATTCTATCAATGTTTACAATGATGAACGGGACGAGATCTTGAAAAAATGGAATATGTTGCAGGCGTGTTGGGGTACTGGAAAAGGTTATTATCACCCGTCACAACCTCCTATTGAGTATAATACAACAAATCCTTTTTACAGGTGAGAATTTTTAAGAGTAATATACTGATAGAAGAGGCTTCATTAATATCTCTGTTATTTCTCGAGAATAAGATCTGATATAGATAACTTATCTCGTAAATCATTTCAATCTGAAACTATATATGTTTATTTTTGTTACATAATTATTCCAAAATATATTATTTTTCCAGGTTTAAAGGTATAGGTTATAATGCAATACCAGAACAGGATAATTCTGAAGGAATAGTGAAATTGGTTTTTCTCAAGAAGGTAGCAGATATGAAAAACCAAAAGGAAGTATTGAAAAACGGCATTGGTGGAATTTTGGGAAATCGACCCAATTTAACTGTAGAAGTTTTATCCATTAGGGCTGTGTCTGATACTCAGACTGAGGTAAATCACTTAATTTTTTTTTGTGTATAAAGGAGATAATTCAGGATGCTGTATTGAAATTTTCAGTACTAAATGTTGGCAAATTAATGTATTGACTGATAGGTACTAGAAAAGGCCTTTTCAATTTTCTAATCTTTATTTTGATGAATAAATACCCCTAAATAATACAGAATTGCCAAGTTTAAGTGAACTTACTACTTACTCTTAGATTATAAGTAAGAATAAGATATCTTTGTTAAGAAAACTTGTAAATTGATGAATTTGATTTTCTATTTTCCCTAGGTAAAAATCTGTGTATCTGAAAAAGGTGTAACCGGAACAAGTAAAAAAATCCTAGCCACCGAACTATCAACTTTCCTCAATCAACCCACCCAAAAACAACAACTCGTAGCCGTCGGAGTACTTTTAACGACACCATTCGTAACTCCCACCAAAGCCGAACTTCAAGAATACTTGAAAAATCCTCCACCCGGTTTGGAACCGCAAATGTGGCAAGCAGCAATTCAAGACAACCCCGACCCTGCAAAATATATTCCAGTTCCCATAAACGGATTTTCCGATCTTCGGGCCAGAATCTTGAACCAAGAGTATCAGAACGGTTTGCATTTGGCTTATGCGGAGAAAGCCCATGCAGATGTTGTCGATTTGCAGACTAAACATTCCAGATCTGTGGCGCAAAGTGCTGAACTGAAGCAGAAGTTTTTAGAATTGCAGCATAGAGTTTTGAGAGTGAGTATTATGTCATTTTTAAAATCATAAATTTTAGCTTAAAATATCTACTTCCTAATGAATTTTGAATGTTTCCCAAAAATTTATTCCTCCAAATTCTCACATTTCCAACTAAAATGTTTAGGAACAATTTGTTTCCAATGCATTTTTGTTCTGTGAGGCGAAATGAGAGGGTCAAATTCACCAATAATTGCAAGGGAAGCTTAATATTACTAGAATTTTTGATTTTCATATTGTACAGTTTTTTGAAATTAATATTTCCCGGATTATCATAATGATGAAACATATGGAAACGAATCTGAATCTAGCATAACAAGATGAGTAGCTTCTTAATAAAGCCCTCTTTTTGTAGGTTTTAGTGAAACAGGAATGTTCAAGAAACGTTGGCATAGCTATAAGACCAGAAGAAGAACAAATGAGAGGTCGTTTGGAACTGATTTATCAGGCTTTAAATATGCCGAATCAATTCAAGGTAAGATGAAAATTGTTAATTAATAAGCTTACCTTAGAACTGTTGCTTATGAAAGTATTATATATGTCGTCCCAAAAACCCATGGTGTCTCTCACTGTGAACCAATTATAATAAATAAAATATTATGTAGCTCTCTATCACTGCCCAACTAATTGCACATTTTTCAACAAAATGTGCTGTTTTTTTTTTGCGATAAACTATTATAACTCCGATTGGTTGAGCTAAGGATGTTTGCGATAATGTGCCTATTTATGTGGCGTATTTTTCCTACCAACTTAAACATTAATTTGTATTTTAAAAAAATGTATTGGGAAGGTTGAAATAATAATGTAATTGAAAAATAAAATAGCACGTTTGGCTGAAAATCAGAGGCAGAATTTAAATTAAAGTTGGCTGGATCTCGTTACAAGAAAACTTGGGAGATTTAATATAATGTTATTATCAAAAAGAGATATTATATCAAATAAAGTAGGATCCAGTCATCTTAAATTCAAATTTCCCTTCAATATTGCCTTGTTTAGTAAAATTACCTGCAAATAAGTAAACATTGAAAAAACATTAATCAATATGAAAATTTCAGGGTCAACTTAATGAACTTCTATCTAAAATTAAATTGATCGAAAGTTCCGCCATCATTGATTGTCAGTACAATCTGGTTCCTGAAACTAAGGACGATATCAAACAGTTTTTGCATATGCAACAGAACGCTATTGCCCAACTGATAAACATCGTTGCTAGTGACCTGCAAAGTTTGCAAATCATAACTAAAGGCCTGAAAGAGATGAAAGAAGGACAAAGTCTAACTTCATAGATAGATTGAATGTTTAAACTAATTATAGTTCTTTTTACTTGAAAAAAATTGTGAATTTGTAAATGCTTTTTTCAATAAAGTTTCAGATATATTTTGTTCAGGAATTTATTGTGTCTCTTCAAAAAACCCCTAAAAAAATATTGAGTAGTAGGTACTTTGCCCAACTAATCCATAAATACTTATGTCCAGAGTATTTTTTATACAGGGTGTCCCACGACGTTTTTCCCAGGTAATAACTTCGGAATGCGTCATCCAATATAATTGAAATTTTAAGGATCTGGGTAACTTTTTGTACCGCTTCTACCAATGTCATCCAATTTCATCACTTTCGCTTCAATTTCGGTCAAGTGACGTCAAATTTCGAATCTTAAATGTAACTCATGGTATATTATGACATTTTTCGTTAGAAAATTAAATTAGAAAATCGGCAATGCCATATTTATTATGGTTTTGTTAAAGAAAATGATAAAAAATTATACAGTGGAACATACGAGGATGCGTTCTGAAGTTATAATTTGGGAAAAACCTCGTGGGACACCCCACCTACAGCCTTTACAGGTAGATGAAAGGTGTAAATACAAAAGTTGTACAGTATTGGCTAAGTTTTTAGAATCCATGGTCAAAAACAAAAATTGAATGTCAGAAATGTGAAATATTGCATGCTTTCAGCTTTTTTCAAATGGTATGATCTATATTTGGTTCCATATTCTTGAAGAACACAATTTCCCGATTACAAAACTATATAGTTTGTCTATATTTGGTTGAGCCGTCTCCAACATATTTGGTTCCAAAAATTTTTAAAATACTATCAGAGAAACCAAGTACCTCAAATTTTACCTGCAGCTTTCACCTGTACAGGAAGAATGATTCACAAAATCAGTAGTAGGATAGTATTTTTACAATTTTTAGAGCCAAATACAGATATATGAGAGATTGCTCAATCTAATATAGATCAGGCATTGTGCTCTTCAAGAATATAGTACAATACCAACCTGAGTCTCTCAAATGTCAGTTATTCTCATTAGTTCAAAAACCACAAGTTTCAGGTGAGAGTCTTATTTGAATATTTCAACAGTATATTGGTGAGTAAATGGCTGCGGAACTCGTTGCGTTCCCACAAAAGTCCACCCATAAGTTCCGCAATAATCCACTTATTTGTACTTGAACAATAACGTATTATATAAAGTCAAAATTTGTAAGAATATCCACTTTTTGTCAATTTGCCTTTCAACAGGAATTAGTAGTTACTTTACCAAACTAGCAACATAATCTGACAAGTTATTCAAGTACAAACAAGTGGATTGTTACGGAACTTATGGGTGGACCTCTGCGGGACGAGCGCAGCGAGTTCCGCATCCATCTATTCATCAATATGTTGTTCAAGTACAATATTAACCTGATTCACTCAGCTGTGAAATTTTCTCATTAGTTCAAAAACTACACGTTTCAGGTAAGTGTCTTATTTGAACAGTTCAACAGTATATTGGTGAGTAGATGGCTGCGGGACGAGCGCAGCGTAATTACACAACATATTGATGAATAGATGGCTGCGGAACTCGCTGCGCTCGTCCCGCAGAGGTCCACCCATAAATTCCGCAACAATCTACTCGTTTGTACTTGAATAACTTGTCACATTATGTTACTAGTTTGGTAAAGTAACATTACTAATTCCTGAAAGGCAAATTGACAAAAAGTTGATAATCTTACAAATTCTGACTTTATATAGGTTATTGTTAAAGTATGTCCAACCCCTTGACTTCCGACATACTCTAAAAGAAAATAGAAAAAAAAATGGAAATTTTCAGTTTTTTATTATTTAAACAAAACTACATAAACAAAAATTAGAAACAATCATCACAAACACAGTCTGTTTATCATTTAAAATTACCAATCCCACTCTGTATCCTTGTGTACTTTCTGGTGTCTTCGCAAATAGACTTGGTACAGAAATTCGGCTCCACAAATTTCACAAACATGTTCTCTTTTTCTTGTGTGTATCTTTTCGTGATTCCTCATGTAAATTTTGTTTGTGAAGTTTTTCTCACAATATTGACAAGAGAAAGTCTGTGGTGGCCTGTGAACAGCTACTTTGTGACGCAATACGCTTTCCCAGTACCTGAAATAATAGTGTTATCATTTAAAATTTTAGATTATAAGTTTATTATTTACATGAATTTTTTATCACAAACGTCGCAAGAGTAGCTTTTTTGCTGATTATGGGTCCGCAAATGCTGTTGCATATTGGTGAATTCCTTTCCACAAATGCTGCATAATTGTTTTGGCCTTTTTTTACAACGGTGCGACTTACATGCCGAAAGAGTCTGCAAAGATTTGATTGAAATACAATGTGCCAAAATGTTCTTATGTTACCTTAAATTCTTTGCCACACCTGCATGCGAATTGCAACCGTTGTTCCTCGCAACCGTGATTTGTTAATTGCTTTTTATTTGCGAATGGTTTCAGGCATTTAGCACAAATTATGGAACACTTATGATCCTCGAGTTCTTTTTGAGTTTTGAATTTTTGCTGGCATTTTTTGCAAGTCGGGATGTTTTGTTTGTTTGGGTAATACTTTTTATAAGTCATTGATCTGCAAAAAATTTAAATTTTATTATTCCTAGAAATCATCAAATGAATCTAGTATCTGGAAATCAAATTCTTGTCCATCTCTAAGGTCTGTGAAGTTTTTTTATCTTCAGTCTTTGGTTTTTAGCATTGAGTTTTTAGTCATGAACTTAATGATTTGATGTACGAGAGATTTTTGAGTCTCTCTTTGAGATTTTTCAGAAACAATCTATAGAGTCTAAGAGCAGGGAACACTAAGGAGCTCATTATAATTTCTGTGTACCTGCCATATGACCACCTCCATCTGCAGAACTGGAGAGATTAGTGCAATACTGTGGGCTAAATAACCTACAGATTCTCATTGGAGCAGATGTCAACGCCCATCACACTGCATGGAATAGTAGCGACATAAACCAACCTGGTGAGTACATACTTGACTTCATTAACTCTAATAACCTAGACATTCTGAATCGGGAACCTAAACCTACTTTTCTAACAAAAAATAGGCAAGAACGTATTGATGTAACTATGGCGTCTCTCGGAATAAGCTCTCAAATATGTAACTGGAGGGTAGCTGATGAACCGAGTCTCTCGTATCATAGGTATATTATGCTCAGGAAAAATTCACACGAAAGCTTTCCAATAAAGCAAATAAACCCGGAAACTGGGAAGCATATCAGCAAACCCTAACGGAATACAACAAAGAAATCTGGAAAGCAAAAATAGAATCCTGGAAGAAGTTCTGCAGCGAAGTTGAAAACACTTCCGAAAGAGCCCATTTCCAGAAAATTCTAGCCAAGAGTCCGATATAATCGACGGGAGCCATTGAAAAACCTGACGGGAACTTCACAAAAAATGGGGAAGAAACATTAAGTTTACTTCTTCAAACCCATTTAAGGATTCAAGTTAAACTTAAAAAAACAGTTACATACTTACTTTTCATGGGTAAAATTGTGTCTTTTCAAATGTTCAGGATTGGCAAAAGATTTCGAACAGTGCTTACACTGAAAAGGTAATTCCAGCGGCATCGAATGATGAAATTGATGAAAGTCATAGTTTTTCTTCAGGAAAAATCCTTTGCCGCACTTTTCGCACTCAAAAGGAGTTTCCCTCTTGTGCGCCAACTGGTGCCTTTTCAAATGGTTTCTTCCTAGGAATCTGCGATCGCACAGTTTACATCTAAAACAAATTACTTTTAAAATAAACTTATTTTCAATCAATAAGTTCTTACATGAAATTGCCATCACCCTTATGCGTTCTAACATGATTTCTAAAATCTTCACCACTGAAAGCTTTGAGACAAAATGGACAAGTGTGGAGAATGGTGTCTCTATAAAATAGGCAAACAGTGTTTTTGGGTTTTGCATAGAATCGAATCTTTTTATTGAACACTGGGGCCAGCCTGAAATATTTCTTCAAAGAGTCGTGACTTTTACAATGCTGCTTCAATTCTAAGGCGGGGAACTTTTCAAAACATATCGGACAACTGTGAAGCCTAATATGATTTTCTTCTATCTTGTTTTTGATTGAGGAATTATCATCTGTTTCAAATAGAATCTCTTCATATTCCTCCAATGTTTCAGCCACATCTTCCAAAGGATCAATTTCTTTGTTTGTCAAAATATCTTTTGTTTCAGATTCATCCTCATCTTCAGAAATTGAATCAGTGTTTAATAAAGAATCCCCGAGTATTTGAGTGCTGTTTATAAGAGCTTTTTTAAACTGATAGGCGTAGACTAGAGAATCAGGGCAGTTTTCACAAATTCGTTGGGGCGTTGTTAAATCAAAAATCTAAATTTTAAAAAATAATAACATCGCATAAAAGTTAAGTCATTTTGCTTACTTGGTCCCTGGTTTCTCCAGTTAACTCTTGATAGACTTGTACTACATTTAAAGTACTACCATCGTCTAAAGTTAGTTCCAAATCAAAGGGTAGTTCTGCACCTGAGTCCAAGCATATTCTGCATAATGTAATATTTAGTGGATCTTTTTCACAGTTTTGTTTTTGCAAAGTCTTTGCATAACTTTTCTGAAACTTGTAAGCATGCCCTAGGTGAAATAGGCACTTGTCACAAATTTCTTGTGGCAGTTTTAAATGATAAATCTAAAAATTTACATAAAATACTTGTTTTACGGTTGAGGTATTTCACACTCACTTGCTCAATAGTTTCTCCTAATAACTCTTGAAAAACTTCATTTATATTTCTACCGTCGTCTGGATTTAGTTGCAAAAGAGAAATTGTGTTCACATTGGATTGCAAACATACTCTGCATACTTTTTTTGGAGATTCAGTATTCAAATCATTGGAAAATTTAGAATCATTATCAAGGGGGTCTGCAAAAAATGCTGTCTTTTCAATGATGGTAAGTGAAGTTAAAGTTTACAAGTCAAAACCTCATGCAAAAATAATTCTCATACAAGGCACTAGTGAAAATTGATTGGTTTCTACATTTAATTAAATCTTAAATCAAGTATTAGTTATGTGAGATCTGCTTACCTTCTCCTTTCACGAGTTCTGGAGCATTCTGCATCGATTCATCAGAGTTGCTCAATGTTGTTTCATTAATTTCTAAAGGTGAGTCTGCAACTGGACTGTAAATTAAATTCACAAATTAGGCTTTTGTTTAAGTAAAAGTGATAGTTGAAACTTGCCTATTTGTTTCAAATTTAATCTCTTCTGCGGAGTCGGAGGTTTCTGATTTCACAGAAGAATGCCGTTCATGCTTTCTTTTTAATCCAGCTTTTTGAGTATTAAAAATTGTTGGTACTGCATCGTGCTTCAATTTTTTACTGCCATCTTTCTTCGTTTTTTCCCACATTTCTGGACTGAAATGGACCTAATATACAAATAACAATATATTGTATAGTGAAAACAAATTATTCTACAAGTTACCTCACACAAGGCTGACCATTCAGTGGGAGACCATTTGCCCCTATTCAATTGATCTGCCCATTGTTTTCTACGTTTGGGGTCTTTAGGAAACCGTTTCATAATGAAGCCCTTTCTTGCTGAATTTGGACAACCGATTGCAGCACATCCTGGCATTATTATTTGATCAGCCTCTAAAAAAAAATGAAAAAAATATTGCTTTTTTGAATCAATTAAATCTTACAAATAAAGGTGAAAACAACATACAGTGGCACAAAATTCTCAATGCTTCCATAGATATTTGTTTATTAATTAGGTAACAAGTTAATTTATAATCATTTTAAAATAAATTATTAATACAAAAGAAATGTAAATAAATAAATACCTAACGCTGAAAAGTAGATATTATGTATTTTTTATTGATTTTTTTTTTTAAATAATTTTCTGGTTGGTTACCGTTTTTAAACTCCTCCTCATCTTCTTCCTTAAATTTGCTTTCCTCCTTCTTCAGTTCATCTTGATCCAAACTGTTCATTTGTGATGCGGCATTTTTTTCATTATTCTCATATCTAAGCATTTTTTCTCTAAGCCTAGCATTTTCATTTTGTAGCTCATCCATTTTTCTTTTCAGAATTTCAAGATCCGATTCCTTGCTTGATGAAGCCACTTGAGAAATGTCAATATTCTTCATACAAAAGGGGGTATCAGTTTTGGTATTCTTTCCAAGTGGTTCTAATGAATCTGGACATTTACCGTCAATAGGGGTTTGTAATACAGATGTCATTTTGTCTTCTACAATGGCTTTATCTTTTTGCAAATATCCTATTTTTCTTTGCGAGTTTATTTCAGACAAGTCTTCTTCTGATGTGGGTAAAAACAGTGACGGTATTGCTAAAAAAATAAAACAATCTTTAACTTACTTTTTACAAGTAAATTCCCAGTCAATCATCTCCAAGGAAATGCGAACAATGAAAGAATCAATAAAGTGTTGAACCTTGCACAATACATGAAAAGCAAACTTCTCTCTTAAGCTGGTACAAAAGTATCACTTCAATGCCTATAAAAAATACTCCTCAAATGATGAAAAGTAAGTAATTTAGGTTGGCCTGCCAATGAGCCAAAAACATAAGTATTCCAAGTATGAAAATTCTCAAATATAGTTTCTTTTTATAGTGGTTTCAAAAAAAATTAACCAATCAAACAGTTACCATCTTTTTTGAGTTTTCGCGCTGGACATCCCATACGTTTGGCTTGAGCTTCATCCTCAAAATCACTTGGATTGAAATGATAACTACAAATCCTACGATTTCGTGGATTAATTTTGTCTTGGCGGTAACATCTTCTTAGCCATTCCTTCTGAATTTCTCGATTTTTGGGGAACCTGAAAAATATCAGGTCTTCCCTACCTTGCTTTGTTTTGTTGTAGTACCTGCTTTTACAGGATGCAACAGAACATGCATTGCTAGGCATTTTTCTAAAATTTGATAATATATGTACATATACTTTATTTTTTCCCAAGATAGATTTTGACATTGAAAACTTTGAAACATAAACAATAACGCTTGACCCTGATTGGTCGCAAAATGAGGTGTTTCTGCAGGTTGACATCAGTTTTACAATAGCGGCCAATAAGTGGCATTAGCGGCACTGTTTATGTTTCAAAGTTGACAATGTCAAAATCTATCTTGGAAAAAAATAAAGTATAGGTTGGTGAAAAATCTGATTGTACAAATACAAATAATAAAACAAGGGACTACCTAAGTCTGACATCTAGAAAGACTGGAGCTTATATAATATAATGGTTTCTAGAGATACAAGATTTAAAGCAAGATTTGGCAACATGTAGACATTGGTTCATTGTACTAGGCAACAAGAGTTAACTGATGATACACATATCCTTTATTTCTTCATATAGCAAAGTAGAAGACTCAAATAGGTTCTATAGGTACTGAGTAGTGAAAAAACAAGTTTATTTTTAGTACAGTTAACAGATAATATCTTTGTCTAATTGTTAATAAAAGACATGAATACAACATATTCCGACTTAATCTGAACGCTTCTCTAAAAATGGAATACAAACACAACAGATATTACGAGTTTCGAGACAACTCCACATGAGCTAGACAAAGATAGATGTACTGAGTCAAGTCCAACACGAGATGAAATTGAATTAAAAGATATACTAAGCTACCGCATTGTAGTACAATACTTTAATTCGACGCAGTCATGTTTTGGAATTAGTTACTAATGAGAAACTCGGCATCCTTGCATTTTGGGACTCTGACGTCACAGCCCTGGCCCACATTTTCAAAAATAAGGTTTTTTTGTGGAAACTATTCACAAAATAATTAGGGAATTTTTCAAAGGCTTCTTGTCTAGTCTAGAAATTAGCATATTAGAAATACAACACATAAATTACACATTTGAGAAACATGTAAATAGGTAAATCGGTGATAAAGCCTTAAGGGCCAAATTATGGACTGACTGGTTGTTACCTGTAACCTAACAGGTACGTTCTATGCACTAGAAAATAGAAAGTACCTGCTAGGTAACAACCAGACACTTACCAGTTGGTCCATAATTCGACCCTAAGTGCCTCAGATAATAGAAACTTACCTTCACAAAAATCGTTCAAATAACTCACAGTATCACAAATCTCACAACAAAACAAAAATATTTTAATTGGATTGGAAACTAAGGGCCAAATTATGGACCAACTGGTAACTGTCTGGTAGTTACCTAGCAGGTACATTCTATTCTCTAGGGCATAGAAAGTACCTGCTAGGTAACAACCAGACGTTTACCAGTCAGTCCATAATTTGGCCCTTAGGGACTGGTAAACATCTGGTTGTTACCTAGCAGGTACTTTCTATGCTCTAGCTAGATAATAGAAAGTACCTGCTAGGTAACAACCAGACACCTACCAGTTGGTCCATAATTTGGCCCTAAGAGGAAGAAGGAAACCCTTCCAAGCTTCATGCTCCATTCCTTCTTATCTTATGACGTCAGAACTTAGGAAGTTTGTCAAATAAGTCTATTAGTTCAATTAGCCTACCTTGAACAAAAAAATCCAGCCAGCTACCTTCCCAAAGGAACAAATCTTTCAAAATTTTAGTAACTTGTAACTACAGCAATGGTCTACAAGCTGAAGCTAGAAGCTACTACAAACGTTACCAAACGTACAAACAGTGGAGTGGGGGGGAAACCGCGAAACCAATTTTTTGACTGATGAACGATGACGCCAACAATCTAGGGGCGCGTTCGATATCTTGGTGTGCGGTATAAAAATCACACATTTCCGTTCGGAAATCGGAGTGCAGATAAAATCGTTGGAAATGGTAGGTAGTTGTATATGCTCGCGATAGACCCATGACGTCACATGAAAATTGGCTCAAAGTTCAAACCGTTTCGGAATATATTCCAATCGACGTTTTAAAACTATTTTCTCACGCCGAAAAGTTATGACGTCATTAGTTGTATTCCTGCACATCTAGGAGGCGCTCCGGAACAGCACCGGGGCGTTACGCGCTTATTCTTTCGAAAAGTGTCCCGTTCCTTTCAAATCGGGGGCAACTAACACCGGAGCGAGTAGCTCGAGTGTTTAAAACTCTTTAAAAAAAAAAAACTACGGGAATAAGCGCCTAGAATCCCCGGTGCTATTCCGGAGCTCCTCCTAGGTATGTGAGGAATACAAATATTGTGAAATTGTGTTCTACTAGTACATTAAAATACAAGTTTCATAAGACGTCATTTTATCGCACGAGCCCTATATTAGAAAACGAGCCGGAGGCGAGTTTTCTAAAGGGCGAGTGCAATAAAATGTCTTATGAACCGAATATTTTATACTATTTTTTCTATTTTGGTATTGTTTAATTTAAAAAAAACTTTTCTTGGAAATTTTATTCTCGTATTTCTTGATTTCATATGTTTAAGTTGGTAACACTACATGCCAAATATAGAAATCTTCTATTATTTTTTATCGCGAATGACAGTTCGATGGCCATCAGTCAGCCAGTGTTACCAACCTTCGATAAGTAAAAAAGGGGTGTCACAAAGACCTTCTTTTCGAAACTACTTTTAGTGTCGAAAAGACTTCGATATGACACCAAAATAGAAAAACTAAGTTTCGAACCAGTTTTGAAAAATGTTTCAAAACTATGAGACGCAAGAAAAAACCCTTGAATGTCTTTTCCTGACGGAATGTTTTGTAACGTTTTAAAACGCTACATTTTGGTATTGCAACTTTGACGTCATGTACGGAAATGATTCAACCGTTCGAACCGGTCTTTTTTCAAAATAGACGTTGAACAGCTGACCTCAAAATACCATTGCAGTTCACAAAACAACTTAAGGCCCGGTTGTACAATCCAGGTTCAAACAGAGGTTCAGTTGAACTCTACTGTTACTTGAACCTTCCCATTTAAAATGCATTGCTGTCAGAAACATGCCAAAGTGTACATTTTTTGACAGCAATGCATTTCTAATGGGAAGGTTCAAGTACCAGTAGAGTTCAACTAAACCTCTGTTTGAGCCTGGATTGTACAACTGGGCCTAAGAGATGTCACGTGGTCCGTTTTGGAACGGGGCATTTTTGATCAAGGTTGTTTGAAACAGGTAGGTTGTCAACATGTCTGATATCTTTTATGACGTCATCTGGACGCTTCAGGGAGAATTCTCATGAGCGTAAGTTGACATTTCTGGCGTAATCACGTGATAATATAGTATAATTTGATTGGTAAAGTATCCAACATGGCAAATATTTTACCAATAAAACCCAACCATTTTATCACGTGATTACGCCAGAAATGTCAACTTACGCTCATGAGAATTCGCCCTTAACATGCAAATCTGCATAGATCTTCCTGATGACGTCATCTGTTTACCATTACCAAACAACCTATTTACTTTAGGGCCGAATTTATAATCATTCCTTGAGTCTTCCTTAAAGGTCGAGAGTTTAGAATGGACACTGGCTATTATTTGACAAGTTAATCATATCAATTCTACGCGTTCAAGGCTTCCTTAAGGTCCAAGGAAACCTCAAGGAGCGACTATAAATTCGGCCCTTAGGAACCTTGACTTTTGATCACTGCCGATATGATGACGTAGCAATCGTACAGCAATTTTGAAAGGTTTCAAAACACAGTGCAACAGAAAAAGACGTCTCTCATAACTTGAGTGTCATACTACATGACAATAATTCAAGGCAAGACTTTGGCTGAGTTCGGCTACTCTGTAAACACTGAGCGCGCTCGAAACGATAAGATCCTGTTCGTTTTAGCTCTCAGAGTGTTCTCTTTTGCATTGGGCTTATGAGCCCGTATGACGTCACGATATCCATGCTCATACCGTTCCGCTCCGTGAAGTGCAAAGCCGAACTCAGCCCGAGAAGTTTTCAAGCGGTTGACCGGTACATAGCGGATTCATAGTCGCTTTCCAGTGACGCACTTTAGGCACTTCTGAGCTGCTCTAGAGCGCCTCGGGCTGTTTATAAGCGTTCCAGTGCATTAGAGTTTCGCGCACCTCAACTTTTAGTTTTTCCTCTCCCCTGTCCTCTCAAGCACCAGAAATTTTATTGGTGCATAAAGAACACGACGCTTAAAGTAGTAGTAGTAGTAGTATTCCTTTCACCAGTTTCACCCCTAGGAGGAGGTCCGGAACAGCTCCGGGGCGTTACGCCCTTATTCCATTCGAAAAGTGTGTGTTGCACCACGCATCTATTCCTTTCAAATCGGGGGCGACACTGTTCTACGGAGTAGGAACGCGCCATTCTGCTATGGAAATGGAACTAAAGTGAAGTGAGTGAAGCCAAGTTTTTGGCAGGTGTTTGGCATTGAAATTGCCTACACCCAAAGCCTATACCAATGAAGCCTATACTTACCGCCATTTTTTGGTGCCAAAATACCTGAAAAAAAACAGCTTCATTTTCCAACTCCATGTTACTACTCCTTTACCTTCACTTGCTCTAAGGGGGCGACTAACACCAGAGCGAGTAGCTCGAGTGTTCTAAACTCTTGAAAGGAATACAACTAATAGGGTACGTTTCAGTGAAACAACAGTTGTTTGGAACACCAGAGCAGCCTTCGGGTGCCACCTTTTGAGCGCTCCCGAGCTACTCCGAAGTACTCCAGCTACAGTTTGACCCGTTCGGTTTCGTGCAAAAGGCATGAGTATGACAGGTCATTGACAGGTGTGAAGTGTTCTAGGAGCTTCGTACTCTGCACCCGAAAGCGGCTCAGAGTGTGAAGATACGAGAGTGAAGCACCTTAAAATTTGTCGACGGATAATACACACACTAAGGATTACTTATCGGCCTCGTTTTTTGTAATCGCCGCCAAATTGGTGGCAAAAGCCCGCGGAATCATAACCTCTGGTACAAACGGCCTACGTCGAGGCGAGAAAGGACATGCTGCTTTCGTCACATTTGGTGATTCGGCGTGTTAGGGGGCTTCAGATTTGTTCCACACAGGCCTATTGTGGATAGGCTATCCTGTAGTAGTACTGTGTATTATCCTTGGGGACCACATTTTAGTGCTCCGAACATGAAAGCTCCTGTGCGAGCAGTCACGTCAACTTGGTAATCCGTATTTATTTATGCTCGTTCTTTATTTATGCAATAATTTAGTTAACATTGGAGAAAAAATGCAAAACAGACAAATTAGTGCAAATTATGAATAAATTATACTCTGAGTATTTCCCGAAACGCTGCCATCTAGCGAGAAGAAAACACAAAATTAACGACAAGAACCTTTGATCGATGCTGCTGCCTCTAGCGAGAAAAAAACCGGACAGATTACCACATACATAATAGTACATCATATACCTAGTAGAGAAGTTGGTCATTATAATGCGTAAGGTATATAATGACTTTCTCTACCGAGGATATATAGAATTTTTTTTACTACTGCTAGTAGAAAATAAAAAAATATACTTTAAAAATTCCGCTTTCCGCTTCTACCCTTTTGCGAACGAAAATAGAAAATTTCCTCAAAAAGGCAAAAAGGGGATAATTCCGTCAAGCTGGCAACACTGTGGCTGATTCGTTATCGAACGCAAGGATATCAACAAAGCATTTGATAGGTTGGATATAGGCCCCGCCCCTTTCCAATCAGATGCGAGTGATATCAGCAGGGCATTTAATTGGTTAGTTAATTGAGTCCCGCCCCTTTCCGGGGTTTGTGTATCGTCAAGGTATTTGATGACCAAAACAAAGCTAGTGACTTCACCTTTTCAAATAGAAATTCGGTACCGCCGCCATATTCTTGCAAATTTTGAATATGAATATAGAAGTTAGCCACGCCCCTGCCGCCATATTTTTGCAAATTTTTTGATGTTTACTCAGGTATTAGGTATTATTAATATTATTATTATTTAAATTTATATTATATATTATATTTTTATATCCCGGATCTTGCCTTTTCGTTTTCTTCTTAATTTTTCTAATGGTTATTTCCACCAACTATTTTAGGGAAGCCCTAACGGTAGGTACCTATGCTATGCCTTAAACTGACATTTCTCCATGTAAAAATGTCATTTTAGGGAATACTTATCATTTAGGGCTCCCCTAAAATAGTTGAGGTTTATAATGCGTGAGGTATATAATGATTTTCTCTACCGAGAAAACAGATTTTTTTTTACTACTGCTAGGGCCGGTTTCTCATAAGCGAGTCACCCCCGGGTTGGTTTTAACTCCAGGGTTAACGTGACAAATTGCAATGTTTACCCTGGGAGTTAGCTTAACCCGGAGGTGACCTGCTATTGAGGAACCGACCCGTAGTGGAAAATGAATAATCCTATGTACCTACAGAAACTTGTTTTTTTTTTTTAAATTTGACGTATGAAATTGAAATTGAACCAATAAAAACATGACATCCTTGCGTCATGACGTCATTTTCATTATTAACCTAGGTAGAGAAATTCAATTTTTTCCTAGAAAAATAGATTGAATAATGACTATTTCTCAGGTTAGTAGTAAAAAAAAATCTTTATGGTCCTAGGAACATAATGGGTGACTTCTGTGTGACTTCTGGTTGACGACAATAAAGTTCAAATTATGCACCGCTTTAGGATAAAAACAGTTTGTTTAAAAATATTAAATGTTTATCAAATTCATCTGACGTTTGTTTAGATATAGCGATCATAACCTATTTCAACGTATGACGTCATAGGCCTATTCGATTCTGATGTCCTCATTGTCCTCTGGCAGGAAGTAACCAAATCGATGCCGCTATTTCACAAGGGAATTTTGATTGATAACTGATTCAAGATTCATAGATCAAATACTCGTTCTAATAAAATTAAATAAACGAAAATCTAAAAAATCTGTGACAACAAATATGGAATTTCATGTTAAATTGTTAGTTTAGTTTACGTAATTAATCAACTACCCATTGAAAATTACGTTGTGGCCGAAGAAGACTGCAATTTCAAAATAGACTAGAGACAAATTTGGAAATACAATTAACAATTAGGCAATCCAACGACCTGTCCAAATGGCGTCTGGTTGGCAAACAATAAACAAAAAACATATGTTTTTTTTTGGCAGGATTAAGCCTAGTACTCATAACGGCGATTTATGCATGAATCAAACGTCAAATTGTCGAAGCAATGTCAAAAAAGAGCGAATTTCGCGGTTATGAGTACTAGGCTTTATCAATACACGGAGTGAGTACTCAAATCTGACACTTTTCTGACGTCGTTGACCCGTATTCTAACCTCATAAAAATTTCAAAATGCCGGCTGGTTTGCAAAAGTTACGTGGTTTGGATTCCCTAATTCTACCTTTTTTAGAAGGGTGCGACATTTTTTTAGACTCGCAAAACAATGACCGAGACTATCAATGAGGTTCCTATCAATACCAGGAAGGCGGACTTATTTCAAAAATTGGGTCGTTTAATTAACTTATTTCTGCATTATGTAAATTTGAAGAGAAATGCGTGGTGGTTATGGTTAACGATCCATACCATTCAGAGCTGGATCACATTTTCTTCAAAAAAAGATAAAATACAGGAATTGTTCACTTAACATGATAAGATAACCTTCGACACAAACACGATTAAAAAACAACTATGGGACTTAATAACGACCATCCAAAAAACTGACGAGATTTTGAAAGAAAACAGACAAGAAGTTGTTAAATTACCCCCTTCCTTACCCACTGTCATAATCCGATTGAAATGGCTTTGGGGTTTTGTAAAAACTTTTGCAATGAAACTATAATCTCGCAACCAACATCGAAGGATAGGGTTGCGAGAGTGTTGTGTGAATCTCTTTCAAAATGTACGGTTGTGTTCAGACATGTGGACAAACTTTTGTAGACATTGCAAAATGATTATTTCGCAAGACTGGACAAAACATATCGGAGATTTACCACCTTTTGACAATATTCCTCCTATCATCATTTCGCTCGGGGAAACGGATTCATAAATGCTGTCTAAATCCCATGAAGATAATTAATTCTCCAGGAGAAATGAACGAAGTTGAATAAGAAGATCAGTGAATAAGACTGAGACTACAAACTAACTGGGTCAAAACATTACATTTTACATCACATCGCGGAGACCTGAGACTCAGTAGGAAATGTATGCGTATTCATTTAAATTCTTACGTAAAAGCAAAAGGGATATGATGCATTAAATAATTCAATACAATGTAGGAATCCAGACCTGTCAAGATTCATAATTTGAATGTTTTATATAGATACAAAGAAGGAGAATTCAAGCTCGCAATCCAATCCGACACTGTTAACCATGGGAAACGACACTCATGATACTGATGATAGAGTCATGAGTGCCTGCAGGTGTACCTACGCGTAACAAAACAAATTTTACGTTTTATCTTCTTTTTTCTATTTAATGCAAATATAGTTGATTCGTTTATAAAAATCTATCTAATCTCAATTAATAAAAATATCTCCTAAATATCACAATGTCTTAAATCTAAAAAAAACGCCGTACAAGAACAAACAAAAAACTCAGAACGCTCACACAACTTAATACTGAAATATGCAGCTATAAAAGTTAAAAATATCACAAAGCTGCACAACATCATTTACATATCTCTTCTTAGGCTTAAATCTAAGGGAGCATCTAAATCCATGGATAATTCGTCATCCAACTCATAGGGCCTAAATAATTTCTTACTTTCACATCTTTCCATGAACCCGTAATTGTCATTTTTGATATCAATCAAAGCCCTAAACCTGAAAATATCTTCAGTGGATGTTGGCGAATGCATATGGTAACCATCGTTGAATTTAGCATTGTTAACTGTTATAACAGACACGTGATTTTCAATAGTATCTTCTGATGGTAATGATTTTTCCTGAATAACTATAGAGGCAAAATCACTCAATCTTGAAGCTCCTTCTGCGGAATTAACATTGGGCTCTATTGCTGGATCAGAAACTTCAGGAGCATAATGCTTGTAAGTTTTAACGTGCTTTCTGAGGCTACTCGGGTCGGTGTAACGTTTCGGGCATCCAGGCACCTTGCACTGATAAGGCTTCTCCACTGAGTGAGTCCTGGTGTGCTTGAATCTGTCACTGGAATTCGAATATGCTTTGCCACATCCAGCTACCGGACAAATGTATGGTTTTTCGCCGCTGTGTGATCTTGAGTGGATTTTTAGATTTTCCGCTCTGGAAAAGGATTTGTCGCATTGGCAGCATTGGTGCGGTTTTTCATTGGTGTGAGTCCTTACGTGGACAAGCATTTTGTATCTTGAACAGATAAGTGGTTGTTAGTCAAGAATTTTTTAGTTTGAAAAATTTTGATGAGTAATTACCTGGCATTGAATCCTTTATTATTTCTGGCACAACCTTCCCAACCGCAATGGAAAAGTCCATCCGCACCTCCAGCTGAATGGCACTGAGATACGTGACTAGCTAGTTCGGTGAGTGATAGAAAAATGGCACCGCAGTTTCTCCATAAGCATTGCTTTTTGTCATCTTTTTTTGGGATTTCGATGGAGTGAGATGGCACTTCTATGCTTGATACTGAATTATCACTGTCACTCTGAGAAAGAATAAATTCATAACTTATCATGAGGATTCAAATAATGTTTACAAATTATTATTGCAGTGATTTTGAGAATAGAAGACATAAAAATTTAAATTTTTACCTGTGTGCTATTGGTTGGTGAAGTTATCATTGGATAGTCCTCATTGGAGTCCATTGAAGCTGCAACGCTTTCAAATTGTTGAAAAAATTGGAATTTTGAATTGTCTGTCAACGGTGGAGATTCTCCATAGGGGTAGTAATAATGGAGCGGTTGCCCCACCACCATTCTGTTGTAAGGCAAAAACATTTTTTTTTTTTGAAAATAATTAAAAATTTGTATATATGTCAATTTTATGAGACGCTCGAAGTTTTTCTAAATTATGTCTGGTTTTGTCGCTACTGATCAACGTTCGCGCAATTAATAAACTGTGAGTGTAGAATTCTCGTAATATATTTGAAACAAAATCTGTCGCCTTTTGATCTTCAATTACATTGCTATTGATAAGACTGTGTCTGGTTTTGCAGAGATGGAATTTAATTTTTTTCATAAATTGCTAACATAAGTTATCAATGTTTTGGGAAACACCTTATAGAGGAACGATTTCTCCCTGAGGTATAGCTGATATATGAATATTATTTTTGTGAATCAGCCTCAACCATTGAGCAGTTATTTGTAAGAGTGCAGTCTGCTAATAGTAAACTATTGCTTGGAGCTGTATACCTACCTCCGAAATCTAATGGAGATAATTATAAGTGTTTTTCAGACTCAGTAGATACTTTATCTGAAACATTTCCTGATTACAAGCTCTGCATATTTGGGGATTTTAACTTACCCAAAGCACAATGGGTTGATGACGGCCTGAGCTCAAGTGCTACTGCAACCCCCTCCGCTATTCCCTCAGAGCGCGCAGCTACTGAGTACCTATCCAACATGAGTGCTTACCATAACATGTTTCAAATAAACAAGTTCCACAATGCGCATGGCTCTCTGTTAGACCTGATGTTTAGTCAGGATCCTGATGACACCTGCACCTTGGCAGATGACATCCTTCTCCCTATTGATTCATATCACCCTGCATTAATATTAAACATATTATGTGCCGAGACCCAGCAGTGTAACTCAGACTACCCGCAACCTGATGAGTACTACTATGATTTTAAATCTGCCGAGTATGCACTTCTCAATGATCATCTAAGTATGATCAACTGGGATGCTTTACTCCAAGGCCCAACTGTAGCAGAAATGGTCAGTATTTTTTATGACATTCTTTACACTGCTATTGACTGCTTTGTACCAAAGAAAAAGCTTTCCACCCATAAATTTCCTAAATGGTTCCCCTTCGACCTAAAGGAACTCATAATCAAGAAGAAAGAAGCACACAGAACCTGGAAGCGGACTGACTCTCCTAGTGACTATGACAACTTCTCGAATCTTCGCACTCGGTGTAAGACTCTTTCAAAGGACTCCTATCTGAATTATGTGCAGCGCTCTGAAATGTCACTGCTGAATGATCACAACCTCAAACACTTCTGGAGTTTTATCAATGCCAAGCGAAAAGCGAATGGTTTGCCGTCTCACATGTTTTATAATAGCAACATTGCCAAAAATGGTTCAGAGATAGCTAATCTCTTTGCTGAATACTTCCATTCTGTTTATTCCAACAAAATCTGTGTTGCTAGTCAGGACATCTCTCGGAGCGATGCACATATTCATGAATTTAACATCTCAATATCAGTTATTTATGAAGAACTATGTAGCCTGCAGTCTTTTAAGGGTCCAGGTCCAGACGGTGTCCCACCTCTTATGATAAAGAATTGTAGCTTTGTATTATCCCGTCCACTTTTCATTCTTTTCAACAAGTCACTCAGTTTGGGTGAATTTCCTAAACTCTGGAAGCAGAGCTTCACCATACCCATTCATAAATCTGGCGATAAAATGGATATTTCAAAATACAGACCCATTATCATCCAAAACACCTTCCCAAAGGTATTTGAGAGCATAGTGACAAAGTTTTTAACTCCAAAAATCAATCCCTGTCTAATTGAGCAGCAGACCGGTTTCCGTCCAAAATGCTCAACTGAAACCAATCTCCTGTCCTACCAGGACAAAGTTTCAAGAATTCTTGAGGATGGCGAATCAGTTCACTCCATATATACCGATTTTGCAAAGGCCTTTGACCGTGTCAACCATGCCGTTCTGCTTGCTAAGCTTGAAAGTGCTGGAATCTCCGGTACTTTGTTGAAGTGGATTAGCGACTATCTTGGGGAGAGAACTCAAATAATCAAAGTTAACAACTTCTTCTCACACGAAATTGACATCCCATCGGGCGTTCCACAGGGTTCTCACTTGGGACCTCTGCTGTTCAACGTTTTTATTAACGATATCAAGTCTTGTTTTATTAACAGTGAGTTCCTGTGCTTTGCGGATGATTTAAAGGTGTTCACCCGGGTCTCTTCTATTGAAGACTGTGCCAGACTACAATCTGACCTCGACAGACTCTCTGAGTGGTGCGCTTTGAGCGGCATGGAGCTCAATGCTTCCAAATGCAAAGCCATTGTTTTCTCCAAGGGTCGTAGCCCTCCACAATTCGCGTACCATATAAACAACATTCCGCTTGAAACTGTCTCACAACAACGAGATCTTGGTGTCATTTTTGACAGCAGTCTCAATTTTATCACCCATATTTCAGACATCACAACAAGGTCGTTAAAACTTGTAGGCTTCATTAAGAGGTGTTCGAGAGATTTTACAAGCATAGATTCTATCAGATACCTTTATTGCTCAATGGTGAGGCCCCTGATGGAGTACTGCTCCTCTGTCTGGTCACCAATGTATTCTAATCATATCAGAGCCCTAGAGCTAGTGCAGCGCAAATTCGTACGTTATTTAGCCTTCAAGGCAGGTATTCCTTCGCCTGAGAACTATGTGTATGACTATGACGACCTATACAGACGCTTCAATCTACAACCCTTGGCAGCTAGACGCAATCAAAGAGATTTATATACTTTTTACAAGGTACTGAACTCCATTAGTGATTCCGCATACCTACTGTCCAGAATAGGGCTTCACGTCCCAGCAAGGGACACCCGCTCTGCCATAACCTTCTCAGAAAGAAATCACCGTACAAACTATGGTTTCAATACATTCATCTCCAGAACTTCTCGATTAGGTAACACCCATGGTAGCCTGGATTTTTTTGGACCCATAAATAGCTTTAAAAGAGAGCTTAACTCTCTAATGTAATTCTCCTTGTTTGTTTGTGATGCCAAGTTCGATAGCTAAGAATTTCTAGTCATCTTGATCAGTCATTATTTATGTTTGTCCTCTATTTTCTTATACCTATAACTGATTTAATGTTTTACTGTTAATAATTTATATGTATTTTTATCCTGTCACTACGCCAAGTATTACTGGCCTATGTTTATTTAGTTGTAAGGTACTTAATGTTTCTTGTTGTTTTTTTTTTTTAATGGGTCTTGCCCGTAAATAAATAAATAAATAAATAAATAAATAAATTAAAAAAGTTTGACATTATTTCGTAACTTCCAAACGAAAGAGATTGGCAAGTTACCGTTGAGAAGAATTAATCTGGAATGGAATCTCATTCGCTAGAACTAGATGGTTGTTTTTGGTAAGAATCTAGTTAATCTTCCATTATTCTAATCAAACGTAGACTGTTTAAATTTGAATCATATTGTAGACATACATCAAATTACCCAAATCCGTCCCTGGTTTTTCGATCACAAAAACTAATACTTAGTATACACATCAAGGGGGGGCAAAGTCGCAACCATATTTACAATAATTTACAAGGCGTTCCCCCGAATCCAGTTTTATCCGGTCTCGAGTTTTCTCGTTTCTCGTGGGGGTTTTTGATAAGCCCGGAGAACGAGCTTAGCGCCTGACCCGAGAACCAGCCAGAACTGGTTCGCCAGACTCTTATCAACCGTTATCAGAGTTATTTTTGGGGTCGAGCAGACACAGCATTAAGATTTGCATGTCTCAGGATAATAATATGTGGACTTTTTTTTTTCTCGTTTTGTTTGTTTGGTTGGTGGTTTTTGGTTATCTATGAAATAATTGTACAGGAAATTTGGAGGAATTCTACAATGGAAATATCCTCTAGATTTGGTTTTTGGTTGGTTGTAGAATGTTGAGCCCGTTGAAAATGGATAGTCATACTCTATAGAATTTCATACTCAACATTTGATAATATATGGTCTTACTTTCGAGATTCGTTCCGTATTATACTACCAAGGTACATTCAGTTAGTAAGAGGAAAGAGGCAGGGTGGAAAGCCAAGGGAAAGATGAGAGATGTTTTGATTATTCATGGAATCCAAATAAAAGCTTGCGGGTTTTGTGATCAGGATAAATGCGATTCCTGAAATCCTCTTATTCTGATCTGTAATGAAGTAAATTTTATCATTCTCAAATAACAAACTTTCTGAGTGAGCATGAATTGAATAAGTTGATATATGCGAGACGTTTCAAAAAACAGAAGATATTATTGAGAAAAAAGATCAAAGTCTCAGCATTCCTAAATCTAGAACACCATATTGTAGATAGATAGAAAATATTGATGCTACCTACTATATTTTCTGAGATTATTTGAATATAGAAAACTTGGAAGTCTTTGGAAACTGGATATTCTCCGATTTGAATAGAAAATAATCAATAGGTATCATGACTATGATGTTATCTTGATGGATATTTGCAAATATAGCTCAGAATCAGAATCTAAAGAATGGTGAAGACCAATAAAAGGTTCAAGATTTAGAAAGCTATTCGGTTTCGGTCATCCTAAATATCGGAAATATCGCAACTACTAAAGAAAAACAAAATTTGGTTATCTACCCAGGTAAGAACAAATGTTCAATAAGAATATTAATTGGAATATGATCATCTTCTTTATTTGGCTGTTTATCATCCATGTCGTCCTTTGTATCCTGGGTGATACAAAGGAGTTGAAAACTATGCTTCTCAGAGAATCTTTTGGTTCTTTTAGGATTCATGTCCTCTCACTCTCATGTAGTAAGATTGATGATTTCAAGAATGAATAGCGTGCCCATATTCTAATGATTAAGGTTTTCTCATGTGTGTCCATATTTTAATGATCAAGTTTTTCACAAGGTGTAAAAAAGCAGTATAGCTACCTACTACCTACCTATCTACTATTGTAGAGAAAGTGAATAATACAAACATGTCTGATCCTAAAGAGATCATCAGATCTCAAACTGTATTTTTTTTCAAGAATGGATAAAGGACCCTGCCCAAAGTATACGGAAATTGTGTTTATGTCAGAATTGGCTGAATTTTGTATGTAATGTAGAACACGCCTTTCTGATTAAAAGTTACCATTGCACCAATCCTGAAAAATTAATGTTCTAATGTTACTTTACCAAAATAGTAA